GCTTTGGACGCGTGCTGACATGTCAAAGCGGCCGCAGCGCACACGTACGTTCTGACGGCCCATCATGGGTCGATTACTTCATATGGCGGCCGTGCTTCACGACCTTGAGGTTGTGCGTGCGAGTAGCGGGCGAGCGGCGCAGGGCGAGGCTGGGGAGGAGGGAGTGAAGAGAGCCTGAGAGGAGGTCAGCACTTGTGCGCCGCTGGACGGACGCAAGCGCTGTCGGAGTTACCTTATACGGCAGGAGTCCCACGGGGGTGCGGGTACAGGGACTTTGCGCGACAACGCAAGTCAAGACCTCACAGTGCGTACGACCAGCTCGCCCTCCCGCAGTACGAGCCTGCCCATCTCGTCCCTTGTACACCAGACCCTCACGTCATTTCCCCGCCAGCTCAACAACGCACACGGTGAGGTTCGGGCACGCGCTGCGCATCCAAATTCCCACAGCTAAGTCTCCGCTGTGACCGGGCTCCTCGCGTTTCTCGCCCTGGCCGACAGTGTTCTCCACCTTCAAGACCGCATCCTCGCCGCAACACGGGCTAGCCATCAAGCATGGGAGCTACCTCGGCGGGAGCAGACGGCAAGACAGGCTTCTGGGCGGCGAAAGCAGCATGACGTGGCGACTCGATGGCGCCGGGGTACGTGAGGACGGACATATGCAGGTAAGTAGCGTGCATGACCTCCTCGCCGGCGAGGTGGGTCAACGAGTTAATCCATGCAGCACTGTCGCCCTCCGCGCCCTACCACCATCCCCGCCGCTGTCGCACGTCACCTCCATCACTGTCCACTAGCGTCTGTCACTGTCTCCGCGACCCGCGCATCGCGTCCGTCATTCCCCCGCCTCGCTGCCACTGTGTCCCGTCCCGCTGCGCTATTCTCACCACCATCGCTGCCGCCACTGCGTCACCCGCGTTGTGGTGTCTCCGAGACTCGGTGTCATGGAGTTGAGGACCACGCAGTGCGTACGACCAGGGTGAGTAACATCGCTGCACGCGAGCGAGCTAGCTCACAGGGAATGTGGGGCAGGGCCTGGGCGCGCACGCCGACCCCGCGAGCACACCGGGCGAGTGACCGGTCGACAGCGTGCACACGCCAACCGCGAGCGCGCTGAGTGGATGCCCGACACGCAGACACGGCCGACGAACGCGAACACAAGTGACCAGGCAAGCAGCCGGGCATGAGGCACGGTGAGGTGTCGCACAACACGCACGGCGATCGCGAGCGTGCTGGGCGAACGCCCAGCACACAGACACGGCCGACGAGTGCGCCGCGACTATTGGCATGGCAATGAGCAGGCGGGAGGGTGAGCGGCCCTACACAGGCAGGCCCACTCACAAGACGCAGGGAACACGTCGTACCCCCCCCCCCCCTCAAACTCACGTCGTACGCAACCGCAATAAGCTCCAGCGTTGCTGGAGACTCGCAACGGAAGAACGGGCTGAGTGGAAGGGATGCCATGGCCAGCACGGCTGGCGATGCAGGTGAGTTTCTCCACACCACCAGCATGGCCATCCCCCACGCCGAGCCCTCCGTACCGAGCCACCCGTGCCGAGCCCTGTGCGTCGTGACGTGCACGCTGATATCCATGCAGCCCAACCTCGCGCGATGAAGTAGCAGACGTGCTTGCTCAGCCTCGAGCTCTCCGCCGCCTAGTAATACATCCACACGCCCGCGACGGCACATGTGGCACGTGAGCGTGAGCGTGCCGTACGGTACGACAATGACCTACCCTCCGCCCGCCGATACAACGAGTCCACCGAGTGGGATTGAGTGGAGCAATAGCCCGGTACCGGGCAATACGGGTACGAATGCGAGGGGATCCTGTCGTGCTCTTAGACTGTAGTACTTATCACATAGTCCCAATATATTGCTCATTCTCCCTCTCGAAACGTGCTCTGTGTCAGCCCTGCAACTGAGCATCAAAGCTGCTCAAAGAGATGTTGGTAAAAGCAGTGCACTATCTGTGATTACTGGGCTTGTGGCCATCTTTGAGTTTTAGTTGTGTGCTCATAGATTACTGCGAATTTCACAGACATTCTCCAGGGGTGTACGTGGACAAGGAGAATTACAGGCATTATCATGAATGATGTGGTAAGCATTCGAGATTACTCAGTCTCCTCGTATTACGAAGAATTTCCGTATCCACTAAGTATTTCTCAGGGGAGGTTTTTCCTGATGTAAGTAAGTCCTCCTCCCTGCGCCAGCACACCATGTCCTTCCCCTCCCCAACTTCCCACGCCCTCCAACCTTCCCGACTCTCCCCGTTCTCTCCCCTACTCCCCCTTCCTCCCGGTTGGCCAGTGAAACCCCAGCCTCCTTCCCTCACCGCCTCCGCCCAACATGTCCCTCCCTGGTCAATCCCCATACGTTGTTGAAGAAAGAGGTTTTAGGCTTAGTAAGCCCAGTGGCAGTGAAGGACTAAAGAGTGAGTGAACAGACCAGTCCCAAAGGGAAGATCCTATGCTGGCAGGCAGAGGAGAGGACGAAGGATCGTTATCATTACAGGGCAAACCAGCCCAGTATATATACACATTTGATACAGGTCACATGCTGTATCAGTGGTTCATCAGTAAGCACTAAGTCCGAGGTTTTGGGGATATGAGTAAGCTGGTAAGCAGCATGAGTAAGCCAAAACTCGGAGTTTGATGTGGAGAGATATATGAAACGTGATGGAACATCAGGAATAATATGAGACATGATGGAACATCAAAGAGTGATATAGTACGTGATGGGACATCAAGGAATGATATGGAACGTCATGGAACATCAAGGAATGTCGTGGAATATCATGGAATGATCCGGACTAAAGTCACATGACGTAATCTAGGCAAAGTCCATCAAAGAACGTATGTAATCTGACATCGCAGAACATAAGTCCATATCCGTACATAACTGATAAGATAAGAACACTGAAAACTCGGAAGTTCAACATACGTCGCACGCTTCTACCGTCTCCTCGAGCTCCTTCGACACGAACGTGACTTGGAACCCCGTCTCCTCCCCCACGATCCGACTGCCTGGCTGGCCTGGGCCCATGGAAGTCGTTGGCTGTTGGTGTGTCCTTCTCCTAGGATTCGTCGTGTCCCGCGCTGACTGTACTCCAGCGCATGCTGTTCGAGTCCCGTAGCATCGCCGTAGCCTCTGGGGATATCTCTCTCCCCTCCGTCCGCCAGACACCGTCCGTGCACGCCCTGATAGTGTACCTCGACACCGTCTTCGCAACCCTTCCTTCCGAGCACGCTTCGCCTCTCCCCGAGCCATACCCCGTCATCGCCTGGTCGCCTAACCGCGTCCTCGCCGAGCAGAGCATTGCTGAAGAAGGTGCTCCACTCCCTGCCATTTCCTATCGCAACAGTCCGCTCGCTTTATCGAACCAGCGCGCTTCTTCCGTCGGATGGGACGTCGTCACCGACCAACTGGAAGCTCTGAGTGATGCTCAGTGTTCAACCACCGACGCCCTTGACCAGCTCGATGGTGGGCTAGCTACGCTCTCCGCCGCGGTCCAAGGTATTCAAGACCAGCTGTCACACGGGCTGTACCTTCCGGACGATTATTCTGGAATTCCTCGTTGTTTAGTCTTCGCAACGTCTAGGGGTTCAATGGCTCTCAATCCGCGCCCCATGGGCTTCACACGTAGCGTTGCCGATGCTGCTGCTGACCGAGAGGCTGGAGGGTCCGGAAGGAACGGGGACGGAGGGAACGTTCGCAACGCAAGCCCTTCGCTCAACTGACCCCATGTAGTCGTCCGTAGCACCTTCGGTAACCGTATACTTGGCTTAGTTGGAATGTATTTGGCCCGTTCATGTTGTGCTCCCCAAGTCCGTACTTCTCGGAGATGCCTTGCGCCGTATTGCCGTCCCATTTCCCGCCCTGACGCGTTCGTATGTTGTCGATTCCGTGCGTAGACTGTGGGCCATGCCCACAGCGGTGGCGCGGTGGCGCGCGAGTGCGATGTCTTTATTCAACTCGTGGCGGTTTCCCCGCGCAAAACACGTTTTTTATGTGTACTGAATGTATTCAGAAAATTTTGGCCACTACAACTCGAAGCTGAGTGCCAGAGGTGGGCTAAGGCCACGCACTCACGTGTCACACTCGGTGACAAACGGTCACTCGATCACACTTGCGTCACGCTGTGCGCGCATTTCGTGCAGGCTGACTTTCGTCAGCATGCATTTCGTGTACCCTTCCGAGTTTCGTGATCATCCAAACTTTTCGTGAGTGGTTCCAAATATTTTGTGAATACACATTTCGTGCGTTTATTATACTTTTCGTAGGTACTATTACATTTCGTGCGATCCGATTATTTCCACAAACGGGCCGCCATACTCTCCCTGTCCGACGTTGGGAATGCCGGATCAAGAGGTAAGACTGACATGGCGCTGAACATCACATGGTAGTTGTTGACGTTGATCCAGTCAGGTGGTCTCTCGATGGGCAGTTCGACCAACTAATGCGACGTGGATGACTCTGCAAGAGTACACAAGATTTCCATCAGTACGGTGCCGCTTAGAGCTGAGTTTGTCTCTTATAGTTATACGTACACGGTACGAAACTGAATGCGCCGTTCGTGCGCTGTGCACGTTTGCCAATGGTTGGCGCTGATCACAACGCCAGGGGTGCATTCAGTGATGATTCACGTCCACGCATTGAAGATTTGGCGTTCGAGCCTCGAGGCGCTTATGTTGACGAGGGCTCCCAATTGAAGACTGTCGAACGTGTGGTTCATCCTTTTGTCCTCAGGTCCCGTTCACGAACGGAGCGACCTCCTCGATCAGATTGATATGTCGGTATTACTGTATAAACCACGCTGTCCTCGGATACTTAATGCCGCCCATCATTTCGCCCACGTTCGGTCAGTTCGTCTGTTTGATGAGCGTTTGCTACCTGCTTGACTCACTGACAGACGTTCCGGGCCCACAATACCTGTCATGGCCGCGATATATTGCCCTGAGAATATCCTAAACAATATTCCACAAAGGTACAAACTGATTCGCGTCTGTGCAGTTTGATCATGTCCTCTTACACAGCCCTCTACATGGAACGGTCTCGACGTCTGCTTAGGCGGACACCTGCGTCTTCTGTGCGGTATTTAAGCCTGCCGTACGTCCACTGTCATTCAGAGCGAGAGCTACTACCTGGTACATTCGTTCACATTGCTCATCTTCACCATGCTCGCACAGTCTCTTTTCATTGCCTTCGCTGTTGCGTCTGGCGTAGGTGCAAACTGGCTTCCCTACCAGCGCTCTGCGCTCTCTTCCGGTCCGCCGAGCAACCTCGCAGCCGGATCGTTCTCCAACTGCACGTCGTACGCGACGGTGGAGACTGGAGACACGTGCTCGACCCTCGAGGCTGCAGCCGACATCTCGTTCAGTGACCTCCTTCGCTGGAACCCGGAGGTAAGTCATGGAGACTCTGACGGTTCCGCCGTTCATATACTCATCAAGATGCTAGCTCGATACAGCCTGTACCATCCTCGAGCTCGGTGCAGCATACTGCGTGGGCGGCGGAGGTAGCATCGAACCATCGTGATTTGTCGCTTCGATCTGAACTCTTATCCCCAGGTGATGCGTGCCCCCAACTCTACACCGTAGCCTCCGGCGACTACTGCAGTAAGATTGAGAGCGAAGAAGGGCTCACCGCGGCCCAATTGCAGGCTCTCAATCCCTGGCTGGATGCTAACTGTGATCTCGAAGTCGGCGAGGTCCTTTGCGTTGGCTCAAGCCCGACGCCAACGACGACGCTTACAATGACCGTCAGTACGGCAACGACAGCGACTACGACCACAACCTCAGCGGTCCCGACGCCTACAAACATTGCTAGCGGAAGTTGGACTAAGTAAGCGCCTCACTACTCACCGTCAATTGATTACTGATGCCTTGTACAGCTGCACCACATACTGTACGTCACCCAGATGCTTTCAAGAAATTTGATTTCTTACATCTCTTCTAGACGAGGTCCAAAGCGGCGACTCGTGTACCGCTATCGATGAAAAGTCAGTTCTCACCGAGTTTACTTGTGTTGAAGAAACACCGACAGGCTGACGCACTGTACAGATTTGGCATAGCGCTCAGCGACTTCCTGCGATGGAACCCCGAGGTGTCGGACGATTGCAGCAGTGCGTCCTTCCTCCTCGTCCTTATACTCCGTTGACCGTATGTGTCTCCAGATCTCCTGCTAGCTGTACGTGTCCAGAGTTGGGGCCCCGCCAAACGTGTCTTCTCACTGACTTGCTTATAGGCGTACTGTGTCAAAGGCTCGCCTGCGTGCGATGAAGTCTACACGGTTGTCAGCGGCGATTATTGCGCGAAGATTGAGTACAACTATAACATTACCGACGCGGATTTGTACGCGTTGAACCCCTGGCTCGATTCTGCGTGTGGTGCGTGTCCCACGGCCCATTGAAGAACACTTACTCATACCCCGCGCGACAGACTTGCAAGTCGGTCAGAATCTCTGTGTCGGCGAGATTGAGTAGTGTAACAGTGGACTATGTGTACCGTTCAATTCGCGTCAGTTGGTATTGGTGGACATTGGGTGTATGGCTTGCGACGAAGCTAGTACAATGGTTTTCGGGTGATTACATAATAACAGTAGATGGGACAAGCAGTCCTTGCAAAGTTCAGGCGAGCACGAGATCTATCAGTCTCATTAGTGTCTGATCACTGGAATACATGACTAGTGACTGCTTACCCTAGAGTCTCACGTCTTCGCGAACGCAGCGCTGCGCATATACTCATCAATCTGCTGTGCCTCGGCGTTCTCCATCTCGACAGTCACTTCATTGGGTGAGTTAGATTGCGCCATGCGGTCTAAGCTACACCCATGTAACATCGGTCCACCGTGTACTACACGTACTACCCAATTTCGGATGCGGTGATTACTGAGGAGTGCCTGTTGTATCCTCAAACAGTTCTCTCGCCAGGAACCGCATACCCTTCTCATGCGCCTCATCCGCCCCGGCGCAGAACTCAAGGGGCCACGCCTTCGCCATCAGAGCATGCTCCCCTCCTGGAACGATCTCCAGCTCCGCCTTCACCCCGAACTCGCGCAAGCGATCGTACGTCTTCTGCGACTCAGACAAGGGCACCGTGGCATCATTACCGCCATGCAGCAGGAACGTCGGTGGGAACGACGCGTCGATCTGCGTCTCCAGCAGAGCGGGGCGGAGCCGCTCGGGCAGGGCCACAGCGCGCTCAGCGTAGGGCAGCGCGCGCAGCATGGCGGAGACGGGCTCGCCGAGGACGTGGTCGAGAAGCTCGCCGGTGCTCCACCAGTACGAAAAGAGCCCGATGCGACGCTGCTCGTCGGCGAAACAGTCGTGGTCCATCTGCAGCGTGCAGCCCGACGTCGGCGGCACACTGGTCGCGTCGAGGAGGTGCGCGAGCGTTGCGCGTGGTGGGGGAGGAACGCGCCCGAACATCGCATCGCCCTTGTCGGCGACCCAATGGTCGCAGATGAAGTCACCACCCATGCCGTAGAGGAGGTATACCGCCTTGGGCTTGGGCTCGCCGTAGATCGCTAGGGCGCGTGCGGCGTAGCCGCCGCCAGACACCCCAACTACGCCGATACGGCTATTGTCGAGATAGATACCGGCGGGTAGGTATATCTCGGAGAAGGAAGGGTCAGCGAGGAACTTCATGAGTGCCTTCATGTCCTCGATGATGTCGAGTCCCGTAGACGGGTATATGAGGCGGTAGTCTGCGGACATGAAGATCATGCCCTTCGACAGCGTTGAGTCTGGTGTGTGGTGAAGGTGGTTCGCTCAGTGCTAGTGAAAAGTGGCATGCTTGGTGGACTGCACCTTTCAACCATTGAAAACAGTCGATGCCCGACCGAGAACCCGTCGTCATACCGCCTCCATGGATATGCACGACGCCTGGCAAGGTTCCAATTATCGGTGACGGAGGCAGCGTGATGTCGAGCTTGATCTCCAGGTCGCCGACGCGTGAATATGTGATTGTTTGCATGATGGGGGTGCCTGCGAGTCCAGCGAGTCAGAAGAGACAAGTGGTGGAGTAACACGCACAGCAGGTTGTGTGGGTAGATGCGCGAGGGCAGTAGGCAAGATAAGTACGCCCCGTCCAATGCGGCGGCCGGCTTGAGCTTAACTCACAGAAGTGGCTCGGTTCCAATTCTACATCGGGAGTCGCCAAATGGAAGCGGTCGGCGTCTGCACACCATGTAGGGTAAGGAGGGAGCAGGCAAGTAGCTTCGTTGTCCCACAGCTCCCGGTATCAGGCGCGGCAGTACTGGCAATGAGGCAAGAGGTGACAGATTTGTACCTCCAAATTGTCAGTCTCCTCCCCGCGATAGGACCGCGTCATCAGCCTGCAAATGCGACCAAACATCATAAAGCAGGAAACGGACACGGATAGTTGCTGGTACGTGCTGACGTCATCATTGCATGTTATACAAGCACACTGTGACGCCGAATCTCGTTCTCCAGGAACAGCAATGCGCTCTGGTACGCCTCCTGAGCCCCAGGCGTCGCTGCGGGAGGGACCGTTTTCGTCATCAGCCCATGGGTCCCACCGGGGATGACCTCGAGCTCAGTCCGCACACCCAGCTCGCGCAGGCGTGCGTGCGTGACGCGGGACTCCTCTGCGAGGACGATCCCGTCATTCTCCCCATGTATGAAGTACGTCGGCGGGAACGACGCGTCAATGTGCGCCTCGAGGATCGCAGGCCGCAAGTGCTCCGGAACCGCGGCGTACCGGTCGGCCTCCGGCAGCGCGCGGAGCGTCGCAGAGACCTTCTCGCCGAGGAGATAGTCGACCACTTCGCCTGTACGCCACCAATGGAACAACAGGCCAATCCGCCCCTCGTCGTCCGTGAACTGGCCGTCCGGCTGCACCTTGATGGGCGCCTCCGTGACCGGCGCGGGCGGGCTGCGCAGGAGGTGCGCGAGGGACTCGGCGGTGACGCGGTCGGCCCCTGGGAAGGGCATGTATTGGTCCTCGGCTTTGGGCTTCACCCAGAAGTCGGTGAGCATCGCGCCGCCCGCGCCGAAGATGGACACGAGCGCGATGGGCTTCGGGTTGGCGTAGATCCCAGCTGCGCGCGCGACGTAGCCGCCTGCGGACCCCCCGAGAGCGACGATGCGCGCGGCGTCGAGGGAGACACCCGTCGGGAGGTACGTCTCGGAGAAGCTGGGGTCTGCGAGGAAGGCGAAGAGGGTCTTCACGTCGTCGATGATGTCGAGTCCGGTGGACGGCCATATCAAGCGATAGTCCGTCGAAATGAAGAGGAATCCGCGTGAGAGAGCGAAGTCTGCATCGATCCCAATGTCAGTGCGCGCAGGGAAGGGTACATGGCTTGCATGGAGCCCATACCCCGGATGAAGTCTGTCAGCCTGGCCGAGCCGGGCTCGTTACGGGAGCCCGCTACCATGCCGCCGCCGTGGATGCAAATTACCGCGGGCAGTGCGCCTGTGATGTCGGCGGGTACGTCGAGGTCGAACTTGATCTCGAGGTCACCGACGCGAGAAAAAGTGATCGTTTGCATATTTGGCCGACTGTGCGAAGAGTAGAAGTGATGAGCGTCACCTACAGCTCTTTCGCGAGAGAGTCAACTCACTTCTTTGATGCACTGTTCGCAAGAGTGGGAGGTTCGAGCGATAATGGTGGATGAGATGCTGGAGTAGACCTCTCCAGTATTTAAGGCGTGGTCGTCTGAGGCTGCTAAGTAGCATGCCACAGACGGCTCGTCGTTAGCAGTTATGACAGACGCACGAGTACGGCCGGCACCTAGCCGGCATATAGTAGGCCGCACAGAGGGAAGTCCACCTTTCCTGTTTCTGCGTACGAAGGATTTGATCGGCAACACAGCAATGATAATGGCCCATCAGCTGTGCCAGGTATCGCAGCAATTCGAGCGGTGCTCAATGCTCATGTGTACTAAGTACATCGCCTTCGGGAGTGCCTGCCCGATAGGTTCTGACAGGTTCTGACGGGCCACATACGAGGCGCACCATGCGACAGTCAGCACAGTTTGTGTTGATTCTGTTCAGCACGTACAAGGATTGCCAGGACAGAGAGGCTACTGTGCAAGCACTATAGGCGTGACAGAACATTGACTGTGTTGCTTTCGTTGGGTTGGCTTCTTCCGAGAGCGTGGAAAGATGGTCTGCAGATGTTCAGAGCCGTTGGGATGGCAAGATGCGATACGATTCCGACCAAGTCGAGGCTGTTTATATGCTGGCTACGTCGCAGGCAAGTGGTTGTCGAAGAGTCGACGACGAAGACCGAAGGGCAGTGAGCGCTTGAGCACTGACAGTCCCGAGCGGCTGCTCCCGGCAAACGCCGTGCAATGTGCGGTCAAGTCCGAACACCGTCGGCAGGCTTGCCATCGACCGTCCGCAACGCGCACGACAGGGAGCGTCCAATCTACTGTACGTCTGCGAACTTCGTTCATGAGTTGGAAGTCGGTGAGTGCTCTTGCAAGACAAGTGTGATAAATACTTCGTTTACGCCTAACCTCCCTATAGAGATCATAAAAGACGGCTCGTCGAGGGGTCGGGACTCCGAGTTATGCGTACCGTCGCTCAGCGCAGAGCCCTAACTGGGATTACTAGCTGGTTGCAGCAAGAACACCAAGCAAGCGAGCGGTGCGGCCAGGATATCACTCAGGTCGAGCTATGAGGTTTGCCGAGACTCGTTGATTGTGGGCTGCAGTGGGTCGAGGCTGAGAAGACCGCCCTGGGCCCCTCCGTCCAAGAGGTCTTCTTTCGGGTCTGCCCAGGGGAGACTAGGGTCGAGGCGAGCCGCGCGCACAGTCGGGCTTACGAGTATATGCAGGCAAGCCAACGATAACAAAGGTACGAGCCGCATTTGACGCATACAACCATCCTTGCAAGTAGTTGCAACTGCAGCTGAACACGATACACAGCGAATAGGACGAAGGCATCGAACTGCGTATCATCGGATCCGGACCTCCCATCCTCGTTGAACACCTCCAAAGTCAGGCTGCCCTCCGCTAGGCTTTGGATACGCGACTCAGGGAGCGCGATACCGTAAGGTATGCATGCACCAGCCCTCGCGACCTGTCCCTGACTCTTCCGGGCCCTCGCAGCATGGCGATCATGCAACTCGCACGCCGATCTCGAGCGCATATTGCCACCTCCGCATCAAATTTCAACAGTCATCCTCCCTGGGTTACTCGTATTTCATATATGTGGCCTGTTAGACCCCGGCAGCTTACGATCAAAGATCAGCAGTTTGCCAGTCTGATGCACCCATCTATATACCTATGTATCCTCATCGCCGTGCACGTTGGCTGCGTGGGCTTTGAATACACGGTGACTTCCTGCGGAACGATGAAGCCTGGGGCTTCAAACTCGCGGAGGGCATGTCGTGCTGGTCACTCAGTTAGCACGTCTCCTCGATTCTGCGTTCTATCCTTTCCATCCCTCACCAAGCTACTGGAAGCGGACCGAAGCGTCGGCGACGCGCTCGTCTCGTTAAAGCGGCTCGGCTCAGTGGAGCTTGACGGCGAGTCATTGCGCTCCCTGGATGGCGAGTCGTCCTTCGCATGTGGCGCTTCGGTTCTCGCAGCCGCCTCCTTCTTGAACACCTCATTGCATCCAGTCGTCTCCCGGCCTTGCTCGTTGCTCATTGACGTCTATACCGCGGACTTGGCACTTGGACTACTTCCCGTTCGAGCGTCACCCTGACATCGTTCTCGAACTCGATCGGTTGGGGCGGTATCCTGCCATGCATTGGCAGACGGTCCATCTCGTCCCTTCGCCAGCAGGTAGATACTAGCATGGGGTCTATTGGCAGGACTGGGCATAGCTTGTGTCGGCCTCCTAGTCAACGTCACCGCCGTCATCGGCGACATCGCGAGTCTCACCAGCGCCGCCGTCCGCCAACTTCGCCTTCTGTACAGGCCGATTCACCACCACGATCATCCGCTGTGCGCGTGGTCAATCTTGTGCGGCCCGTCTATTTCTCCGCTGTCATCGACGAGTTGGAAAGTCTGATGACCCACTGCGGTGTTGGAGCTTTCCTGAAGGATGGTATGCGCGGCCTCGGTATCTGGAGGTAATTGTCATCTGCGAATTATGGGATGCCTGCGCGCGGAAATGAATGGTGCGTTGCAGTACGAGACAATGTACTTCCCATACTAAGCTTGCCATAGGACTCCCCTCTCAGCATTGCCGAGCAGTCCGAACTCGGCTCAACTTCGAGTTCTGCGGTTCCTCTTGTCAGCGAATCTGCGGCATGGCTGTGGTCACTGAGGCTCGACGGACCTTCGCTGCATTCCCTGGCGTATATAGGTACTGCTGTAGGTAAGCGCAGGCGCGACGAATTTCCCGCATCTCCCGAGCAATGCGCTTGCTTGGTGGCGGGTGCGCGGAGAGCAGCGATGTGCGGAGAGCATAATCGGTATGTGTCTCTACAAGAATTGCATACAACGATGATGACCAGGTTACAAATGTCCAGTCATATTCCTCGTCGGAAGCACAAAGTGCAGGTGCCTGGGGCCATTGGAAATATGCAAAGTTCAAGTTCCTTCCGCTTGAACTGAACGTTAGATGTACGTCGTGGCACTTCCATCCCACTCGCTTTGTGGTATGTACTAACTCGTTGGCCTATCCGGCAGTTCAAAGGGTCCGCCGAACTTGATCGCCCTGCCGGACCAGATTCGCCTTCGGAGAGAGAAAGGGGCACTGATGCGTACTCAACACCAACAGCTCCTCTATGCCCACAGCACCTCTGCTTTCTGACTCTATCGTGGGCGAATGAGCTACGTAGCCGACGCTGAACTAGGCACCGATAATGTGCTCATTTCGTCGGACTCCGGAGCGACCTTCGTGTCCCCGAATTTGATTGTCCATACTAGGCATTGCGGGTACGCTTACAGGTCGTTGATTATCACGGTGCATTGATCTGCGGTTCTCGGCAAGCGACAAACTCTGGCTTATCTTTGTGGCCTGGTGAAAACGCCCCCGCACGAACATGTCACTCGCATCCGACATGATCTTGCGCAAGAAGGTGGCGACACGGCGAACCACTCAGGCGCCACATAGGTGCAAGGATAAGGCCCTGTGATGGCCTTGCAACTCATTGGCAGTGCGTAAACTACTGTGACGCGCACTCAGATGAGGTGTCTCACTTATTGGTGCCTCCGCTCAGTTCAATAGACAGCCGATTACTCTTCTCCGTGCGTGCGCGATAAACCCGTGATTTATTTTGAAGTGCGCATTGAAGGTTACGCTCCTTAGATGGCAGAAGAACGCACGTGTGTCAACCCAACAGCGCTGGGACTGTTACGGTGAATGAGAGTACAAAGTGGTACGTAGTATTGTCCTTGTGACCGACGGGGACATTCCGCTAAGATGCAACAGGTTCTGGACACAATCTCACTGCACGGCAATATTCTCCTTACGCATGTGCGTCTCCAAATGAGCTCTGCTTCTCGACATGACGCTATTTCCACGAAGTCTAGGCCACTGCATCTCTGATAAGAACGATCACAAGAGGCATCGTTCCTCCCGTGGTGCAAAGCCTGTATATAAGCACGCATGGCCTATCGGACGCCCGACCATCGAACGGACTCAGCCGTTCATCGCGTCGCCATGGAGGTATTCATGCAGGGAATTCCATTCAGCATGGAACAACCCCAGCTCAAGGAACTCCTAGCAAGTGTCTTCCACGGCGCTGCCTACTCTGATCACTCTCCTCAGCCTCTGAACTTCGAAGTCCGCATATACCGCAAGGTGACCAAGCGGGGCACCAGAAACGGCGTCATCACAGTCCCCACCACGGAGATCGGTGAGCAGTTCCTGCGAGAGTATGGTCAAGGTTCACCCCGGAGGCGCAACACTTTCGACAGCATCGTTTTCGCACGCGGTATACACACGCCAAATCGTCGAGTCCTCGAGACGGTGCAGCAGACTCCGTACAGGCCTTCGGCGGGGCTTACACAGCCCAGGTATGACACGGCCAGCGTGTCGATCCAGCGACTTCAATTCGGATGGATCTGCCGAGACGAAGAGTATTCTGTGGAGTGGGAGAAGAAGTTCACCATCCAGGGTTCTGCATACCTGAGGTACAACGAAGGCAGGCGACAATTTCAGATGATAGCGATGGGACATGATTGCACGCGCTATATGGCCATTCGTCCTCCGCAGGTGTACTGGACCGCCGCAACACCGGACCAATACGGCGAGTCGTCGATCTTCTTTTACCTCCTCTATCCTCCCTCATTCGAGGAGGGTCCCGTGGACCCGGATTTCTTGGAGTCACTCGGAGAGGACACATATGGACAATACGAGAATCTGAGAATGTTACTCGAGGAGACGAAGATATGGCGGCTCCGGAAATCGGGCTTTGACGATACTCACGTTCCCATTGCGCCCTACACCTCCATCGCTGTGCGGCTGGTGTGCAAGTCTGCGTCAGACGTCGCCCTCTATAGGGTCCTGTGCCGGCAGGCTCACCTAACCGTTGACTCATCTGCGTACACAGTGGTTCATCGCGGGCTCTTCGCCAGATCTGTTCAGGACGTCTATCGACCCTGGGTAGCCAATTTGGACTTTGCAGTTGCGTCTCAGGTCGAGTCGTTGTTGCGGAAACGCCTCGTGGACATGCAAGAAATCGTGCGATACCTGCGTCCGAGCATCGACGATCTGATGTCGAAGCACGGCCCCCATGTGACGCGCACTGTGCTCGCTGACCTGAAGACGCGACTCGAAGCCCGTCTTTGGTACGGCGACGGGGTCGATCTCGATCTCGATGCCATCCTGCAGCTCTTCACGACTTCCTTTCGGCAGCTCTCGCAAAACCAGACTCCGTTGATGCCCCACGCCGACCTCTTCCTCTGCACCCACGTTCATATCACCCCTACCACCATCATACCCGAGGGCCCCTTTCCTGAACAGTCCAACCGAGTAATACGTAAATACTGGGACAATAGGGACAACTTCATTCGGGTTCACTTCACGGACGACAACAGACTCGCCTACCGCTACGATTCCGAGCTCAATCTCCAGCGTTTGATTGAGGAACGTGTCAAGCACTTCCTTGTCAAGGGCGTCACCGTCGCTGGGAGGCATTTCCAGTTCCTCGGCTACTCACAATCTGCGCTGAAGAGCCACTCGGTGTGGTTCGTCAGGCCGTTCCAGGCCGCCGATGGCCGCACAATAGATGCAGCGGCGATAATCGCTGGCCTTGGATCCTTCAACGACAACCCGTATGATCCCCAGCTCATCTACTGCCCTGCTCGATACGCTGCTCGCATCTCTCAAGCCTTCAGCGCCACCGCCTCCTCTATCACGGTCGCAGCGCACGAGATGGAGATTGTGGACGACATCAAGGACAGGACGGACACCTACTCGTTCACGGACGGGAACGGGACGATGTCCCTCCAGGTCGCGCGAGACATAGCGGCCGATCAGCGGTCGAAGAGCCGGGTCAGACGTGCGTGGCGAGGGTCCACCCCACGCGTTATTCAAGTACGGGTTGCTGGATCGAAGGGGATGCTGCACGTCGATCACAAACTCGAAGGCCGAAAGATTCGCTTGCCCAGGTCCATGGTCAAGTTCTCTGCTCCTACCTCCAATCAAATTGATATCGCGCAGGTATTCGAGGAGCCGTCTCGGTTCAACCTCAACCGGCCGATGATCATGCTGCTCAAAGGCCTCGGGGTCCCGTACGAGGCCTTCAAGAGACTTCAGGACGACGCGGTACGCCAAACCCATACGCTCACAGAGTCGCTGGCGAATTCGAGATGGCTGCTTGAGATGAATGGCCTTGGCGGCTCGTTCAAGATCGCGTCCATTGTTGGCCAACTCCACAAACTCGGTGTGACCGTCGCGCAGTTGACAGAGTCCGGCTTCTGGCAGCGGATGATGACGTTCGCGGTTAACCACATTCTCCGAGAACTCAAGGACCGCGCTAGCATTCCCGTGCCCGGAGGATGGACCCTAGTAGGGGTCGCCGATATCCATGGTCAGCTGCGGGAAGGGGAGATATACGCATGCGTACAGACTTCAGACAATCGAAAGACCTATCTCGAAGGACCTACCTTGATCACCCGCTCGCCGGTCATTCATCCAGGCGATATACAGGTCGTGCATGCGATTGGAAGGCCACCAGTGGGATCGGATCTTGCTCGGGGACGACTGAAGAATTGCGTTGTATTTTCCACGCGAGGTGCGTCATAGACGGCGTCTGACGTCGTCGATAGACCTAAATACCAACATTGATACAGGAACCAGGCCTCTTCCGTCGTACCTCGGAGGAGGAGATCTCGACGGTGATATGTATCACGTCACTTGTGTGCCGCAGGACCTGTTACCACCGACAGCAAGCTGCGACAGTGTCTGCATGACACGATCAAGCAGAAGGCAAAGGAAGAGTGGAGGAACTCACCGCGAGTGGAGAAGATGGACAGGATCGACAGCGGCATGCCCTCAAACGCGTACCGCAAACTAGCTGAAAGACTCCCGAGACGACATGCGAGCATCCTGATCCAACTACGCACGGAGCACGTCCCTCTCCAGCGGTACCTCCACAGAATCCGACAGGCCGACTCACCAATATGCCAACGGTGTGACTCAGGAGCGAAGGAGACGGTATACCATTACCTCCTAGAATGCCGGGGCCACGCACGGGCAAGAGCGCGACTGGAACGCGACGTCGGACCAGCAGCGAAGTCGATACGAAGCCTTCTCAGCGCGCCAGCGCTGACTAAGGCACTCTTTCGCTACATACACGAAACGGGGCGATTCACCGCGACCTACGGCGATCTATCGCTGAAAGAGGAGGAGGGAAAGGGGACGAAGAAGACCGCGGGCAGGGCGAAGACACGACCGACTCGACAGGGAGGCTGACAGGCGCAGACGGGCGGGGCCAACTGACATGACGGAGCTGCTCTATTTCTCATCACAATCCACTACTCCACATTCCGTGTTACTATACTACACTCCTGACGCCATCGCGGCTGACGGACATGCGCAGCGAAGCGAGGACGATGACAAGGACTCCGTAGGATAGATCATCATGTTTATGTCTACATAGGGCGCCGCCCTCAGCGACACTAAATGGAACAAACAAACAAACAAACCACCGACAGACAGACTTCAGAAGCCTGCTTCGTATAATCCGGCGAAACGTAAAATACTGAACCGGCCGAGTACCATGCAAGATGTCGCCACATTCGTAGCAGAGTTCATCATCAGTGACGTGCGTACTATTCCTGACTGTACTGCATCTGCGATTAACCAGTTACCGTCAGAACGTCGGTCTCATTGCATCGACGTGGCTGACACTCGCCGACAACGTAGGAATACTCGATAGAGATTGTCTCCGCCTCGCAGAGCTACACAATGCCGCAGTCGACTATCCTAAGACCGGGTTGCCAGTTGATATCAACGCCATTCGGCCCATACAACGCCGCGTCTCACAAAAGCCAGACTGGTATACTTTCGAGGCCACCGTCAGCTGGACCCCTCAATATTATCAGAGCAATAGCGCTCTTGGCCGACTCTTCCGTGCTATCGACCTGCCGGCCCTTGAGGAGCGTAGTACGGAGACGTCCCACTTTGACTCGCCCGAGATAGATGAAGAGAACGGGATAACACTAGCCGATGTTCTCGCCGACGTACGGACCAAACCGTTCACCCATCGCGCTCTTCTCCCGCCGGTCGTCGCTGAAGTGCGGAGGCATTTGCCGGTGGGGCGCGATGACTTCGACGAGTCATTGGCGAGCAAGTGCTGGAACCTGTTCACCGTCTACGCATCCCGTCTTCGAGGAACATGCGCATCGCATACAGTCTCAGCGTCGCGCTCGGCCATGCTCTCGGAAGAGGAGGTCGTCATTGGGACCATATCAGCGAAGAGCGCACAGGCCCGAAAGCGCGCGGACATGATCGAGAAAGTCCGGGAGCAGACGGCGACGCTTGTGAACGGTATCAGCGCAGAGTTGTCTGGCGGTGGACACCTGGACGCGGCGACACGCTTAGAACAAGCCTGGATGGCGTACAGGGTCTCGTGCACGCTATCGGGATGGTTTGGAGGGCAGAGCTTTGCGTGGATCGCATTGGGGGGAGGTCTTTGACGCCATCCGTGAACTGAACGAAAGGATGGCTGAAGGTGTGTATATCAGTCCTCATTTAAAGCAACAAACTACAGGACTGATACCGAAACGTTGTCATAGGACGCTCCCCAACGCAGCAGTTACACAAGCGTGAAAATGTACAATTAGGTCGCTGGGAATGATCTGATATGATGACGGTGACGGTCCGATCGTAAGAGTTCTCAAGGTATAATCAGTCATTCTGCCAGCGCATGTTACCGCTGATATACTCGACATCAGTCACATCGCTAATATGTATGCCCTGCACTATCTCAGTTCAGGTCAGGTAGAACGCCTACGTCCAATGAATGGCTGCAGTCCGGGCTTGAGTCCGAATGGAAATTTATCCGTTGGCGTGCCCGAATCACTGATATCTTTGCAGCCTACAATTACGAGAAGGGTTGAATCAATCCACGCACTTCACGTGGTAACTACTGCGTAGTACCCGATGCACACTCAAACAGTTATCTCGCCAGGAACTGCAAACCCCTCTCATGCGCCTCATCCGCCCCGGCGCAGAACTCAAGGGGCCACGTCTTCGCCATCAGAGCATGCTTCCCTCCGGGAACGATCTCCAGCTCAGCCTTCACCCCCAGCTCGCGCAATCGATCGTACGTCTTCTGCGACTCAGACAAGGGCACCGTGGCATCCTTATCGCCATGCGTCAGAAACGTCGGCGGGAATGACGCGTCGATCTGCGCCTGCAGCAGCGCGGGGCGGAGCCGCTCGGCTAGGGCCGCAGTGCGCTCGGCGTAGGACAGTGCCCGGAGCGTCGCGGAGACGGGCTCGCCGACTCGGAGGACGTAGTCGAGGAACTCTCCGGTGTGCCACCAGCAGCGGAAGAGCCTGATGCGACGATGCTCGTCGCTGAACCGATCGGTCCCAGGCTGCAGCGCTCTGCCAGACGTCGGTGGTACCATTGTCGCGTCCAGGAGGTGTGCGAGGGCCTCACGCGGGAAGGGCGGGGCGCGTTCGATTGTCAACTCGCCCTGATCGGCGACCCAGAGGAGGTCACCGCCCATGCCGTAAAGGAGGTATACCTCCTTGTGCTTTGGCTCGCCGTTTAAGTATCGTTATGGCGCGTGCGGCTTGAAGCTTTGAGGCCCGAAGAAGGCGGATGGCGGCAACCAAGAGACTCTCCGTCCAATGCTGGGAATCTCACCGGTGATTAAACGACTCGACGCGAATTCCGCGTCGGGGATCTCAGACACAACTGGGCTGGCCATGCTCCACAATCAACATGAAGGGCAGAGCTTGATGCATCCTAGGGTGATACTACTCACGTTACGCTGTTCGTGACCCTGGCGAGGTGGTATGGCACCGCCCTGGTCCCCAAATATCAGGTTCGGCAGGCGCAACGCTTGACCTTAGTTCGCATATTGTTATTCACGATGGTGATGAACTAGCGTGCATTCCGTTTCTGCAGACATTCCGGTCATCACATCACATTGGTACAAATACATTGCGCTTTCAGTGTTACGTTCAACTTGGAATCCTTATCCAAACGGATCATCTGCGTGGTTGCCAATGTGTCTCAAGCTCGTAGGCTACCTTCTGCTTCTCCCTCCGAGTCCTCCTTCTGCTCCTCAATCTCGCGAATCGCATCGAAGATCTCTCCTAAGGCAATCCATCCGAAGCTCTGCCCGCCAAACCTTTCTGAGAGCGTGCACGACACCCTGTACGCCGTCCAGGCCTGCATCAAGTGTGTCGACGGACCAGCACCTTCGACGCCCGACAGCTCCGCGCAGATGCCGTTCACGAGCGTTGTCGTCTGCTCGCGAACCTTGGCGATCATGTCCGTGCGCTTGCGGGTTTGGGCGCACTTCGCCGCAATCGTCCCAATGACAACTTCCTCCTCCGAGAGCATGGATGAGCGGGAGGCCGAGACAGCATTTGACGCGCAGATCCCGCGGAGGCTGGACGCGTACGCGGCGAAGATGTTCCACGTCTTGGTCACGAGGGTCTCGGTGGGGTTCGGGCGGCCTAGATACTTTTGGACTTCCGTTGCGACTGCTGGAAGAAGAGTGCGATGGTTGAACGGTGTGGCACGTAGGTCGGCGAGGACATCCTCCAGCTTGACCTCGTCTTCTTCATCTATTTCAGGCGAGCCAAAGTATGAAGACTCCATACTCCGCTCATCTTGGTCGGGCAGATCAATGGCGCGGAACAGGCGACCGAGCGCGCTGGTGCTCCGATAGTAGGTCGGCTGCTTGCCAATGATGGTCTCGGGCTTGTACCAATCCGGCTTCTCTTTGATGCGCTTTTGCATTGGCCGCACCTCGTTGATAGGAACGGGCAGTCCACTCTTTGGATAGTCGACTGCAGCATTGTGTAGTTCGGCCAGCCGAAGACAGTCTGTGTCGAAGATACCCGCCTTGTCCGCGAGTATCAGCCACGTCGAAGCAATGATGCCAACGTTCTAGGTGTCCCTTATCAGCGGTACACGGTGAGCAAACAGTATCAATTGGACACACATCACTGATGATGAATTCTGCCACGAAGTCAGCGACGTCTCGCATGGTGCTCGGGTTCTGAAGGGTCTTGCGCCTCGCAGGGCTGTATGATGCTGGCTTCTGGAGTCTTGCCACAGGAGGCAGTAGATCCTGGGGCACGCAAGTGACGTTGTACATATCGCCGTCGAGGTCACCTCCTCCTAGATATGACGGCAGCGGCCTTTCTCCTGCATTCATAGTACTGTTCGTAACTGTTCGCGAGTCAGAACAGTATAACAACTCACCTTGGGTGGAAAATACGACGCAGTTCGGCAAATCTTGTTCAGCAAGATTTGATCCCTCGGGTGCCTTTCCAATCGCCCGCACGACCTGTATATCGCCCGGATGAATAGCCGGAGAACGCGTGATCAGGGTAGGTCCTTCGAGATAGCTCTTGCGCCCGTCTACAGTCCGCACACATGCATAGATCTCCCCTTCGCGCAGCTGACCATGCCTATCGGCGACCCCGACGAGTGTCCATCCTCCGGGGACGGGAATGCGGGCGTGATACTTGAGCTCTCGTAGAATGTGGGTCACAGCGAACGTCATCATCCGCTGCCAGAAGCCGATCTCCGTCAGCGACGCGACGGTGACCCCAAGCCTGTCAAGGTGTTGTACGACAGAAGGGAGTTTGAACGAGTTCCCCAGACCGTGCATGTCAAGCAACCAACCCGAATTTCTCAGCGACTCCGTGAGCGTGTGGGTCTGACGAACTGTCTCGCCCTGAAGCCTTGCGAAGACCTCGTATGGGACCCCAAGTCCCTCGAGCAGCATGATCATCGGCCGATTCAGGTAGAACCGGGACGGCTCCTGGAATACCTGCGCAATCTCGATTTGATTGGAGGTAGGAGCGGAGAATTTGACCATGGATTTGGGCAGCTGTATCTTTCGACCCTGGAGCATGTGGTCGACGTGTAGCATGCCCTTCGATCCAGCAATCCGCACTTGGAAAACGCGCGGAATGGTCCCCCGCCATGCACGTCTGACTCGACTCTTCGACCGCTGATCGGCCGCGATGTCTCGCGCGACCTGGAGAGACATCGTCCCGTTCCCGTCCGTGAACGAGTAGATTCCTGTCCTGTCCTTGATATCGTCGACGATCTCAATCTCCTCCACTGCCATCGCAATGGAAGACTCGGTGGCGCTGAACGCCTGCGAGACGCGAGCGGCATACCGAGCAGGGCAATAGATGAGCTGCGGGTCGTACGGATTGTCACTGAAGGAACCGAGACCGTCAATGATAGTCGCTGCATTGACGGTTTGCCCGTCAGCGTCTTTGAACGGTTTCACGAACCACACCGAATGGCTCTTGAGCGCAGACTGCGAGTATCCGAGGAATTCAAAACGATGACTAGCCACGGATACACCCTCGAGGAGGAACCGTTTGACGCGTCGGTTGACCAAGTCTTCCAAGTTGATCTCCGCATCGTAGCGATAAGCAAGTTCGTTGTCGTCGATGAAGTGAACACGGAGGAAGCACTCCCGGTGATCCCAGTATCGACGGATGACCCTGTTGGATCGCTCAGGGTATGGTCCCTCCTGGAAGATTGCGATCGGCGTAATGTAGAGATGGTTACACTCGAAGAGATCGGAGTGGGGCAGTGCATGGACGCGAAGGCGGTTGAGTTGTCGAAGGCATGTGGTGAGCAGGTCCTTCACGGTGTCTTCATTGACATCGACACTATCGCCGTACCATTTTCGCGCGTCGAGTCGCGTCCTGAGGTCTGCGAGCAACGAGCTCGCTATGTCAGATCCGTAGCGCGAGATAACACGATCAACGGTGGGGCGAAGGAGCTCGGCAACCTCGCGCATATGCACGACATAACTGCTGAGCAGGCCCTCGACCTGGAATGTGACCGCGAAGTCCAGTGTGGCGATCCATCGTTGATACGCAGCACGAACCGTATCAGAGAAGAGCCTGCGGTGCACAACAGTGTAAGGAGAAGAGTCGACAGGAAGGTGAACCGATCGGCAGAGTCTTCTATACATGGCGATATCGAGCGCGCTTCGGCAGACAAAGCGGATGGCAATGGAAGTGTAGGGAGCGATAGGAAGGTGGGTGTCATCGAAGGCACCCAACCTGCGTCGCAGTATCTTGAATGACGACCGGTGCAGATTCCCGAGCGAGTTCGTTATTGAGAGCAGCTGTCGCATAGAGAAACTACGGAGAGGATCCGGGTTTGTATCCTCGTCCTCGTCGACGAAGTCTGAATCAGGGGGACCCGCTTCGAACGATGGCGGGTAGTGAAGGTAGAGGAAAATGGATGGTTCGCCGGATTGGTCGGGGCTCGCGGCGTTCCAATACACCTGACTGAGACGAATGGCAATGAGGCGTGTACGGGTCGCATCCATAACCTTCATCTGGAGCTGTCTCCTGCCTTCGTTGTACATGAGCACGGCGGAGCCTTCGACACGGAACTCCTGTTCCCATTCCACAGAATACTCCTCGTCGCTGCAAACGTATCCGAACTGGAGTCGGCGTATCGACACGGTATTGGCGGCACGCGGCTGGTGCACCGCTGGCGCCTGTGACGGAGACTGATAGGGGGCCTCTTGCACGGCCTTGAGAACTCGACGGTTGGGAGCCTTCCGGCCACGCTCGAAGGTTATCGTGCCGAAGTTGCCATCTCCGCCAGTTGAACCGTCGCCATACTGCTGAAGGAACCGCTCACCGACTGCTTCGGTGGGAACCGTGATAGTCCCGTTCCTCGTACCGCCCTTGGTCACTTTGCGGAGTATGCGGACTTCAAAGTTGAGCGGTCGCGAAGAGTGGGGAGCATAGGTAGCGTAGGTAGCGCTGTGGAAGACGCCAGCGATGAGCTCTTTCAGCTGGGGTTGTTCCATGCTGAAGGGGATCCCTCGCATGAAAACCTCCATGGCGATACGATGAGCAACGCGAGGGGGTTCTGGCCGTGATTTGCTCTGTCTCGAAGAGATGAGTATATATACCTTCGACGGGAGACGCCATTTAACATAGCTGCGTATCGGCAAATCAAGAGCCTGCGAAGCCACCGGATTAGGGTAGCCTTGTATCTTCAGCGCTGCACAAGTGGATTAGGTTCTAGAATAGAGCAAAGGTCATGGGTTTCGTCCATGAATAGATTTTTGGAATCTGCTCACAGGGGTATCGGGATAGCTAGTGAGGAAGCCCTAACGCAGAGAGGGCCGGGGGCGAGACCTGCTATTGAGCCACTGGTCCATCCTGCTCCTCACGTGGTAGCCACATGCTAGGGTTACCCTTGAGCGTAATATATTCATTGAGCCGCAGAACCTACTATCGGCCGTGCCCCAGGCGAGCGCATATCGGAGTCCTGCGTTGTGTGGTCACTTGAGTCTTCATTAGACCACAGAAGTATGTGGACGTGGACTCACGGACTCCGAGCTACCGAATTCGAACGGTAACTTATGTAGTGTTATCAAGGTTTGCATTTGAAAGACTGCGGGGATTCCGCCGAAGACATCATGCTCCGAGTATGCACGAGGCGTTCAAAAACACGGCAATTGCGCACCTGGGATGCTCGAGCGTCCAATCTGCGAGGTCCTCTCGTAAGTACTGTGGGAAAGAAGGAAAACTCGCCGAGTGCTGTACGGCTTAAAGGACGACTCGCGACACAACTTGAGCCTGTTCAAGGGCCGTTTGCGGTACTACCTCCGACAAATGTGCCTATATATGTTAGTTGCCACGGTCAGTTCCATTGATTCTCAACATGGCGACACACCTGCGATCTTTGGGAGGTGGCGAAACATGCAACGACGGCTGCTGGACCTCGGTGGACACTGGACAAGCTGCTGAACAGGCAAACGTCCGCGCTCCAGCCAGGATGAGCGTGATTAGGTAAGCGAGTTCCCCGGGCCGGCGAACCTTGCCGGGACGCTTCCTCCGACACCCAACCTGCTTACAAGTTCATCGCTCACTGCAACACTCGACTGTCTCCCTCTTAGCTCCCTACGATCGCACGAAACATCAAACGACTGCCGCCTCCGAAATTACAACAGCAGGGGAGGAGGAAATTAAGTAAAGATCATGGGCGCTTATATCCAGCGAGGCGCCACCGTCGACGTCGCGAGTCCTGCAGACTGACCCTCTGTACATCCACACGACTCACACTCACGAGCACCTAGAGCAGAACACGGACACCGATAAGTCGATCGAACCGCGTGCATGCGAGGCCTATAAAAAGAGTACATCTGCTGTAGAAGAGGTCAGAGCCTCAGTCCCTCAGTACCCCTCGCAGAAATGTGTCGTTCACTGACAACGCGCACTTGAATAGCCCTCGCCGACTCATCCTCTTCCGATACACCCGCCATCTACATTTCACTGGTCATCGAGAAACACTAGCCCTCTCAGCATATACCAACTAGCGTCACTAGTATGCCATTGGGCTGGCGCTTTGAAGACATCATCGAGTTCATGCACGACGTCGCTTCGGGCCGAGAGCTACGTACAATGCTTGACACTACCTCTCGCACCGAGTCGGGTGAGCAGCTACCCTTCCATTTGCACTCTTCTAAGGGCGACTGTCAATGGGACCCGACAAACATCATGATCTACGTGCATCGTCTGAGCGCAGGAGCCACGACGGAGATGCTCCGTTGCGCGGACACTTCTACGAACGAAGTGGTATGCAAAGTGGCGTCGACGGAATTAGGCAGGAAGTCGTTGGTGAACGAGGCAAGGATATACGAGGATCCGCGAGTTCTTCACCTTCAAGGGAAAGAGATTCCCATGTTCTACGGTCTATTCGAGGCCAGAACACCGGTCCAACGTTGCGGAGATTCCACGGATACCACTCATATCATGTGTCTCGTGCTCGAGAAATGTGGTAGCACTATCGGCGCCGACGATGACAAGGACGCATTGTTGGTGCAGACTCCGGAGTTCCGGTACGTTGTGCAGACTTAGCAGCTAAGTACTAATGTACTGAATTGAACGGGCTTTGGGGTCTATTCACAGGTTAGCGACAGCACGAGCGTATTGGACTTTACACCAATGCGGTATAAGAAAGGAGTCACCCTATGAGCTCTCTAAGCTCTTCAGGCCCAGCAACATACTCATCAGGGAGGATGGATCTCCTTGTATCATTGACTTCGCCCGTGCCAGCAAACATATTTGCCCATGCGGAGTGAACATTCACCCTGCTGAAAAATGGTACATAGTAAAGGGCTGCGATGAACTCGGATTTATTTGTGACTATGCGAGGATCTGGCCGCCCAGTGAGTTTTATACGAAGCAAAGGATCAGAAGCGCACGAGAAGCTCATACATAATTGCAGGATTTGCGTACATCACAAATAATGACGGAGATATAGTGTGCCAATGGCATTATCTTCGCGATCAGGCTGCGGAAGACTATGACCTCGAGGAACTAGGGCTGGAGGACTTGGAGCCAAACGTCGCCTTAGAGATGGTGCAAGCTGCGCTCGAGAAATGTGAAGCACGCTGGGTGAAGTGGGAAACGGATTTTGCGTATGCGTTTGCGACCTGGCAGGCGTAGGGGATAGTTGTGGCAAGTCACGGTACAACGCCTGTACTTAGCCCGAGACAATATTGCCTTCAATCGGGGCATGGCTCTGCATACAATTATGTTCGAATTCACGACGAATAAGCAACGTATGAACTGTACCAGTAATCGCCGTATTGCCCACTAGGATTGCACGACGGTAATACCGGAGACATATACACCTTGAGGTGCTATTAGAAACAAAGCTCCGGCCGCGATTTCATGCAAACATGAGCCTGCTAAGTGCTAGCCATACTGCGACTGCGACAGAATTAGAGAAATATTCCTCCTGCCAGTGACATCGACGCAAGTTGCCGTCTGGGACCTGGGTCGTATCGCCCACCTCAGCGAGATCACGCGACCTCAATTCCTCATTGCATAACTTACTAGTAGCTGTGTCACGCATCTCGTCTCCAGCTTGAGCATCTTACTATATCCCGCACAACCTCAATCCTTCGCATCGTCCTCAACATCTCATTGACTCTGACATGGATTCACGAGACAGGTTGGCGCGGGACGCACTCAAGTCCCAGTTCATGCGTCGTGTTTACCTCGAGCGACCGGATCATGACGACTCGCAAGGCTGTAATGCCGGCTCCCTGTTGCACGACATCGTTGATGTTGCCGACAATTCATATCCGCGACAATTTCATTACTCGCGCGAGACCTACGTATACATTTACGTACTTAAGCTCAGGTCAGACGGGAGCGAAGTGCTCTGCAAGGTGGCTGCAGCATCACTCACGGGAGAGAAGCGCCTAGTCCAAGAAGCTCGGATGTACGAATCCCCGAACACGGCGTCACTCCAGGGCACTGTGATGCCCAAATACCACGGCCTCTTTCAAGGGGATGTGAACAGCTTCTTCAAGGTGACGTGCATGATACTGGAACACTGCGGGAAGCCCTTGTCTCGACCACTTATACACGAAGATTTCGCATTCAGGTACTATCAGCACTCTCCACTCCATAGGGCAGACACTCACGTCTCTTGCACTGTCTTCGTGCCGACAGAGATGCAGTATTGAATGCGTACAGCCAACTACACACGGCGCCAGCCATGCTCGTCAAGGGCGATGCCTCGGAGTACAAATACGAAGATATTGTCCGCAGGGGGAATGGCCAGCCGTGCCTGGTTGATTATGGGTCTTCACGACCGCACAGGGGCGATTGTGATCAACCCAGATTCGACTTCAAAAGTTTCACGCCGATTCCAGGCACAGACCTGTCTTGTGGAGAGATACTCGAAGTCTCTAAAGCTGCTGGGGCATTAATGGATAGTCAGTAACGTCGTTGGCCGAGATAGCCATGTGTCTGCTCACGTCAGAGACTGATATGCACTCTAGATTCTTTCGAAATCAAAGGTATTGGGCCTATGCACTATCATCCGAAGAAAACGATCGCGGATTATTGGAGATCGGCCCGTAGCGAGATGATGGCGCGAGGGTATAACGAAACGGGCGGGCACGAAGTGATACAGAAACACCTCGAAGAATACAAGAACTACCTCAAGGACATGGAGGCTCTTGGAAAGCCGGGGAATGATGAGTGAAGTGTGGCTCGATATAAAACTTGCAGACACATGCTTACATCTGATTTTCACCGCAGATGAGACCGCGATCTATGTGCGCCGTACACGCATTACGCATCAGTGAAACTTAGTAGAACGAACCGGAGTGAATCGCGTTGAGTACGCACGCTGTACAAATATGACTGAGTCTGTTGCTTCGCATGACCTCGGCCAGCCTGAGTGCCCTCAGGCCGGGAATTAGAGATCGCGTATGCGCTTCGAGGGGCATGAGAAGCATTCGATACAGAACCAATCCGAGTGGGACACAAGTATAAGGCGTTAGACTTGAGCGGCCGAGCGTATAGTACGAACTGCCACACTAGTCTGCATTTACTAACCGCAACAGGACGAAGCTTACACTGGCAGTAGAACGTTCACTGTTCTCTGCCTCTCAGCGAGCTCTATCACGTGCGTGTGGCCCGACGCGTGGGCAACGCGCAGAAAGTCCGATCCACGGGGAGAGCCGTTGCGTGCAACGCGTTGCGCGCAACGCGCAACGTCACGCAAGTCACGGTGTGGCTCCCCTGTGGCCTAAGCGGCGCCCGGGCCAACGATACACGAATCTTTTCAACCTTGGGTTACAAGGGATTGTTGGAGGTTATACTGAGAGGTGTATCCTCTAGTAGAACGAATGTCGCCTCTGTGTGCGTAGTTCGAGTGCTTACTCGATGCACCGCGGCCCGCCACCGCATACTTACGTAATCTCCCGGTAGATACATCGCGGCCACCGGCCACGGTGGCGACTGTTGGCGACTCAGAGACTAGAGTCGGTCCCCGCAATCCCAATTGAGCTAAAAACTGGAATGTAAACCCGATTATATAGGAGCTATCACACATCTAAACGATGTTCAGAAAACAGCTGTAAGTATGTTTGGAACGGACCGCATCACAAGGCACCCGCCACATGCCCCGATTAGGCAAGTGGTCGGTCAACGGTAATAAGTTAGTCGGAATCTATGTACAAGTAGACGTCAGCTAGCCGTGCAGTATTCACCAGCCAATCCTATGACTTCTCAAATAGTGCAGCTCTCTACTTAATTCTCATCGCTGCGGCGGCGCCGAGGCTGGACGAGCACATAAGCAACTGTCTGAAAGTGTATGTCACAGCGTGATGTGTGTGACTGTTGCACGTTGCGCGTTGCGCGTTGCACGCAACGCCCCTCCCAGTCGATCGGACGTTCTCGCAACGCGGCTGAGGCTCCTTCATCCATCCTCTTTCTCCTCCACCGCTGCCATCTCCTCCCACAGCTCTACGCCTCGATTCGCGTCGTTGAATACTCAGCTCCAAGTGAACTACTGGGCAAAAGCCATGCCAATAGTCTAGTTCACACCCTTCTCGTCTCTCGTTCAGCCCGCATTCTGGCACGCGCTCACAGACTCTGACGACTCTGTGACAATTCATGGCTCCTATGCTACCGGGCGATCCGTGAAGGATCGCGAGTCTGGCGCCGAGATAGCGCTCGGATGTAACCTGTCTGTTGGTGGCGAGTCGTTCTCGAAGACAGACAAGTGAGTGGCGCCGTTACGGGTTGAAGGTTATCGCTAGAACGGACGCGCGACCCGCGTTATTTCATAGGGCACCTGCGCATTCGGCACAGGTTACCGAGTATTCAAGAATTACAACACCATCGAGGAATTCAAGGCAGCAGACAAGACCGCGCTCTTCGCCCAGGTCACCGACGAGGTGTGTATCTGTTCGCGTTATGTCTTTTCTCCAGAACCGGCAGACACCACCAGTGTCTGTATGCCGCTGGCACGAAACATGAGCACATGAGAAGCGGGACTCCGTACGAAGTCCAGTCCTAAATCGAAGTCTTCTTGTCATGCCGAGCGACCTGAAAGGTCCTACGAATTGGAGGCGGAATAATCAGTGAAATGCTGTTGGTTACGCGATATATTGACGTGGAGGAGGAAGAGGACGGGAGTCCATGTGAGTATGGCTAGACTGCTGAGACCTGTGATCTCTACCGTCTACTGTATGCCACATGACCTCGAGGTGCGACCTTCACCGCCTAACAGTCCGAGCACAAATGTTGCTCGTTACTTTGACACTTCCCGTGTATTGAATTGATACATGATCAATTCACATTCTTTGCTTCCGTAGTTGAGTTGTCCATCGCAAGCTCACGTCGTCACTAGATATGGAAGAGTATCACCGTCGACCATTCGACGGCACAGCTCAACCGCTTCTTGCTTATCACGTTCGCGGATCTCAAGAAATATAAGTACTACTACTGGTTCGCCTTCCCTGCTTTCGTGGCCAAGCCTGCATGGGAGATCCAAGGAGACTGGAGGGCCGCCTCAGACGAGTTCAACGATTCCTTCGTGCGTTCCTCGTTCCTTCGCCCCTTCTTCATGTCCCTTTTGACGGCCCGGTCGTAGCTCTCCGCAATCGAGGCAACGCAACTAGCATCTCCCCGCGCCTTCTTCCTCGTCCGACCAAAGATTGGCAGTGACGAGCCCGAGATCGCACCCGTCGAAGAATACACACAATTCTTCGCCAACGTCGCTCCCGAGCAGCGCACCATTGCCTTCCTCGACCCCTCCGCGACGCCTTCCAACCCCGGCTGGCCCCTCCGCAACCTCCTGACCTACCTCCATACCTTGCACCCCGCGCCATCGTACCGTATTCTATGCTGGCGCGACTCTGAGCGCCCGAATGGCGCGCCGTTCAAGAGCCGCTTTGGCGTTGTGTCCCAGGGTGCGGGCGAAGTCGCGGTGCAGACGGAGAAGCCGACCGCGGTGGGTTGGGAGAAGAACGTGCAGGGCAAGCTGGGCCCGCGCGTGGCGGACTTGGCGCCCGATCCGACGAGGTAAACCGTCAGGCTAGACATGAACTAGGATGTTCGCTCATGCGTGTCGCGCGACAGGTTGGCGGACCAGGCTGTGGATCTCAACCTGAAGCTGATGCGATGGCGCATCCTGCCTGCGCTCGACCTTGAGAAGGTTGCGAACACGCGGTGTCTCCTCCTGGGAGCGGGCACGCTCGGGTGCTATGTGGCGCGCACGCTGATGGTCTGTCCACCTAGTAATCCATTGGACACGTGCTGACACCGCTTTTGTGCAACAGGGATGGGGCGTTCGCAAGATCACCTTTGTTGACTCTGCCCGCGTGTCGTTCTCGAACCCTGTCCGCCAACCGCTGTTTGAGTTCGACGACTGCCTGAACGGCGGGAAGCCTAAGGCGGCATGCGCTGCTGAGCGGCTGAAGAAGATTTTCCCTGGCGTTGTGAGTAGCTCTCATCCGCGCACTGCGCTCATCACTGACTCCTCCCTCAGAACTCTTCCGGTCATATCCTGAGCATCCCCATGCCGGGCCACCCCATCCCGCCCGCGTCGGTTGAGCAGGCGAAGAAGGACGTGGCGACGCTCGAGAAGCTCATGGACGAGCACGACGTTGTATTCCTCCTTATGGACTCGCGCGAGAGCCGGTGGCTCCCAACCGTGATGGGCGCAGCCAAGGGCAAGGTCGTCATGAACGCCGCGCTCGGGTTCGACACGTTCCTCGTCATGCGCCACGGCGTGCGCCCGTCGCTCGCGAAGGGTGATCGACTTGTCTGCTACTATTGCAACGACATCGTTGCGCCTGCGGATGTGCGTACTTCCTCTTGATATGTTATACCGGTCGACAACGATTCATTGACGTGGGTATATGCAGTCCTTGACGGATCGGACCCTCGACCAGATGTGCGCCGTCACTCGACCGGGCCTCGCTTCGATCGCCGCATCCACCGCCGTCGAGCTGCTCGTCTCCCTCCTGCAGCACCCCGACGGGTACGTCCGCTTCCTCTGACCGTGGTCTAATCTTATCTTATACATCGGCGTCTAGCATCAACGCGCCCGCCCCGCCGCCGCAGACTCAAGGGAGCGAGCCTCCGCAGGGCTCCGAAGGCGTGCTGGGCATCGTCCCGCACCAGCTGCGCGGCTTCCTCGCGCAGTTCCGGAACATGCCCATCACCGGCGCTGCCTACGACAGGTGCACCGGGTGCAGCGAGACGGTGGGTCCTCACGGCGCTGCATGCGACCGGCTTTGTGCTTACGTTCTGAGTATAGGTCATCAAGGCATACGAGACGCAGGGCTTCGAGATGCTCCTCAAGGCATTCAACGAGCAGAAATTCCTCGAGGAGTTGACTGGCCTCGACAAGTTGTACGACGAAGGAGAGGCGGCGCTGGAGGCCGTCGGGTGGAACGATGACGAGGGCGAAGACGACTTCTGACGGATCCAATGACGTGATCAGAAGAGATGAATGAAGGAATGTATTGTTGTACTCATACCCGTCGCAGTGTAACGTTGGCCTACATGTATGCTTGCTATACCCTGTATCGATTGCTCATACACGAGTGGTCGGTACGTCCCGGCTACTCTTCTCTATTACCCGCCCGCTCACATTCTACTACAGTACGAACGTCTCCTGCTCCTCGCTGACACCTGATCCGGCTCAGAATCGTCCAAAAGCTCCACGAAGTCCTTACCCCCAGAGGAGTCCGCCACGCTCGAGGATGAGTCCGCTCACACAAGTCCGACTTCGCGCACGATAAGCGGGAGGTGTGGCAAACCCTAAGCGACCGTGGTACTTGCGGATCACGCTATGCACATGCACTACCGCACTCGCGTGAGATCGTGCATCATACATTTGTGAGCTGTGCGTGCGACAGCGATCGGTGGCTAAAAGGACTCCTCCTCCTCCTCCACTTTGTCTAAAGCCATACGTCTCTTCTTGAGCATCTCCTCATACTTCTTAATAACCGGCTCTAACAGCATGAGCGCCTCCTCCTTCGTGTACCTCACGAACCCCTCTTTGTTTCGTTCCCAGTGCTCCTCCAGTGAAATGCCCTGGTAGTAGTATATAGGGCCGGATGCGTCTGGGATATTGAGGATATCTAGAGTGACGGACAATGCTCTATGTGAGTAGTTATCGTTCATGCTAGTCAAGATACACACTGACCTCCTACGAAAACCCATGCATCGTCGGCGACGGCGAGAAGTTCTCCACAAACCAAATCTGAGGTTGGCCAATGTGTCGGAGTCTTGTAATCCTCGAACTTGAATTCGGCGTCATGACATGGACCAATATGCGGACGTGCCCTTGAGAAGTCCACAAGACAAGGCGTGCCATCCGGCCTGCGAATGATGTCTTGATACTTGTAGTCTCCTCTATCCCCCTTGACGAGGTGGATTCGCTCTGAATGCAATTCCTGGAACGCTCTGATTGCTGCTTTTCTGTTGGTATCGTCGAAATCGTCAGTATAATTCAGCATGACGTGTAGAGTCAATACCTGAATGATTCCTTTTGCTCACGCAGACGCCCCGACAACGCCTCTCCACAAAATTCCAGCACCATACATGTCACGGTCTGACCCTCCACTGTTCCTTCAAACAGTCCGAAATACTTCGGCATGATGTTGCCATGCAGCGGCTGCGTATTTGGGGCTTCGTAGATTTTAGCCTCGTGTTGTAGGATCTTCACTCCTCCGATGGTCGAGACAGCCATCTTGCAGATTACTGTCCCGCTCTCATCTCGCTTCGCCGACTTCAACTTGTGTAGGTACAGAATGAGGTCCGTGTCATCTGAAGTATGTAGGTGTTTAGGGTACGAATGATCGGTGATGTCAATCAAGTCGTGAAGCATATGAACCCGGGTATCCTGCGAGTCGTCGCGGCCCGCGCCCTGAATGTTGAGGCGGGACATACAGTGGGAGGAGAGCGCCTTTCTGAGGACGATGTCTCGAAGCTCCTCCATGTCTCTGTCAGATGCGCTGTCAGATGCACTGTCTCGAACCTCCTCCATGTCTCCGTCAGATGCGCTGTCTCTAAGCTCTTCCATGTTGTCGTCAGATGCGATGGAGGCTAGCAATAGTGCGAAGTCCTGGAGTAAGATGGTGCAAGACGTGGAAAGCTGCTGGGATACATCTGTGCGTGCAGCGGATTTATATCAGAGTGTGAAGTCGCGTGACCGAAGAACGAAGCGTGTAAGCGGAAACACATCGTACGCGTCGCGCCTACACTGGCCGTGTTCACTTGGTTTGCGATTGCATGTGACATAATCAAACCAGATGTTTTGCACCTACCCAAACCGGATACGACGCACTGGGATACGCTGGTGGGGCCCGGAGGAAGAGAGCTCCAGGTTGCACCGTATGGCGTTGTTAAACCGTAAGTCAGTCATACTTGCTGAAAGGTCTGTTGTCGCTGATTATGCACCTGTAGCACGTTGCCACCTACTAATGCACGACCGCGCCATGGTTATAACACTCGCTCGGTCGCGTCACGAGCAAATTCTACTTCAAGCTCTGTATCAAGCTATCGCTGAAGCTTGCGCAACACTTCTCGAGATGGAATTGGAAGTGTAGAGAATAAGCAGCTTATAGAATGATCACTTGTAGCGAGTCCCGACTGCGGTTTGTATTACATAGCCTGTACGGAGGTATTAACGTGTTTGTAGACATTGCTTCATGTTGAATGACAATAGATATGACATAGCCTTGACCGACTTCCTACGCTGGAACGTCGAGGTGTCGACGTCTTGCGCCAGTACGTGGATATTCATACTAGTAAGAGACGGACTCAACAATAACTATCGTCATTTACAGATCTGCAACCAGCGGCCGTACGTATCATAGTATTACTTATGTCGTTTACTTATCCGCTCGTACATATCATAACGCTTCCGGGATTACCGCAGGCATACTGCGTCCAAGCCACCCCAGCTTGCGCCAAGACCTATCCTGTCGTCAGCGGTGATACATGCGGGGGCGTCAGAGAAGCGGAACGGGCAGGAGGCGTACGGGTGAGCGCAATCTTCTGGGTCGCGGTGAATCGCATGGGCGGGCACTACGATGAGCGTGCCCTTCGGGTGTCCCATCGGAAAGCAGACGTTCTGTAGCAATTTGCGCTGGAGGGAGCCTAGACCACGGCGAAGCGTTAGGATGGGTCGCGGGATGAATGAAGGTCACGTACATGTACAATTGTTCAATCTGTTGCGGGGGAGTATACGTGCGTGACGTCACATCTACGTATACAGCGAGTGTTCGACGCGTGCATCGTCCGACAGCAGTACTTATCTCGTCAGCCCTCCGCAAGAGCAGCCACCATTTCGTCCATGAGCTGGGGGAAGACAGCTGGGATGCTGCGCATGAGCTTGTGGCGGACGAGCGGGACGTGGTACGTGTTGTGATGGATGCTCGGCCGAGTGTGTAGTCGACTTGGAGCGTCTATAAAGTGCATGGACGTGTGACTCACGTGTGAGTGACGTGCGAATCGGAGGTGGATACGTGCATGCCTCATTGACTGATTCATCGAAGGATAACTCGTCGTCAGCTTCCTTGCGGTCTTCCTCGATGAACCTCCGGCGGATGATCAAGACGCGCCAATTTGTGAGGGTCACATGTTTCAACACGCCGTTGGTGTGGTAGAACTACGCGTGACATCAGCTTCTGTACAACTCGATTATATCGTAGACACCATGAGTCTTGAGGGATTGAGCATGTATATGAGCTTGCGTCAGAATGTAGATAAGACCAACCTTCTCGTAGCTTTCTTGCAATATCTCGGTCGCGTGGACAACACTTCTGAGCACTCCGAGCCAGCATAGGAATGGCAGCGCAGAATTGCCAACCGGCGGAATGTGCCTGAGCTAGCGGGGCATCATGAGAAGCAGCATGATCAGTCCGTTCGTAAACTCGCTACATTGCTTCCGACTTACCTTGCATGTGACAAGCAGGCCGAAAACAAAGTATAGCACCAACATCGCCAGTGTCAAATACGCTAGCATAAGCGGGTCCATGGCCGGCAGCAGTATCTGCGTACGAGTTCCGGGTATTAGTGAGCATGAATTGGATGCATGCATCCGACTGGCCGGCGAACCGTCGGTCTTTGATCGTAAGCTGACGGAGTGTCACCGGCAGCGTACTTATAGAGACGAGAGCAATGCGCATCGACAGTGTTTGCTGACATTTCGCGGAGGTGAGCAATAGTCGTAACTCGCTCTATTCCGATGAGCCTGCGAGTTGCGTGATTGCTGTGCTGCGAGAGAGAATATTGGCGATAAGTCGGCGAGGCCCGAGACTCTGACCTACTGGTATATCTTGCTTACGGAACTGCACTCCTGGGGCGTACGTGTCCAAAGTCTACCGGCGGGCGAGCTATCATTGTAGGTGGCCAACGAGAATGGGAGCCCTGGGGCTGATGATACGAAGATCCTTCGTCCTACTCCTCGTTGTGGTTGCATGGCTATATGCGCCATGATGAGTGACTCGTACTATTCATGTCAGCGGCTTGCCATCACGTACCCGCAAGTTAGACTTCGCCCGCGGCTTGCCTCGACCCATTGTAGCTCTCCATGAACGAGTCCCGTCAAATCTCGGAGTTCCACCTGAGTCATATCTTCACCACAGCAATACTTACCGCTCGTTCGCCTGCTGTGCTTTCTTCGGTCAGCTCACAATTCCAGTCAGTGCTCCGCGCCGAGCAAAGGTATGTATCATTCGGTCCAAAGAACCAACCTCTCATCGACCAGTTAGTCTGTCGGGAGGTTGATAGGCGTAAACAATAATTAGTACTACAGCTGTCGTACAAGCACTTGAAGACTCACCGGCCCCAAGCTCAGTTATGATTCAGGCGATTACTTGCAGACGCGCATCACATTCACTGTGGTGCACGTTGCAGAGTCGGACTAAGACTTGTTAAGAACTCTTACGATTGGACCGTCACCGTCATCATAACAGATCATTCCCAGCGACCTAATTGTACATTTGTGCTTAGCTTTCGGATCACGCTTGTGTAACTACTGCGTTGGGGCGCGTCCTATGACAGCGTTGGGGAGCGTCCTATGACAACGTTTCGGTATCAGTCCTGTAGTTTGTTGCTTTAAATGAGGACTGATATACACACCTTCAGCCGTCCTTTCGTTCAGTTCACGGATGGCGTCAAAGACCTCCCCCAATGCGATCCACCCAAAGCTCTGCCCTCCAAACCATCCCGATAGCGTGCACGAGACCCTATACGCCATCCAGGCTTGTTCTAAGCGTGTCGCCGCGTCCAGGTGTCCACCGCCAGACAACTCTGCGCTGACACCGTTCACAAGCGTCGCCGTCTGCTCCCGGACTTTCTCGATCATGTCCGCGCGCTTTCGGGCCTGTGCGCTCTTCGCTGATATGGTCCCAATGACGACCTCCTCTTCCGAGAGCATGGCCGAGCGCGACGCTGAGACTGTATGCGATGCGCATGTTCCTCGAAGACGGGATGCGTAGACGGTGAACAGGTTCCAGCACTTGCTCGCCAATGACTCGTCGAAGTCATCGCGCCCCACTGGCAGATGCCTCCGCACTTCAGCGACGACCGGCGGGAGAAGAGCGCGATGGGTGAACGGTTTGGTCCGTACGTCGGCGAGAACATCGGCTAGTGTTATCCCGTTCTCTTCATCTATCTCGGGCGAGTCAAAGTGGGACGTCTCCGTACTACGCTCCTCAAGGGCCGGCAGGTCGATAGCACGGAAGAGTCGGCCAAGAGCGCTATTGCTCTGATAATATTGAGGGGTCCAGCTGACGGTGGCCTCGAAAGTATACCAGTCTGGCTTTTGTGAGACGCGGCGTTGTATGGGCCGAATGGCGTTGATATCAACTGGCAACCCGGTCTTAGGATAGTCGACTGCGGCATTGTGTAGCTCTGCGAGGCGGAGACAATCTCTATCGAGTATTCCTACGTTGTCGGCGAGTGTCAGCCACGTCGATGCAATGAGACCGACGTTCTGACGGTACCTGGTTAATCGCAGATGCAGTACAGTCAGGAATAGTACGCACGTCACTGATGATGAACTCTGCTACGAATGTGGCGACATCTTGCATGGTACTCGGCCGGTTCAGTATTTTACGTTTCGCCGGATTATACGAAGCAGGCTTCTGAAGTCTGTCTGTCGGTGGTAACAGGTCCTGCGGCACACAAGTGACGTGATACATATCACCGTCGAGATCTCCTCCTCCGAGGTACGACGGAAGAGGCCTAGTTCCTGTATCAATGTTGGTATTTGGGTCTATCGACGACGTCAGACGCCGTCTATGACTCACCTCGCGTGGAAAATACAACGCAGTTCTTCAGCCGTCCCTGAGCAAGATCCGATCCCACTGGTGGCCTTCCAATCGCATGCACGACCTGTATGTCTCCTGGATGAATGACTGGCGAGCGGGTGATCAAGGTAGATCCTTCGAGATAGGTCTGTTGACCGTCTGAAGTTTCTACGCATGCGTATATCTCCCCTTCCCGCAGCTGACCATGCATATCGGCGACCCCTACCAGGGTCCATCCTCCGGGCACGGGAATGCTAGCGCGGTCCTTGAGTTCTCGGAGAATGTGGTTAACCGCGAACGTCATCATCCGCTGCCAGAAGCCGGACTCTGTCAACTGCGCGACGGTCACACCGAGTTTGTGGAGTTGGCCAACAATGGACGCGATCTTGAACGAGCCGCCAAGGCCATTCATCTCAAGCAGCCATCTCGAATTCGCCAGCGACTCTGTGAGCGTATGGGTTTGGCGTACCGCGTCGTCCTGAAGTCTCTTGAAGGCCTCGTACGGGACCCCGAGGCCTTCGAGCAGCATGATCATCGGCCGGTTGAGGTTGAACCGAGACGGCTCCTCGAATACCTGCGCGATATCGATTTGATTGGAGGTAGGAGCGGAGAACTTGACCATGGACCTGGGCAAGCGAATCTGTCGGCCTTCAAGTTTGTGATCGACGTGCAGCATCCCCTTCGATCCAGCAACCCGTACTTGAATAACGCGTGGGGTGGACCCTCGCCACGCACGTCTGACCCGGTTCTTCGACCGCTGATTGGCCGCTATGTCTCGCGCGACCTGGAGGGACATCGTCCCGTTCCCGTCCGTGAACGAGTAGGTGTCCGTCCTGTCCTTGATGTCGTCCACAATCTCCATCTCGTGCGCTGCGACCGTGATAGAGGAGGCGGTGGCGCTGAAGGCTTGAGAGATGCGAGCAGCGTATCGAGCAGGGCAGTAGATGAGCTGGGGATCATACGGGTTGTCGTTGAAGGATCCAAGGCCAGCGATTATCGCCGCTGCATCTATTGTGCGGCCATCGGCGGCCTGGAACGGCCTGACGAACCACACCGAGTGGCTCTTCAGCGCAGATTGTGAGTAGCCGAGGAACTGGAAATGCCTCCCAGCGACGGTGACGCCCTTGACAAGGAAGTGCTTGACACGTTCCTCAATCAAACGCTGGAGATTGAGCTCGGAATCGTAGCGGTAGGCGAGTCTGTTGTCGTCCGTGAAGTGAACCCGAATGAAGTTGTCCCTATTGTCCCAGTATTGACGTATTACTCGGTTGGACTGTTCAGGAAAGGGGCCCTCGGGTATGATGGTGGTAGGGGTAATATGAACGTGGGTGCAAAGGAATAGGTCGGCGTGGGGCATCAAAGGAGTCTGGTTCTGCGAGAGCTGCCGAAAGGAAGTCGCGAGGAGCTGCAGGATGTAATTGAGATCGAGATCGACCCCATCGCCGTACCAAAGACGGGCTTCGAGTCGCGTCTTCAGGTCAGCGAGCACAGTGCCCGTCACATGGGGGCTGTGCTTGGACATCAGATCGTCGATGCTCGGACGCAGGTATCGCACGATTTCTCGCATGTCCACGAGGCGTTTCCGCAACAACGACTCGACCTGAGACGCAACTGCAAAGTCCAAATTGGCTACCCAGGGTCGATAGACGTCCTGAACAGATCTGGCGAAGAGCCCGCGATGAACCACTGTGTACGCAGATGAGTCAACGGTTAGGTGAGCCTGCCGGCACAGGACCCTATAGAGGGCGACGTCTGACGCAGACTCGCACACCAGCCGCACAGCGATGGAGGTGTAGGGCGCAATGGGAATGTGAGTATCGTCAAAGCCCGATTTCCGGAGCCGCCATATCTTCGTCTCCTCGAGTAACATTCTCAGATTCTCGTATTGTCCATATGTGTCCTCTCCGAGTGACTCCAGGAAGTCCGGGTTCACGGGACCCTCCTCGAATGATGGAGGATAGAGGAGGTAAAAGAAGATCGACGACTCGCCGTATTGGTCCGGTGTCGCAGCGGTCCAGTACACCTGCGAGGGACGAATGGCGATATAGCGCGTGCAATCATGTCCCATCGCTATCATCTGGAATTGTCGCCTGCCTTCGTTGTACCTCAGGTATGCAGAACCCTGGATGGTGAACTTCTTCTCCCACTCCACAGAATACTCTTCGTCTCGGCAGATCCACCCGAATTGTAGTCGCTGGATCGATACGCTGGCTCCCGTGTCGTACCTAGGCTGCGTAAGCCTCGCCGGAGGCTTGTATGGAGTCTGCTGCACTGTCTCGAGGACTCGACGATTTGGCGTGTGTGTACCGCGTGCGAAAACGATGCTGTCGAAAGTGTTGCGCCTCTGGGATGAACCTTGTCCATACTCTCGCAGGAACTGCTCACCGATCTCCGTGGTGGGGACTATGATGACGCCGTTTCTGGTGCCCCGCTTGGTCACCTTGCGGTAAATGCGGACTTCGAAGTTCAGAGGCTGAGGAGAGTGATCAGAGTAGGCAGCGCCGTGGAAGACACTTGCAAGGAGTTCCTTTAGCTGTGGTTGTTCCATGCTGAACGAGATTCCCTGCATGAATACCTCCATGGCGACGCGATGAACGGCTGAGTCCGTTCGATGGGTGGGCGTCCGATAGGCCATGCGTGCTTATATACAAGCTTTGCACCACGGGAGGAAGGATGCCTCTTGTGATCGTTCTTATCGGAGATGCAGTGGCCTAGACTTCGTGGAGATAGCGTCATGTCGAGAGGCAGGCGATAGAGCTCATTTGGAGACGCACATGCGTAAGGAGGATATTGCCGTGCAATAAGACTGCGTCCAGAACCTGTTGCATCTTAGCGTGATGTCCCCGTCGGTCACAAGGACAATACTACGTACCACTTTGTACTCTTATTCGCCGTAACAGTCCCAGCGCTGTTGGGTTGACACACGTGCGTTCTTCCGTAAGGAGCGTAGCTTTCAATGCGCACTTCAAAATGGATCACGGGTTCATCGCGCACTCACGGAGAAGAGTAATCGGCTGTCTGTTGAACTGAGCGGGGGCACCAATAAGTGAGACACCTCATCTGAGTGAACGTCACAGAAGTTTACGCACTGCCAATGAGTTGCAAGGTCATCACAGGGCCCTAGCCTTGCACCTATGTGGCGCCTCAGTGGTTCGCCGTGTCGCCACCGTCTTGTGCAAGATCAGTTCGGATGCGAGTGACGTGTTCGTGCGGGCGCGTTTTCTACCAGGCCACAAAGATAAGCCAGGGTTTGTCGCCTGCAGTAAAACGCAGATCATTGCACCGTGATACTCAACGACCTGGAAGCGTGCCCGCGATGCCTAGTGTGGACAATCAAATTCGGGAAACATGAAGGTCGCTCCGGCGTCCGATGACACGAGCTTATCATCGGTGCCTAGTTCAACGTCGGGTACGTAGCTCATTCGCCCACACAGTGACAGAAAACAGAGGTGCTGTGGGCCATGAAGGAGCTGTGTTGGATGCGCATCAGTGCCCCTTCCTATCTCTGAAGGCGAATATGGTCTGGCAGTGCGATCAAGTTCGGCGGACCCTCTGAACTGCCGGATAGGCCAACGAATTAGTAAAAAGCGAGTGGGGTAGAAGTGCCACGACGTACATCTAACGTTCAGTTCAAGCGGAAGGAACTTGGACTTTACATATTTGCTGTGGCCTGGGGCGCCTGCACTCTGTGCTTCCATGACTAGATAGTTGTGAGCTAACCATCATTCAACACAGTTTTTGTAGAAATAATTGCATACCGGCTACAGACGTCATGTCAATGCTCTCCGCACATCGCTCTCCGCACCCGCCACCAAACAAGCGCATCACTCCGAGTCGGGAGATGCGTGAAATTCGTCGTGCCTGGGGTTCCCTACAGCAGTACTGTACGTATGTATGTACGCGAGTGAAGGCAGAGAAGGTACGTCGAGCCTCAGCGACCACAGCCATGCGGTTCGCTGACAAGGGGAACCGTGGAACTTGTAGTTGAGTTCGGACTGCTCGGCAATGCTGAGAAGGGAATCCTATGGCAAGCTTAGTATGCGAAGTACATTGTCTCGTGCTGCAACGCACCATTGATTTCCGCGCGTAGGTATCCCATAAGTAAATGACAGTCACCTCCTGCCCAGCCGAGCCCATACAGTCTTCTAGGATGGCTCCGGTACCGCAGTGCGTTAGGATGGATTTTCAACCAACAGCAACGATAGACAAATAGACAGGGTGCATCGAATTGGAAGGAAGAAGAGGAGAGGTTGGGAGAGCCTGTATACATACTATGTTCGGACGCGTCTCGCCTTTCCCACGCGCCGAGGTCGTCCTCTACCTTCGCGCACCTCCTTCAGCTTGCGCGGGACCTTGACTACATCCTTGGTGGGTCCATCTCCGCGACGCTGCACGCACTGCTCTACGCCGACTCGGCTGCCCTACCCGAGCGGCTCCGCCCTGCGCTTCTGGAGATACTGTACAGGTCGTGAGTCGCGGGGTACCCTCACGCGTCTCCGTGAAATGAGCATCCGAACCCAACTCAAGACCATCCCGAGCGAGAACCTCGACGGACCCGGTCCCGCCTGGAGCGCAGGAGGTATGTCAGAGGGGATTGATGGTTCTGCAGGATGAGGCTCGACGCCGTGACGCGTAAGTTGCGTATGACATGCAATGATTACGTCCGTACGTACCAATACATGTCTGTGTTCCGAACTAGCGCTGAGTACTGAGCTTACCTAATCGGTACGCGCCCCTCACCGTCGATGTTGCAAGCCAACTTGAACTCAAGTTACAGTAGCCAAGGCCCTCTTGGGATCCCAACCCTCTCCCGCACGTAGTTCAACAGCATCTGAACACCAACTCCGTTGCTGAGAAGGCTACAAGATGCAATCTGTAGGGGACCATGGGCTTAACGAGGACGTATGGACCGTGATCCTGGCCTTCACGCAGCTCGACGATGCGCGCAATCTATCCCTCGTCTCGCGTGGTATCCATCCCATAGCTCGACGTATCGTCCTCAGCTCCGCAGAGTTTTCTAAACAAAACCAATTCGTCAACGCCTGCACATTCATGCTGGACGACCCGGGTCACCGCGCATGCTGGTTGCGTAAACTCGACATAAACGTCGGTGCCTTGGGCCGACACAGCTGGCAAACCGCTGGGGCAGCCTCGCTGGCCACGCAATTAGCCGCCCTTCTCGAGGCGGCACGAAACATCGACACTCTGTCGCTGCCCTCCATGGAGGACCTGGTGTCAGCAGAGCCGCGCGTCGGTGCGACGCTGATCTCACTCACGCGGCTCCAGGACATCGCGCTCTTCGGTGTGTCATCCCGCACTCTGGACGTGGCCAACAAGATGGTCAGCCGTCCTTCGCAGGTGTGTCTCGCCTTTGTGTCACCCCGGGCGAGTGTCAGCGAACATGCATTCCTGTTGAGCCATCTCGCCTTGCTCGAGCGTGCGCGCAGAGCGGAGATCATGTTCCTCGACGCCGCGGATTCTACGGACGAATTGAAGCAGCCCTCAGACCTCGACGTCGAGCTCCCGCAGCTCGGACAGCACCCCTGCGTGCGCGAGCTCAGCCTCAAGTGGTGCGGGCCCTTCCCTATGTTCCATATCTTCCCGAACACGCAGATCCTACGTATGCGACGTCTGAACGCGTCGTTCGGACGCTTCGACTGGCGCACATGGGCGTGGACGGAATCCGTTCCGTTGATAGACGTCAAGACCGACGACGACGACAAGCTTGTATGCCTCACAGCGGGTGGACCACGCCTTCCGGTTCTTCGTCGGCTGCATCTGCGTTGGAATCCCTGCCCATCCCCCCAGAGTCCCTCCGATCGAATGCAACCTGTCTGCTTGTCGTTCATGCTGTATCGCGCGGACGTCCCGTTGTATGGCCAGGTTGCTCACTGGCTTGAACCCCTGCGCCGACACACAGCGCCGTCCGGGCGGCTCCGGTACCTCACAATCTCTGCCAGGTGCCTTCCCCGCCTTGACATGCCTAGCTTATGGGTGGTACGTCCAAACGGCATGTGCGGCACACATCCAGCTTACTGATCATTCCTCCCTCCGCAGGAATGGCTCCTCCCCGCCATCCGAGAGTCCCAATTGGTCTGTGTGAAGCTCAAGTTCGACGTCGGCAACCGACCTCGAGAGGTCGCCGGGCTCGATGAGGTTCGAGAGATGCTCGCATGGCAAGTACCGTCGCTCCGATACATATCCATCGCTGCCGGATGGCATCGGCTTGAGCATCCCTTCGCTCGTGATGACTGTGAGCCACGTCTTATTGGCGAATGCACCTGGTGGGAGGTGCGCGAGGTCGGTGGCGGGCGACGCGCGGAGCTCATCTCGTGCGCGGCCGGTCAGCGAGTCGAACGATATTTACAGTCCGCAGAGTTTGAAGAGAAGTTGTCCCTGGATGGGTTCGTGCTGACTTGATTGATGGAGAGACGTGTAACTTCGAATACAGGCAGTCCTTGTGTAGACTAAAAGTACCCCCTCCGCGTCGCGCAGTAGGGCGTATTTCCATAGTGAGCACTACAACAAACTGTTGCGTGAAACCCATTCTACGTACGACACGGCAGCAGTCTCACCAGCCGCGCATGAGATGTTCCCCAGCCGCCCCCCACTCGCGACTTCGTGCACGTACCACCAAGGCGAGGGCGTCATACATATCGGACGTCCGCCACCGGGCATTCTCGATTACAATTGCAGAGATAGTGAGGCGAAGGGACGTGCTCGAGGAGCATCTGCTGGGCCTCGTCAAGCTGGGTTATCTTCATAGATGACGTACACGGTGAAATCGAAGCTGAAGCTTGCGCATACGAGCTGGGACTCTCGGAGAACAGGCAGGAGCCATTTCTGAAGGCGATTTCGTTAGCTCAACTGGACGGACGCGCGTACTCGAATCTGACGCACCACCCTCTGGACGGGCATGGCCTCCTCCGAAAGGTGCTGGGCGGTCATCTGCACTGAGCGCGACCGCCCTTCTGGACCCACAAGGTCCTCCAGATGCCCGCTCCAATGAGGAAGGTCGGAGCCTGATGCAAGTAGAGCTGCCGAAATGTCGGCGTATGTCCCTGCAAGGCATACGAGTACAAGTTGGTCGGCGTCGCCAGCCGTGACGTCTACCAGCAAAATGGACGCCGTCCACGCCCACTCTTCACAGTCGAAAACGACTCGTCCGTACGGCGCATGCATTTTCGGGAAGATATGGAACAATGGGAGGGCCCCGCCGTACCGGAGGCGGAGCTCGCACACAGTTAGATGCTGGCCGAGCTGGCGAAGCTCGAAAGCGAAGATCAAGGGTTGCTCGCATCTGCCGCGAAAAAACAGAGCTGACGAAGTCTATATCCACTACGTGTCCACTACGCTTGCTTTGCGGAACAAGGCGAGATGGCTTAGCACGACCACAAGAGTGCGAGAGACGGCAGGTGAGAGGCAGCGGGTGGCCAGGTCTTCGAGAGCAAGGCGGCAGCAGTCGCGCCTGGGATGCGGGGATCTGAGGGTCGCACTCGAGGCCGAGCTCAATGTGGTGCGAGAAATGCCGGTGCTTACCACGCTCGGTGTCGGCCGCTCCCTCTCCTTCTCCCTCTCGGTTCTTTCGCTCTCCACTCTCTCGCGCTGCTGGTCCGCTGTGTCGCTGGTGGCCAGGTCGCTCGGTACCGGACTTGCGAGTGCAGAGCGTTGGTCGGTGTGCAAGGTGGGATATCGACGAGTGGCCGAGCTATCAAGCAACCCAGAGCGCAGTCGAGTGGCAGTGGGCGAGGTGTGTGAGTGGGGCGGTGGGCGAGTAATGATTGTTACCATCAACTCCTGCGCAGGCAGCAGCGAGAGTGCGGAGACTACGCAGGGTGACCTCGGCGTCGTTCTCCTCGATCTGGTTGCGCGCGCAGTCTTGCCAAAAGCCGACTATATAACATATTGATTTGAGGGATGACTTACCGCGAATCGACCGACATGGCTCCTGCGGGGTGTAGGCGGTCGCAGTGGTTAGGTAAGCCGCGCTGCCCGGGCCGGCGAGCCTTACGCCGGCGCTTGTTCCTTGCCGACGCTCAACATGCTATTTCCCTGGCACTGGCAGTCGCTATGACTCTCAGTAGCAGTCGTCCACATTCACATACTTCAACCGGCGCATGTAGGCATGGACCGAGTCCGTTCAGACGTCACGGTCGACGGCGATGGCCAACTGGTGTACTTCGCCTCGAGCGGAATATAGTTTCCGTCTCTTCATCACTGCGTCTGCTTGGCCCTCCGTCACTATTCCTCGAACGCTGCATCAACCCTTCTACCTCCACCACCAAGTATCACTCGCATCTCGAAGTTTCGCGAAAGTACATCAAAGAAGTGAGTCGAGTCTCTCTCGCGAAAGAGCTGTAGGTGACGCTCATCACTTCTACTCTTCGCACAGTCGGCCAAACATGCAGATGATCACGTGTTCTCGCGTCGGTGACCTCGAGATCAAGTTCGACCTCGACGTACCCGCCGACATCACAGGCGCACTGCCCGCGTTCATTTGCATCCACGGCGGCGGCATCATAGCGGGCTCCCGTAACGAGCCCGGCTCGGCCAGACTGACAGACTTCATCCGGGGTATGGGCTTCATGCAAGCTATGTACCCTTCCATGCACGAACTGGCATTGAGATCGACGCAGAATTCGCTCTCTCGCGTGGATTCCTCTTCATCTCAACGGACTATCGCTTGATATGGCCGTCCACCGGACTCGACATCATCGACGACGTGAAGACCCTCTTCACCTTCCTCGCAGACCCCAGCTTCTCCGAGACGTACCTCCCGTCGGGTGTGTCCCTCGATGCCGCGCGCATCGTCGCTCTCGGCGGGTCCGCGGGCGGCTATGTCGCGCGCAGCTGGGATCTACGCCGACCCGAAGCCCATCGTGTCCATCATCGGCGCTGGCGGAGCGATACTCACCGACTTTTGGGTGACAACCAGTATGTGCTCTTCCCAGGGGCCGGCCGCATCACTGCCGAGTCCCTCGCGCACCTGCGTATCCCGCCAGCGCCGGCCACGGACGCGCCCATCAAGGTGCAGCCGGACGGCCAGTTCACGGACGACGAGGGGCGGGTTAAACTGCTGTTCCACTGGTGGCGCACAGGCAAGACGGTCGGCTACATCGAAGGTCTCGGCGACTCTCCGTGATGCTGCCCGAGGCCGAGCGGTGCGCCGCGATTCCGAACCACTTGCGCCACGCCATCCTTGAGGCACACATTGACGCGTCGTTCCCGCCAAGGTACTTCGTAGATGGGAAGATTGATAGGATTGTCCTCGCAGGAGAGTCCCGCGTTACGCACGCACGTTTCCACGAGCGGGTGTGCAAACTAAGCTCAAGGTCATCCCCGGTGGGACCCATGGGCTGATGACGAACACGGACCCTCCTTCAACGACGCCTGGGGCTCAGGACGCGTACCAGAGGCCATTGCTGTTTCTGGAGGACGAGATTAGGCGTCACAGCGTGGTTGTTGTATGACACGCAGTGATGACGTCGACGTCAACACGTACCGGTCCTTACCTGTGCGTGTCTGTGTCCTGCTCTACGATACTTGGTTGCACGCTGGACTCTCGCGAGGAGGACACTGACACATTGCTGAAGCTTCCACCTCTCAGTGCCTCATCGCCAGTACTGCTGCGCCCGCTACCGAAAGCTGTCGGACAGTGTCGGACTCGAATGCGGCAACGAAGCCACTTGCTTGCCCACTCCAAGCACACTCCTTACGCTACATGCCCAGACGCCGAATTCCTTGAGTTCAAGCCGGCCGCAACATTGGACGGGAGTATCTTGCTTGCCGCTTTCAACGCCGTCGATGGGCACATGATTGCTACGTTTTGAGACTGGCACCTCTTCTAGCTAGTCTCTTCCCAAGATCGTTCGCTCAGGGCGCTTCAGTAGCGCCCACATCTACGTACATAACCTGCTGTGCGTGTATCTCCGCCGCACCCGTCTCTTTTGACTCGCGGGCACCCTCATCATGCAAACGATCACATATTCACGCGTCGGCGACCTGGAGATCAAGCTCGACATCACGCTGCCTCCGTCACCGACAATTGGAACCTTGCCGGGCGTCGTGCATATCCATGGAGGCGGTATGACGGCGGGTGCTCGGTCGGGCACTGACTGCTGGCAATGGTTGAAAGGTGCGGTACAATAGCAAGCATCCTGCCGCTCTTCATCAAATGAACTATAATTCACCTGGCATTAGAATCAACACTGTCGAAGGGCATGATCTTCATGTCTGCGGACCACCGCCTCATATACCCGTCCACGGGATTCGACATCATCGAGGACATGAAGGCACTCATGAAGTTCATCAGCGACCCTTCCTTCTCCGAGAAATACCTGACCGCCGGTATGTCTCTCGACAGCAGCCGTATCGGTGTAGCAGGGGTGTCCGGTGGCTGTTACGCCGCACGCGCGCTAGCGATCTACGGCGAGCCCAAGCCCAAGGCGATATACCTCCTCTATGGTATGGGCGGCGATTTCATCTGCGACCATTGGGTCGCAGATAAGGGCGATACGATGTTCGGGCCCGTTCCCCTCACACCACGCGCAACGCTCGCGCACCTCCTCGACGCGCCCAGTGTGCCGCCGACGTCGGAGAGCGCGATACATGCCGGCCCCGACCTGTTCGCTGACGAGCAGCGTCGCATCGGACTCTCTTCGTACTGGTTGAGGACCGGCGAGCTCCTCGACCACGTCCTCGGCGAACCCGTGTCTGCGACGCTGCGCGCGCTGCCCTACGCAGAGCGCGTCGCGGCCGTGCCGGAGCGGCTCCGCCCCGCGCTGCTGGAGACGCAAATCGATGCGTCGTTCCCGCCAACTTTCCTGCTGCATGGTGATCAGGATGCGATAGTGCCCCTGTCCGAGTCGCAGAAGACGTACGACCGCCTGCGCGAGCTCGGGGCGAAGGCAGAGCTGGAGATCGTTCGAGGAGGGGAGCATGCTCTGATGGCGAAGGCGTGGCCCCTTGAGTTCTGCGCCGGGGCGGATGAGGCACATGAGAAGGGTATGCAGTTCCTGGAGAGAGAACTATTTGAGGATACAACGGGCACTCCTCAGTAACCGAGGCATCTGAAATTGGGTAGTACGTGTACATGGTGTACTGATGTTGCGCCGGTGTAGGTGAAACCGCACGATGTAAACGAAAGAACAGCTCTGCGTGGAGCTCGTGTCTCTTGTGCCTCAGCAACACCATCTGCCAGCTTCGCCCTGGTCACTGAATTGACCAAGATGTGTCCGGCATTTGATAACGGGGAGAAACACCACCGGACTCGAAGCTGTTACCCCGGCCTTGGAAGCTGTCGTCCTCAGCTCCTCCGTATGCAGCAGCGAGAGCGTGGAGACAACGCAAGGTGACGTCCTCCGACGTCGCTCTCGAGCTTGTTTTAATGCTCGTCGATCTTGTTGCGCGTGCAGAGCTCCGCCGCGCACCGCGCACTTGACAAACGAGATGCGGGCGATGTCCTACAGGTACTGGAGGCTCAACCTCCACGCCGTCCTGGAAAGTGAACAGGCTTTACGAAGCCCGACAGATGCTCTTCGAGCACCTCCCTTCGCTCCGCTACCTGTGCATTGCTGAAGGGCAATGGCACTTCCCCAGGAGGACTTAATTTCCGCATTCCACCCACGCTTCGTTGGCGAGTGCGCTTGGTGGCGCTTGCACGAGGTTGCGGGCGAGAGGCGATCGGAGAGCATTTCGTGTGCGGCCGGTGAGCGGGTCGAACGGTATCTACGCTCGGCAGAGTTTGAGGAGACATTGTCCCTCGATGGGTTCGTACTGGACGACGGGTAGGACGTGCACCGTAGTGGCGAAGGAAGATAGTGTACGTATCGTGTGATGACCCTCGCGCGTATACTAGTACATGGTACTACAGTAGTACACTATCGACTCACTGTCAGCTGAAGACGAGAACGAGAACGAGATGAATTCAGCAGAGTAAGTACGCAGCTTACCTCGCCGTCTCAAGGCGTGCTTCACGTGTCTGAATGGTTGCCAGGTCATCGTTCTTTGAATCTCGTTTCTCGTTTCTTCGTTCGTTCGGAGGAAATTCGCACAGTGTTTGACTTGTAACTTAAAACATTGTAAGCCCTTGCATACCTCCTCGTACACGTACACGTCTAACCGCCGACTCTGTTGCCGAGACAGCCTGCCGCAAGATGCAATCCGTGCTTAACGAGGACGTATGGGCCACGATCCTAAACTTCACTCAACTCGACGATGCGCGCAGTCTCTCCCTCGTCTCGCGCGGTATCCATTCCGTAGCTCGACGTATCGTCTTCGGTTGCGCAAACTTGTTTACACAAACCGAATTCGTCAATGCCTGCACGTTCATGCTACTAGTAGATGACCCGGGCCATCGCGCCTGCTGGCTGCGCGAACTCCGCATAGGCTACGGCGTCTTGGAAAGTCTGTGGTGCCATCAAGTCGCGCGTGCGACGCGGGGAGCCAAGGCTCGCACTCGAGCCCGAGCGAAAAGTGGTGCGAGAAGTGTCGGTGCTTACCACGCTCGGCGTCGGCTGCTCCCTTCCCTTCTCCCCCGTGTTCCTTTCGCTCTCCACTCTCTCGCGCTCCTTGTCCGCTGTGTCGCTGGTGGCCAAGTCGCGAGCGCAGTGCGTGGGTGGGTGTGCAACATAAGTGAGATATCGACGACTGGACGAGCAAAGAAGCAAACGAGAAGGCAATGAAGAGGGTATGCGAAAGGGTGAGCGAGAGGGCAAGCGAGGCGGATGGCTACAGCGCGTGAGCCAGGGAGCATGGTGCCCAGGCAAGGCGCGTCGCCGCACTCGCGCGTGGATGCGCGATGCGCGCAGTTGGGCGAGCGGGAGTGACACGCGAGGAATGCGGGCGGCAGAGTGAATAGGGTGGGCGAATGGGTTTGTATGACATGCGGCTACGGAGGGTGGGCCTGGCGGGCGCGATACGCGGGGACATGCGCCATACTCGTGCGAGCGGGCGTCGGTAGGCGAGATGTGCGAGATTTACGAATGGGGCAGGCGCGAAGGAGGTGCTCAGTGGGCGGGTGAGACGAGGCGAGTCCGGCAGTTTGCATGGGTGAGCGACTGGAAAGTTTGTAGGTACCAGCAAGGACTGAGCGAAGGCGGTGGTGGTAAGATACACGGAGGCGGTCACCTGGGCATTGCCCAACGCATGCCTTGCAAGTAAAGTAGCCACCATACCACCAGGCTTCATCCTGAGCCAGGGTCCAAACTCGTCTGTCTGGTGCCCGACCGGAGAAGGTCGAAGTGGGAAGAAAGACGGCCGAGCTCGAAGCTGTTACCCCGGGCTTGGAAGTTGTCGCCCTCGGCTCCTCCGCACGCAGCAGCAGGAGTGCGGAGACCCAGTGCGGAGACCTCGCAAGACGACCTCCTCGACGTCGATCTCGAGCTTGTTCTAACTTACTGCTCCTCGATCTTGTTTCGCGCGCCGCGCGCCGCGCACATGACAAACGACGTGGGCGATGTCCTACGGGGAATTCAGCAAAAGCCGACTGACGTATTGATGTGACGGATGGCTTACCCAGATCCAGACAATAATGACAGACAGAGACCATAGATGCCGACTCAGAGCTGCTCAGGATACGCGCAGAACGACTGGGAGCTGGCGAGCTCAGTGAGGAGGAGGAGAGGGATGGTACCGAGGCGGTCGCAGTGATTAGGTAAGCCGGGCTGTACGGGCCGGTGAGCCTTGACCGCCTCCTCGTTCAAGTTGCAGTTGGAGTCGACCAAGAGTCGACGCTCAACATGTTATCTGGCACTGGCATTACTTGACCTACCCGCTTGATCACCACGCTCTCAGACCTACGCTTCAGCTCATCTTTCGACGATTGCGCAAACAACCGCGTGGTACCACAGAGCTAGTACATGCATCGAGTTTCGCTATGGACAAGACAACTAACAACAAGTCCCCGCTCCGTCTACTCAGAATCCTCGTCGCCTCAACAACCCCTGCACGCATGTCTGTCCAGGGACCGAAGTCACTCCGGCCATCGTGGGGCCTCGCCAAGGGTAAGGTCAGTACCACTTCTGCGATGTTACTGACCTCTGAGCTGCTTTTACACCCCAGACAAGGACGGTTCATATCAAGTAGAGATGAGCATTGCTAGTCGTGCTCGCTAGAACGGCGATGCGGACGCATGGGGTGTCTTGAAGCTACAGTTTGCGTATCAGTAGCCCTGGCGTACTCGTAGAGCGCAGGTGCTGTTCGCAGCCGCGAAGCATGGACCACTAAGGTACGCCTACAGTTGGAACGGTCAACATGTCTCACTACTGTTACAGCATTCATCCTCGATGCGTCGATCACCACTTGTATTGCTTCGCCTCAGTTCGGGCTTGCACTCAGTGCACGCAGCGTATCGCGCTACAAGCCTCCGGAGTACCGGTTCGCCGGTGTACAAAACTATTCTCTTACGCTCGCTCGCGCCAACCTATTTCTTCCCTTCTATCCCATTCAATCGAGTGTACTGGGTGGTGCGTGCTCAAGCATATCATACTCCCCAACTACATCCTGAAGTTACCGACAACCGGCCCGTCTCTACACTTCATCACGGCCGTCGATCCTCCTTCCTCCTACTCATCACGTTCATCACGCATATAGCCACCGAAATGCGCTCCTACACCCTTCTATCACTCGCCCTCGCCGCCGCGACAGCAGCGCCCGCCTTGGGATATCCCGTAAGCCAGCCTACACACGGTAACGATGACTTATAGTAACGTCTTTAATGATCGTGGCCTCAGTTCTTCTCGCAATGCTCACGGCGATCTCCTGTACGAGCGCGGGTACGGGGGCGACCTCTGGACCCGCGAAGAGCCAAGCGGACCCACCCATCCTTACGCTTGTCCGCCTACGGTCAGCAGTCCCAGGCCGATGCTCAAGAAGAAAAGATCAGTCAATCCGTATCCTGCATCGGATTCGACGTCGTCCGTCTCTTCGTCAGACACCCTCGTAGACGATTCTGCCTGCGACTGCCTCTGGCTAGGCTGCGTCGGAGCCCCTGCATGAGATCCGGATGGTGCATCGCAGTAGCAGTCATCTTCCCCTCCGCCAGATCTACTTGCGCCGGAGCCGCTACGCCCAAAGCTCAAACCGGCGCCGGGGTTGGAGCCCTCGTTGCGCCCGCTCCCGCCTATCCCGAAGGCACGGAGGAGCTCGTCGGAGACACGTCGGGACTCGATGTAGTCCTGTGAGGATGCGGAGGTCTTGGCGGGGGCGTTGCGGAGGGCGTTGCTTGCGCGTGCGCGGGAGGATGTGACGTCGGTGGGGATTGAGGAGCTGGACTGAGGTCGTTGTGTTCACGCTCACGCAGGATCTTTCACACTCACCAACGTTGACGGGGCAGTTCAATGGCAGCCTTGATTGTAGCAGCCGCGAGCTTTAGCGCAAGCGCCTCGTAGTCGTGTATTTCCGACGAGGTTCTCATATTTCTGCAGGTAAAATCCATCCATCTTGATTCGCTCGAAACGGAACGCGGTGGGTGGGACAGTATATGCGCTCGACAGAATTTGAAAAGTCGTCCCTGGATGGGTTCGTGCTGAACGATGGACAGGTCGTGTTGATCATCCCATTCTCCTCGAGTTTGCGGTCGACTCACGCCGTTCATGGTGTAGTACGACACCTGCATGTGCACATGACACCCTCCGCGTCCGCGTTGGTACTCCCGGACGAGAGGCTCGAGCTCCACGCGTATCACCACGAGCGTCGTCTGCTTGTTTCCGAAGGGCTGCTTCATCGAGCGGAAACGCTTGCACGCATGTCAGCTTGAAATTCTATACGAGTCCTAACCGGGGGTCGTTCACAGGCAGCAGGCATGTTCAACATGAGCCGCAAGGGTACGTTTGCCTGTGCCATATGGTGTGTCGTGCCTGATGCTATTACTACGTTCTCGCAGACACGGGATAGAGATCGCGCCGCGCGCCACCACGATAGAGCTCACTCTTTCGGGAAGCTGAATGCCGAAGGCCGCAAGACGAGCGAGCCACGTCGTGCCGTAAAAGAAATCATGGACGGCAAGTTCCACCGACAACGACATCTTCGAGAGGCTCGACGTACCTCAGTGGGAAGAAGGGATGCTGTAGGAACAAGGGCTCTACCACAGTGGTGAGTAGTGAGGAAGACACCGTGAGTGCCCTCATATGCCAACATTCTTAGTTCCGACTTCGCCACTGCTAATGCGCAAGCATAGCCGCGACGAGTGCGCGTCGGCCCTTGCGAAGGTTCCCAGGTGAAGCGGAAGCTTGCGTGCGAGCAGGAGGAGGAGACACAGATGCGTGTTGACGAGGAGAGCGGGTCAGGCCCGAGGATAAAGCGGAGTGAATGGACGTCGGTCGGGAGGACCAGCAGCCAAACAAGCGGGCAAAGGCAATACTGTCAAGCGCGATCGTGGCGAAGAGCCTGCAAGACCGAGGTCGGATCGACAGTTAGTTGGTATGCACGACGCTGCAATATGTCTTGCGCTTTCTATACTCGTTATGCTCGTGCTGACTGTGCCCTTATCTTCGGCCAGCGTCGAAAAGTAACAACCTGCGAGACCTTGGCCAGAGCAGACTGAATATGCTCGTAAAGGAGGGCGAGCCGTAACGCATGATCAAGGTCAAGATCTTCGTGTTTCCTCAACAGTCGTATATGTATACATCTGTACGCGTCGTAATGTGAGCACCTCTACACCTGCCCGTTCAGCCGAGTTCGCCCTTTTGCAATCCATCAAAGCGGCAAGACCGAGTCCTCAGACATAGTACGCACGATCTGCAGAGTCGTGCCGCATGAGAACCATTGAGGCGTGAATAATACTGCAGGACTTACCATATCCGCCACTTTACGGCGAGCGCCAACACTCTGTCCATGTCGAGCCATGTGCGAAGCGGCTGAAGTCGAGACGAACGGGATGCACGCCCATGACTGCCACCATGCGAGGCCAATACAAGCCAGCGCGATATTCCGGAGGAACCCAAAGGAAGAGCTCTTTCTGAGGGCCGATGATCCATCCGTCTTCGGTCATGTTGAATTCCGCACCATGCGACTCCCAGAGATCGACGAGGGGCGAATCGGATCCCGTCACGATCTGGGGTCCATGCGATGCCCCAACGGTCACATCCCAGATACGGACAGTGTTGTGACTGTTGTCCTCTGGATCTTCTGAACCGGTTGCGATGCGCCGAGAGTCTGGCGAGAATGCGACTGACGACGCGTTATGCGTTTGTCCTCTAAGAGGTGGTAGGACTGATCTACCCGTCTGAGCATCCCAGACGCGAACCGTCTGGTCAGTGAATGAGGCCGCGACGTACTTTCCGTCGGGCGAGAACGCGAGTGATGTCGCCGAATGTTTCGGTACCGTGAACGAGTGCTCGCTCCCAGTCTGGAGATTCATAATGCGAAAACTTGAACTTGCATCATAGGCAAGAAGCTTGCCATCGGGCGACAACGCGACAAGGCCCTGTGTGTCGGATATCGCGAGCGCCGGCAGCTTAACACGGGTACCAGTGTCTGTCTCCCAGACCCGAATGGTGTCATCGAAGCAGCGTGCTGCAATGAACCTGCCATCCAGCGAGAAGTGTATGCTAACGGCTCCGGCATTTCCCTCATATGGAGCCGGCATGTCCGAGATGGTCACGATGAGGTCGCCCGTCGCCCAGTCGAGAATGTCAATGGTGTCCATGTTCTCCGACCTAAGTGCGATCCGCTTGCCGTCCGGCGAGAGCGCACCACCGGTGCCATCCTTTCCCCAGTATCCCGGCCACTTGTGTAACCGTCTACCAGAGTTGTTCGTCTCCGAGTTCATTTCCCACACCTCGGTTGCAGGGCCACGATGAGCGTCATCGTCGGCGGAGGGATCTGACAAAGATACAAGATTGATCTCGTTGCCATCCACGAAGAATGCGATGGCCTTCGGCCATCGGTCGACGTCATAGCGACGACCTCGTCCCAGCAGCGGCTCTCCGACTGCATTACCCGTATGTGCGTCCCACACACGAACAGTCCCGTCTAGCGATGCAGATGCAAGCTGTCTGCCGTCCGGCGAGAATGCGACCGACACCACGGGCCCAGTGTGCCCGGGCGGCTTGCCAATTGAATTCGTGTCCCCCATAGTAGTAGCCTGGGCTACATCCCAGATCCAGATAGTCCCGTCGAACGTGGTGGATGCAAGGATCTGACCATCCGGCGAGAAGACGACCGATATGACAGGGCCTGTATGTCCCAGCACCCGATGACCGGCGAGGATGCCATGCTCGAAGGACCAGACGCGGACCGTAGTATCACGCGACCCGGACGCGAGGAACTTGCCATCCGGCGAGAATGCGAGTGATCGCACAAAGTCCGTGTGTCCGTTGAGCCGCGGCTGTCCAATTGCACGACCAGTCTTCGCATCCCAGACACGAAGACCACCGTCGATTGCGGACCCGGACACAACGAATGCGCTGTCTGGTGAGAATATGACTGACGCTATGTGAACACCGAGTTTTGCAATCACAGTACCGGTCTCTGCATCCCACAGCCCATCGATGCCGGCCGCGCTACTGCCAGCCTGAGTGTGCCAGAGAATTGCAGCAACTTGCTTGCCATTGGGTGCGAATGCAATCCTTATAAAGTCGCCTTTGCCCTTGGTTGCCTCCAGTACGAGCGGTGTTCCGATGCGGCCACCCTTTTCTGCATCCCATTCCTGAATGACCGCGTTGTGATCTTTCGGCATTCTGACACAGGCTGCGACGCACTTGCTATCGGGCGAGAACACAACCAAGTCCACGCTCGCGGAATCCTCGGGTAACATGAGCGACTGCCCCATGGGGCGGCCCGCCGATCCAGTGTTCCAGACACGGGCGGTTCGCCCGGAAAAGGACACAGCGCGAGATCCATCCGGTGAGAGCGCTATGCGAGAATCCGGAACGTCAGGTCCCTGCTGCGGCTGGCCAATTGACTCCCCTGTCCTTGCATCCCAGCGGCAGACGTCGTCATCTGTGGCAGACAGGATGCACCTGCTGTCGGCTGAGAAGGCTAGAGATTGACCACGCTTGGACTCGGATGTCCGGAGGTCATGTATCTTCAGGGGGGGTAACGGTGTGAGCTGTTGCGCAGTATCGACCTTCAGTCGACGGTCGAGCAGACCGAGATATGCTTGGCTGATCTCCGACTTCGAAGGCGTGAACGCGAGAGCCGAGATGTAGATGTGTGGTGCACTGTGGAGAATCGGTGTCCAAAAGCAGTTGAGGAACTCGTTCGCGTCCAGTAGAAGTCGCAGACATCGTGACACGGTCGCGCTTTCCGTCTTTTGTTCGCTTCTCTGGGTGTGGGCTTAGCATGTGTCCGAAGTTCGAACGACATTGTGCGAGTGTAAATAGACACACCTTGTCCCGGAGCCAGACTTCCAGCCTCTTGACCAGTGAAGAGGCGAAACGCGCATGGTCACATACACTCAGCACCTCCAGCCAGTACAGGAACTGGTTTCCGAAAAAAGCCGAGACATCTTGAGTTGCTCGTTCCTCCGAGGCGGACGACATGGTCAAGTGGTCAATCCAGAATCGACACGCGTAAACGAGATACGAAGGGAGTACTTGACTCCGCGGCTCCTCATGATTGCTGGCGTATGATGTGCTACGACCCGACACGTTGAAGCACAGACCAGAGTTCATGGTCTTCAGACACCCGAGGAAAAGGTCGTCATGAGTCGCTCCAATGTCTGCCGCCCATCGCTTCGATCCAGACCGCTTGTGCGTAGTGAGATAGTCGGGGAAGGAAGTATGGTATGTCGTGAGGAAACCGTGTTCCTCCTCAGGTTCGGGGACGTTGATCACGGAATGCAAAGCGACGAGCGCATAGCGGACCTCGACAGGGGTGACACGTAGCAAGTGCGCTAACTCAGGGACAGAGAGGGGATTGCGCGCGCAGACGACGGCGTGCAAGCACCGCAGAACTATCTCTACTTCGTCGTCTTGCAAGCCCTGTAGAGCCTGCTCGAGGATGTAGTCGTACATCACATCGATACCAGTGGCCCGAGCGTTCGCGCGTGAGGAAATCAGGTCTTCGAGCCGCTTCGTTGGAGGATGTGGTACATTACGCGCTTGGATGTATTTGCCTGCGGTGGCCGCGTAGATGAACAGGCCTTGAGAATGTTTCGCAAGAGTGCTAATAGCATCTTCAAGTAGGGAAGTCGGAACAGGAACGGCTTTGAGTTCTTCTGTCAGATATCTCAGAATGTCGGCGTCGACGACGTCACGGGCGATGTCATGTAGCCGTACATGCTTGCGCCGCGGGTCTGACTTGGGGTTGGGCGGCCCAAACGTCTCCCTTAGGCCGTCCTCCGGCCGGCTGGTTATAAAGAACTTGAAATGCAGCTGAGGCGCGTGGTCTACGATGATATCCAAGAGACGTTGCGGTGTGGGGCCATCGTGAGGCCACTCCAGTTCGTCGATAGCATCGATGACGATGACCGGCGCCGCGTCTGCCGTGGTGAATGCGACTTTGGCGGGCATGGCGATCAGGACACGAAACTGCCCCTCGATGTCCGCGCTGGCAGCGATCGGATTCTCAAGCAGCACCTTGCGAACCTCAGCCGCGAATGAGGGCGAATACAGTGATAGGAGGTACGCAAGTGTCGGAAAGATGGACCGCACATCCCGCTGCTTGACATTGCCGCGAGAGCAGAAAAAGCTAGCGCCCAGGCGGCCTGCGTGATGCAACGAAGCGCACAACGTCTTCGAGATCGTGCTCTTCCCAGATCCCGCGACTCCGTTCAGGAAGAAGATCGGTGGTACATTCTGGTCCTCACTGCCTGCCGCCCACGTACAGATCTCTTCGAGGAGCTGGATGCGGGTGTCCTTGGTACAACAGGGGATGTGCATCGCATCGTGGCGGGCTGATACATTCGGAGATAGCTTGTCCAGGAGATCTTAATGCAGCACGTATTAGACCAAGTCAAGGCGAGGAAGACATGATGGCGACTGACATGACTGTATCCAGTTGTCCAGTTTCGCATCCGATGACTGATTGAGCATACGCAGGTCTTCCAACACCCCTATCTGGCGAACGCTGACTAGCATCTGCATTCTGGTGAGCAAGGTACTTGTATATTCAGGCTGAGATGAGCGTACATGGAAAAGGTCCACGGCATGGCTGACAGCACGGAGCTGCCGTTCAACCTCCTTGGCATCGGCTGGCGCGAGAGCGATGCGTTTGATGATATTCTGCTTCTGTTTCTCCTCTACGACTTTGACGGCGGCACCGATCATACTGCAGATAACAGTTGAGTCCCATCACAAACCACATGTAAGCGTGGGCTACGTACTCCGCGACCTTTTTGGCGCACTCCGTCATATCAACTTGAATGTTTGGTGGCAGAGACTGGTACTTCTCCAGTATCTTCGTCATGAAAGACAGCTTCTCTGCGATGCTCTCGAATTCTTCACGCACGTCAGCGACCTTCTGATGAAGCAAAGTCAGCCGATGCTGTGGTCATTATTGCATGCTGACGTACTTCGACCCAGTCGAGAATCCCCAGCAGACCTCCCACGGCTACCTTGAGAGGGATAAAGACTTCGGCGACCTCATGCGTGATCTCCAGCACGCCCTTGAGGACGGCTAGGACGGTCTTCAGCCTACCAGTTGAGAAATGATTATTCGGATGCTCGAGCTGCGAGTCGGCTTGCGCGGGCACAGCCTGCGAAGTGGGCTCGCTTCGAGTCGCTGACGACCCCGGCCTTTTCGGGGAGGATGCGGAAGCTGGCCAATGTAGGGCGTGCGTGAATTTAGATTTCTTCGACGTCGAAGTCTGACTCGCGGATCCGGACGCTTCAACGGGAGTAGAGGAGGGCTCTGGAGTAGAGGCGGGCTCTGGAAGGGAATCCTGGAGTTTGCGCTTCCTAGGTTCCTCGGGCATGGTGACTGAAAAGAGAGAGCAAGACTACGCGGGAGAGGGCAAAGGCGACGGCGAGAGTGAGGGTGCGGGGGATCCCGAGGATGCTGTGTGTGGCACTGTTTACGACTGGTGAGTAGAGATTGGACTCAAAGACATTGATGCTTTCACGGACAAGACACGAGGCCCATAACGTGTAGTACGGATGCTGCCCTTGCTTAGATGACTGGCGAGCGACGCCGAGGCAGCGATCACCAGGACTAATGTTTGGTGAAAATTGTTCTATGCATTGCCCTCCATGATGCGGTGAGACACGCTCACAAGTATTAAGACAACGTTGGGGGAGACCAGCAGCCGTCTAGGGACGGCAGACGCTCCAAAGTGATTGTAGACGCCGATGTCGTTGCCAGTAAAAGCATCCGCGAGCCACAGGCCATACGGCTAGAAACTCCGAGCATAGGTGCGAGGACAGCCTGGTTGATATATTGAAAGATTCGCAATGGCAAGTACGGACACCCTGACGTACTGTAAGTTACTAGACACTGGAAGTCTCTCTTCATCCGGACATCTAGACCTCAATATAGCTGTCACAGTAGCCGACCCAGCTTGGGCGCGCACCAATTGCGATTGCATCCGGGAACGGTAGACCCATTCGAATTCACAGTCCGTCGGCGGTTTCGTAGACGAGCACATTTCGGCGCCGTACAACGTGTGGTTGCTGGAGGCTTCCGCGGAACTTTGTAGAAGCAAGATGCCAGACTCCGGACGACATGTACATGTGAACCGAAACGCACCAGTGTCTCTGTGTCAAGGTTGGCATCCACCCTGCCACGGGCAGCCAGAAGACGACCTGTACGGATCAGTGCCAGGCTCTAATTAACCCCAGCGATGCGCTTCTCGACAGCATGGGATCATCCACTTGCAATGTAGCAATCTGAGGATTCCTTTAGCACTCCGATAATCCCTGTCATGGCTCGGTTCAATCATACCTGTGGAGCCAGTGCAAGGGACGTAACATATCACCCACCGCCGGTGGCCCAAGTACTACTAGTACTACTATGGTAGTTTGCGCAGCCGTTGAACCATCGAATGACTGACAAGGCCGGCCGCCCGTAAAATTTCTTAATCAGATCAGCGGTTTCCAGGTTCATGTATAGTTTTTGGACTTTACATGATAGTTCTCTCCAGGCGCGGGGTCGTTGCATCGGGGCGGGACGAAGACTCAGAGGCGGAAGGACAAGACAAACCATGATGCCTTGGATCACCCACTGGCGGGGCAGCTTACATAATTGTCCTATAGTATACGAGTAATGTGTCCGAACGGCTGGATATTGAGTTCAAGTTCGGACTCGCAAGAGCCAAAAGAGCGTCCGACTTGCAAGTGCGGCTACGGATCCTATCTACGACGAGGTGAGGCTACACATATAGTACGTCTGAACGCCGACTCTGAGCTACAGCCTGCCTCTAGATGCATCCCTTAAAAAGACATATGGACCGATCTCCTAGACTTCTATCAGCCCGACTCTGCACACCATCCGCTTTCTGCACCTTGTCTCGTACCCATTCCAGTACACCCCACCATCGACACAGGCATAGTGGAACATTCGATATTTCAGAGTGTGGGCTGCTTAGCATCGCCCCGCCGGACCGATTCCACGACAGACAATCGGCTCGAGCCAGCCAAGGATCTCGTACGACCGACACACACGACAACGCACAGCACACAGCCGCGTCGAATAAGTGTTACGACAGCCAGTACTTCTTTTACACGACCGCAGCCGACCGCACGGTGCCCAGCCCGTCGTCTCCATTAGTCCGACACCGAAGTACCATAAAATGTAGTAACTCGCGCGGCCAGACCTCCCAGTCGGAGTCATACATACAGTCGCCGCCACGCTGCTTACAGCAGGTCGCCCAGCGCAGCCATCTCGGGGCCGCCGGCCTCCTGGTGTGAGCGTTAGACAAAAGTGGAAGTGAGCCGGTGAAGTGACGTACCCGCATGCCAATCTCCCAGTAGCTGTAGATGATCGTGACGGCCATGAGGATACCTGTGCCGCTGCCGATCGCGCCCATCAGGTCCGCCGCGACGGATAGCAAACCGAGGATCGCCCCGCCGAGCGCCGCCGCGGTGGGCACGACGCGCTTGAGCTCCTTGTACATCGAGCCCTCACGGTGACCCGCCATCACCTGCAGAACGTCAGCACGCCGTGTGAGCGCTACAGGAGGGCACGCACCATCTGCTGGTCCTTAAGCTGCTTGGCGATGTCGCGCGGGCCAGAGCCGGACACCTCGATCCACGTCTTGGAGAAGATCGCGCAGGCGGTGACGATGAAGCCGATGTAGATGAGCGTGTGGATCGGGTCAAGCAGCGCGGCCTTGAGCGTGTGCGGCGGGGACATGTAGTACGCGATGCCCGACACGGCCGCGAGCTGGGGCGGCGAGTCCTCCATCGGCTGTCGCGGAGGGTGGGTCAGCGAACGACAACGGACAGCGGGACGCGGGGGCGTACCTCCCAGACACCGAGCAGCTTGACGAGGAAGTTATCCGGGAAACGGCTGGCGAGCATCTGCGAGACGATGAAGACATTCGATGTGAGCGCGCTCTCTAGCATGATCGGCATGTTGCTCGTGTAGAAGAGCTTGACGGGGTACGAGCCGCGCTGGCCGCGGAAGCGGTTGCTCTTCACCGGGATCTCAATGCGGAAGCCCTGGAGGTAGATCACGACCGCGAACACGACAACGGTCGCAATGAGGTTCATGACGTTGGGGAGACGCTCGCGCCAGAACGCCTCGCGCAGCGCGCGGCCCTTGTCATTCCAGGTGAAGACGAGGTGGAAGAGCGAGACGACGGCCCCCTCGAACTCGGGCCCGCGCCCAGTGTTAATGGTCGTGGGCGAGAACGCCTTCCAGACGATGGATTCGCAGATATTGGTGGCGATGAAGAGCGAGATACCGGAGCCGAGACCGTAGCCCTTCTGCAAAAGCTCGTCGAGGAGGATGACGATGAGCGAGGCGGAGATGAGCTGGATGATGAGAAGCAGGCAGATACCAGGGCCGATGTCGCTGGGCTGACCATAGAGACCGGTGGCGACGTAAACCGTTGCCTGACCGAGGGAGATGATGAGGGCGAACACTGTGGAGGGATGGTCAGCATTGCACTAGGACCCCTAATAATTAGGGGAGAAGCTGATTTCAGTCCGGACAAATTCCGACCATTTGAGGGGAGGTATGCCTGATGCCATCCGGACAAAATGGACGTTCGTGCAGACGGAGGCCTGTGTCAGTGTATGGACATGGCCCCTCCAGCCCCGCAAGGCCTGATCCTGTCCGGACGACTAACCGCCCATATAGCATCGCAACTCAGCCTGAAGCTGACACGTCCGCTGCATGCGCGAGGTCGGTGTCATGGTTCCCCTGCAGGGACCCGACGTCGAGTACCGAGCAGCCAGGTAAGCCATGACTTATTCGAAACACGCAGAGAGGCTGTGCAGCTGCAAACGGGTCGCTAGCTCACGACTAGCTACCGAGTTGGCGTGCAAGCTGGGAGCCATCTGACGAAGACGGCGGAGCCGGGTTGTGGTGACAAGACACGATGAGAGAGACAACCAACGGATCCTCTGGGAGGCGCACGGAGAACTGAGCATGAAGTGGGCAAGGTGACGACTCACGCTTCTGCGCTCCGCTGAACAAGGCGCGGTCCTCCTTGAGGGAAAAGTCGACGTCGATGAGGTTGGCACCGGCGAGGAGCTGCATGATCATTCCGGACGTGACGATGGGCGTGATACCGAGCTCCATGAGGGTCCCGCGGTTGGAGGCGAGGATGACACGCATCCAGTAGAGGGGGTCAGCGGAGTCGGACGACATAATGCCGTAGAGCGGGACCTGGGAGCAGACCAAGAAGATGAGGAGCGTGACGGCCGTCCATAGTACTTTTTGGTTGAAAGGGACCTGCAAATGATGTTATGAACCTGGCGAGTGGGTGTAGTGGGCAGTACGCACCTTGCGGTCGGGCGACGAGACCTCTGGAAGGATAGGGAGGAATGGCCGGACAAGGTTGAGGAACCGAACTGGCAGGTATGTCAGTATATTCACGTAGAGCCAAGTGGGCTGAATACTTACAACCGCTCATGGCTGGAAGTTGGAAGAAGGGACCAACTCAAACGAGCGGCGGAGGTCAGGATGTGGTGAGTTGGCTGGTACACAGGCGCCCACACGTCGCCACCATCCACTGAGGTGGCACACCAAATACGGCCAAACACCGTCCCTCTCTAGATCTGGCATCCCCGACGCTGCCCGAGCTCAACTTAGTTTTGCGAACCACGTTCGAACGTTGAACGTCCTCGATGGCCAGTGGGCCAGGGTGTACGACTATTGTAGCATTGCACTCACGCCGTTTTATTGATCGATTAGTGTACGCTTGAGGCCGGACGCGGCCACGTATAAGTAGTGAGCGCTGTCAGGTGACGCGTGTACGATACACGTAGTTACTGTGGCTAGTACTGTGGAATTACCTCCTCCTCCTCCTCCTCCTCCTCCTCCTCCTCCTCCTCCTCACTCAAAGTTAGATACAGTTTGGATACAGTAGGAGTCTATTAATCGACCTCAGCTAGATGCTACCCACCGCCGGTCAGTACAAGCCTACCCAGCCGCATGACTGGTGCGCACTTTCCTCACAAGCGATCATGTCACTGACGGGTATAACACAGATTAGTACACTACGACTACAACGGATGCGCCATTATGCGGCCAGCAGGACGCCATGGATTGAACGAGGACACCTGGTCCATCGTCTTGTCCTTTGCCGACCCCAACGACGCCCACAGTCTATCCCTCGTCTCCCGAATAATCCACCCCGCCGCTCGGCGCGTCGTCCTCTCCCGCGCAAAAATATTTAGTCAAGGCCAGCTCGAGCATGTCTGCGCCTTCATGCTTGAGGAGCCGCAACATCGCGTCCGCTGGCTGCGCGAGCTCCACATCAGCGACTCCGCCCTGAATGCCAGCGCAGAGGGGCTTGCCGCGAAGCTCGCGGATCTCCTGGGTGCAGCGCAGAATATCGTCAGCCTCGCGCTTCCCTGTGTGGAGTCAATGTTAGAAGCAGAACCGCGTGTTGGCACGGCTTTGGCCTCCCTCGCACGCCTAGAGGTCGTGAAGTTCTCTGGTGTGTTCGCTCAGTCGCTGAATATGGCGAATACGATGGCTAGCAGTCCTACGGACGTTACGCTTATACTTGGCACGTCCTGGGACGACGAATACAGTACGAGCGAGCTCCCCGTCATGCTAAGCCATCTGGCCTTGCTCCGCAAAGCAAGCGTAGTGGAGATAGAGTTCTCTGAACTCTCAGGGACCAACAGCTACGTACGCAGCTACGGTGAACCCTCGAACTTCGGCTTCGAGCTTGGACAACTCGGCCAGCAGCCGACCGTGCGCGAGTTCCGCTTCCGGTGCGGCGGGCCCCTCCCGTTGTTCCACATCTTCCCGAACATGCAGGTTCTACACCTGCGCTGTATGGAGGACGAGTTCGCACAGTTCGACTGGGAGGAGTGGGCGTGGACAGACTCCGTTCCACTGGTCGAGGTCACGACTGACGACAACGATCAACTCGTATGCCTCGCCGGGGCACACGGCACACCGATGCTTCGCCAGCTCTACCTGGATCAGCCTCCCTCACACGACTCCGACGTGGACTTCGACGTCGACAGCTTGCGGCCCATTTGCTTGACATTCCCCCTCGAGGAGTGGCATGCGCCGCGGAGAACGAACCTTCCTCTTTGGGGCGGACATCTGGAGGACCCTGCAGAAGGACGGCTGCGCTACCTGCAGGTGGCCGCCAAGTGCCATTCGGAAGAGGACATGCCCGTGCGGTGGGTGGTGCGCTCCAGGAATCCAAGTGCACGCGCTCAGCTCAGCTAACGACCAGCCCTGCCAGACATGGCTCCTCCCTGCTCTCCTCGCGTCCCAGCTAGTGTGCCTGCGGCTCAGCTTCCACGTCACCACGTCGTCTGGGAAGGTGACCAGGCTTGACGAAGCGCGACAGTTGCTCGTAAAGCACCTCCCTTCGCTTCGCTACCTGTGCATTGCTGAAGGTAAATTTCCCGTGGAGGACCTTATTTCCGCATTCCACCCACGCTTCGTTGGCGAGTGCGCTTGGTGGCGCGTGCACGAGGTCGCGGGCGAGAGGCGATCGGAAAGCATCTCGTGCGAGGCTGGTGAGCGGGTCGAACGGTATTTGCGCTCGGCAGAGTTTGAGAAGACGCTGTCCCTCAATGGGTTCGTGCTGAACGACGCATAGGGCGTAGGGGTGCATATCGACCTACGTCTGCGAACGCTGACTGCGCTCTCTCGGAGTCCAAGGAGAGGCTGGTTTGACTAGAGCGTAAATATGCGCATGTGTACACTGTACACTGTCCTGGCTCTCAATTTGCATGGCTTTGCGCGTAACGCTGCGAGCGCTCGCAGTCACACTTTGTTTGTCTCCGTGATTGCTACAGTCCTGTGTCGGACTGTGCTGTCTGTCGTGTGGTACGCGTACACGTAACGCGCTGGGATGTCTGTCATATGGCGGGGTGCACAATGTAAATGTGTATCGAGGTCTTTCTATCTGTGGGTCAGGTGGAGTACAGACATGCATACATGGTACGTAAAACGGGGATTCAGGCAACAGTTACCGTAGTGCACACTATGAAATACAACCCAGTTGTGCAGCTCTGAGTGCTTTGGGTAGTTATAAGGACTGCGTGGATTGGAAGTTACTCGCCCTCTCCATCAATCAAGTCAGCACGACCCCGTCTAGGGACAACGTCTTCTCGAACTCCGCAGAGCACAAATACCGCTCGACACGCTCGCCGGCCTTGCACGAGATGATCCCTACGCATCGCTCGCCACCGACATCGCGCACCTGGCACCAGGTGCACTTGGTAACGAGAAAAAGTCGTTGATAGTCATGGCTGTCAAAGGGACCACGCTCGAGCTGGTGCCATCCGGCATCGATGCATATGTATCTGAGCGACGGCACTTGAAGTTGCCGTGCGAGCATCTCTCGAACCGCATTGAGCCCGGTGACCTTCAGAGGTGGATTGCCCACGTCGAACCTCAGTTTCATACAGACCAATCGGGACTGTCGGATGACGGGGAGGAGCGATTCCTGGCGGATGGAATGGTCAGTGACCTGGGTGTATGCTGGACACACGATTTAGACGTACCACCCATGAAGTAAGCATGTCAGGGAGGGGGCTTGCACCAAAGATTGTGAGATACCGAAGCCGTGTGTATCCTCACAGGGCTTCAACCCAGTGGGCAACCTCCCCATTCGGTAGGGCGTTCGTTGCACCCTGTTGTCATTGTTGGGGGCGTCGGCCTTGATCAATGGAACCGATCCCGTCCATGCCCATGTGCGCCAGTCGAAGCGTCGAAACGACGCATTCAGACGTCGCATGCGTAGGATCTGCATGTTCGGGAAGATGTGGAATATAGGGAGGGGCCCACACAAGTAGAGGCAGAGCTCGCGGACGCTGGGGTACTGGCCGAGCTGCGCGAGCTCGAAGTCGAAGTCTGAGGGTTGCTTGAATTCGTCCGCATCATCCGCGTCGGAAAACACGATGTTCACTCTGCGCGCGTTCTCGAGCAAGGTGAGATGGCTCAACTGGACGATGTGTTCGCTGATGCCGGCCAGAGGTGACACAAAGCCGAGAGACACGCGCGATGGACGGCTGACCATCTGGTTGGCTACGTCCAGAACGTGGGACGATACACCGAGGAGCTCGACGTCCTGCAGCCGTGTGAGGGAGATCAACGCGGTACCGATGCGCGGCTCCGCTACCACCAAAACCTCCATGTAGGGCAGCGACAGAGTTTGAATATTTTGTGCTGCCTCGAGAAGACCAGCTAGTTGCACCAACGCCGAGACAGCCTCCGCAGTATGCCCATCCTTGAGATCTGCCAAGGCATAGGGCTGTACGTAGAGTTCACACAACCAACAGGCGCAGTGATCTGGGTCATCTAGCATGAAGTTGCACGCCTTGACCAACTGGAATTGGGTGAAAAGCCTGGCGGAAGAAAGGACGACGCGCCGAGCCAAGGAATGTATACTGCGTGTGACGAGGGACTGCTTGCGTGCACCGTCGAGCCGAGTGAAGTTCAGTATCATGGCCCATATGTCCTCGTTGAGCACGTCGGATTGCATCTCGAACCAGACTGCCTCAGCAACAGCGTCGGTGTTTAGACGTGTAGGTGTACGAGGTTGTAGCCTCAGCGAAGATGTAGGCCAGTGAGTAGTACTTGCAAGAGCTTGCAAGTCGAACACTGTTCGGATTCCGAACCTCCAACCGATCGGGCACGTGATGAACGCCTTGAGACCGTAGACGGCGAGGTAAGCTGTAGATACTTTTAAGCAGCCAGTGAGTCGATAGTGTACTACGTAGTACCATGTATACGTAGTAGTACACGCGCGAGAGTCATCACGCGATACGTACAACTAACGTTCTTCGCCACTAGGCCTAGGGTGCGCACACGTGCACGTCCTACCCGTCGTTCAACACGAACCCATCGAGGGACAACGTCTCCTCGAACTCTGCCGAGCGTAGATACCGTTCGACTCGCTCACCGGCCGCACACGAGATGCTCTCCGATCGCCTCTCGCCCGCGACCTCGTGCACGCGCCACCAAGCGCACTCGCCAACGAAGCGTGGGCGGAATGCGGAAACTAAGTCCTCCTGGGGAAATTGCCCTTCAGCAATGCACAGGTAGCGGAGCGAAGGGAGTTGCTTGACGAGCATCTGTCGCGCTTCGTCAAGCCTGGTCACCTTCCCGGACGGCGTGGCGACGTGGAAGTTGACCCGCAGGCACACTAGCTGGGGCACTCGGAGAGCAGGGAGGAGCGATTCCTAGCGAACATGGTCGTTAGCTCAGCTGAACGCGTGCACTTCAATTCCTGACGCACCACCCACCGGACGGGTATGTCCTCGTCCGAATTACACATGGCGGCCACCTGCAGGTAGCGCAGTCGCCCCTCTGGACCAGCAGGGTCCTCCAGACGTCCGTTCCAATGAGGAAGATCCGTGTTCCACGGCGCTTGCCACTCTGCGAGGGGGAACGTCAAGCAGACGGGCCGCAAGCTGTCGGCTTTGAACGCAGGGATCTCCCTGTAGGGGCCGGGGGAGAGCGACGGAGCCAGACGCAAGTGGAGCTGCCGAAGTTTCGGCCTGCCGTGTGTCCCTGCGAGACATACGAGTTGGCTTTCGTCGTCGGCCGTGACGTCTACCAACGGCACGGAGTCCGTCCACGCCCACTCCTGCCAGTCAAATTCTGCGTGCGAGTCGTCCATCCAACGCATACGCAGCATCTCCATATTCGGGAAGATGTGGAACCATGGCAGGGCCCCGCTACCCCGGAGGCGGAGATCGCGCACGGTCGGATGTTGCCCGAGCCGTCGAAGCTCGATGCCGGACTCTGAGGGGTACTCGTAGCCACCGCCTGAGAGTTCACAGAACTGGATCTCCACTACACTTGTTTTGCGGAACAAGGCCAGCTGGCTCAACACGACGGAGAACTCGCTGGCGCTGTACTCGGAGTCGCAGGGCACGTAAAGCGCAAGCGCGACTTCTGTAGGACTGCTAGCCATCGTATTCGCCATATCCAGCGACTGCGTGAACACATCAGAGAGCTTGACGACATTTAGACGTGCGAGGGAGGCCAAAGCCGTGCCAGCACGCGGTTCCGCTTCCAGCATTGACTCGACATAGGGAAGGGCAATGCTGGTGATGTTTTGCGCTGCACTGAGGAGGTCCGCGAGCCTCGCAGCGAGCGACGACCCCTCCGCGATAGTATCCCAGGAGTCCTCGAACTCATCCAGGGCGTGTTCGTTGATGTGGAGCTCGCGCAGCCAGCAGGCGCGATGATGCGGCTCCTCTATCATGAAGGCGAGAGTATGTTCGAGCTGGCTTTTCTCGGCGATGTCCGCGCGGGAGAGGACGACGCGCCGAGCGGCGGGGTGGCTGTTTCGGGAGACGAGGGATAGAGTACGGGCGTCGCTGGGGTCAGTCAAGGTCAGAATGATGGACCAGATGTCGTCGCTCAGTCCATGGTGTCCTGCGGGCTGCATGTCGCCTCCGGATTGGTCGTAGTAATCTGGGTTGTATCCGTCAGGGACTCGTTGTGTACCAGATTGTTATCAGGAAAGTGGCGCACCAGTAAAGCGAACGGGTAGGCTTCTAGTGTGGGGCTTTGGGTAGCACACAGTGTCCGGCCGATGAAGTAGAGGATGAAGTACTCACTCCGTAGCTGGTCGCTGCCAGGTCAGTCCGTAGACTGACAACGGTGCATGAACCGCACAACCGCACGGGTCTCACAGAAGTGACCGACGGTATGATATGCGCGCCGGGCGCTGTGGGCACGTGACCGTGTTCGCGCTGCCAGGATCTGAATCGCGTCCCAAAAGCACCTACGGCTTGCACTTACAGTGTTACACCCTCGTATCGTCCTCCCTCGGGTTTCGCTCTACGCTCAGCCTGCCGTGCCACCTCCAACCTGATGTCGCGTCCGATCAGGAGGATCTTCGACATCAGCAAATTCGAACGTTTCTGTCCTAACGGCGACCGAGGGTAGACGGCTGCGTCGCCTCTGGCATCCGGCTCTGGTATGTCGTGGTCAAAGTCAGCGAGCAGGAACGATAGATTGGAATTTTGCGCACATAGTGTCTCTATCGCCTGCTCACGAACCAATATGATTGGTATGCGGGTCCCATCATCGTCTCCTCATCGGTAGCAGCAACAAGATGCAGTCGTCCAAGCGGAGCGAGGGCGAATGGTACATAGATGTTTCCTAAGTTCATGAGGGACGGATGGGTAAGTTATGTAAATTGACAGTCCGCTACGCGTCAGCCACAGGTGAGACTCGGAAAGGGTGCACTGGAGGTTGATCGCATCATACAAGAGGCCATCAGAGGTCTGATAAATATATTTTGGAATGGTACAGGACGTCTGGGCTGTGATACATGACGTCCCGAGGGGAGGGACCGCGCGATGTATAAGCAAGGGCGACGGCACTACGCGAGTTGGCCTGCTCTCAGGAAGATGGCCGCAGGAGACGGCACAAACGCGGAGCCAATGGCCTGAAATTATGCAAGACAGAGACTAGCATGAACGAAGGATATGACAAGGGGTCATACGAGTTAGATCTGCCGCGGTGCACAGCGGTTGGCGCTCTGCGGATGAGTCGCTGTGTGCCGGGTCGACATTCAAGGCAACAGAGATGGTTGGATGTGGGAGAATCGGCGAAAGCCCTGCGACGAGAGACAGGTGGGTGGCAGGTCGGCGGGTCGTGTATTGATTATGTAACCAGGCAGCGAGCCAGGACCATCCATCGCCGCACCAGCCGCGGGCAGACATCCACCATTCACCATCTGTCTCCGTTCCCTGTGTCGCCGTGTCTGTCGGGAATAGACGAGGACCAGAACCTCTCGGGAGGCGGACGGGCGGGCGAGGGTTGAGGCAGAGACGCGTCTGTGGCGTGACCTCCACGACGCGTCCGCCGTTGGCGCGCACCTTTGTCCTCCTCCTCCATCCCCTACCACACCCGCGCCCTCCCCGCGACCTCGCACGCGCACCGCCTGCCACTCACCTATATGCTGCAATAGGCCGCATAGTCCACCCAAAATGAAGCGAGTCCGCGAACTCACCCGTGACGACAGCGACGCGAGCCTCTTTCCCTGCAAACGCCTCCGCCAGCTCCAGTCCGCCCTCGGCCACCGGTACGAGAAGCGGTTCGTCCCTTCGTATCCCTTCGACGCCGCCCTCGACAGCGACCCCGATGCCGCCGACCTCGCCCATCCCGACACTGCGCATTCGAGCCCCGCAGGCACGACGGCCAACCTCAGCTGGACGACTGACGTGGCAGGCGAGAGCGCAGAGGGCTCCAGGTGAGTTGCACGTCTTTCTGCATCACCCAGTCGCCCTGTACCCATGCACGAGCGCGTACGCCAGTCTATCGCAGGTCCCGTGCGCGCGCACCGTCACCAGCCGCCTGCTCCCCGCCCGCTGGGAGGACTCGGACGCGGAGAGCGACCTCGACTCCGAGCCGGACCCCACACCCGACGCCGACATGGACCTTGCGTCGTCCCCGTCTGCCTCGCCGCCGCCCACGCACGTCGGCCGCTTTGGCTTTGGCTTCCAGCACCGCGAGCGCGTCGCGCGGAAAAGCGGGGTGGCCGCGGGTGTGGGCACGGTCAGCTGCGCGCACCCCGTGCTGTGCTGCGCCATGTGCGGCATGAGGGTCCTCAGGGCGATGTGCGAGGTCGGCATACAGGTGGAGGCGATTCACTACGAGGTGAGCCCGACTGGCGCGTAGCGCGTGCATTGCGATACTCATGGCATTCAAGGCTAGTACCGTGCATGGACTGTCTACGCTGCCCATCTCTCCCTGCCCGTCTCCTCCGCCGGCCGTGATCCCGCCCGCAACAGACGACGACGTCGACATGGACCTCGACGAAGACGACCTGATGGACCTGGCCGCAGAGCCCGTCCGCCCGGCCCCACCCGGTCCTCCCACTCCCACTCACACTCCCACAACCGCAGCCCCCTCCTCCTCCCCAGTCGCAAAAGCACAACCACCAGTGAGACAGAAGTCGCCGCCGACGGGCCCGCGGTTCATGCCGGGCCCGCCATTCGCGTCCGCGCCAGAGCGGCACCCCGCGCCGCCTCCCCCGTCGCTCGACACGATGCTGGGCAGGCCGGTGCCCAAGGGCCCGAGGGCGTTGGCGGCGCTGCACACCGTGTCCGTGCAGCAGCGCCCCAAGACGCCGACGCCTGAGGCATCCTCGGAGTCGCGGTCTCCCTCGCAGAAAAGCGACGCGTCGCAGTCGCCTCCGCACACCTCGCACGCTCCCGCTCCTGCGCGCGTGCCCGCCCCGACGTCGTGCGCGCCAGGTGCTCGCGTCATCCCTCCGCGCCCCGCTCAAGCGCACTCGCCAGTGTCTCTGACGACGGTACGTCCCGCAGATCCGTCGTCCGGGGCCGCCTCGGCGATGCCTCCCCAGCCTCGCAGCGAGCCCCCGCCGATCCCGCCTCCCAGCCGTGCGCAGCCAGAGCCAGCCAACGTGAAGGCACACCCGCCCGAGCCCGCCGCCCCGCCGCCGCCGCTCCCCGTGCAGCCTCCCCCACCCGCGCCCAGCCCGCCCGCGGTGCCTCTCGCGCCCAGCCCGTCCGCGGTGCCTCCCGGGCCCGGGCCCGCGAGCGCGCTGCCGCGGTATGCGTCCGCGCCGTGGTTCGTGGGGCGGCGGACTGTCGTCCCTGCGTCTGACGCTGGCGCGCTGGGGGTGGTGGGTGTGGAACAGACGGTGGCGGGCGTGCAGGCCAGTGGACCGCGTACCAGTGGGAGCCCGCCGGAGCCACCGCAGCCACCGCCGCCGCTGCCCTCTCTCCCGCCGCCGCCGCTGCCCTCTCTCCCGCCGCCGCCGCTGCCCTCTGCCCCGCCGCCGCTGCTGCCTCCCGGCGGCGCGTCCCAGGGCCCGACGGCCGAGGAGATCGTGAAGGAGCTCATGGGGCGGGAGAAGCGGAAGCGGAAGCGGGAGAAGCGGCGGGAGGTGAAGAAGCAGGTGAAGGCGGGTGCGCGCGCGCCGCTGCCTGCGAAGATGAACCTGCCGCTCCGGCGGGAGGGGCACGACTACCAGTGCCCGATTGATTGCCGGTGGTTCACGATGGTGGGGTTCATGGGGCATTTGTGAGTGCGTGGTTTTCTCTGCGGGCGCGGTGGCTGAGCGTTTCGTTTTCGTTTTCGTTTTCGTTTCCTCTTCGTCTTCCGACGCGGGCAGCGAGATGAAGCACGAGGGGCGGAGCTCCCTGTCGCGGAGGCTCAGGGACGAGCTCGTCAAGGCCGGGGACATCGCCGAGTTCTGGCGGCAGTTCTGGGCGCACTGCGACGTGCGCCCGGAGGAGTGTACGTCCCCCGTTTTCTCTCTCTCTCGCGTCGGCGCGCCCGCTGACCCCCGCGTCCGCACGCAGGTCATCCGTGCTACGTGCGCGCAGACTACGACGCGCTGCCGTACACGGAGGACATGGAGGACGGCGAGATCCCCGACGCGCGGCAGCAGCAGCAGGCTGCGGCAGGCTCGGGGTCGGGTTTGGGTTCGGGTTTGGTGTGAGCGCGCTGGGGACGTGACGTGCCGTGGACGCGATCTGGTGCGCGGGAAGGATTTGGAGCAGGGATCTGTCAAGTATTGTACGTATATACTGCGATGAGCCTAGGTTGCCCGCGATAATTGGATATCTTGGACGGTCGCTGTGGGTGCTCGTGGACCGCGCGGCGGACTCGAGTTTATCTGTGCCCGGGAGGTGCGTGCATACAAGTCGGTTTTTATGTCGCGTATACACGGTTTCTCCTTGGCGAGCGAAGTATGATGACCTCACATCTCTGGGGTGCACAAAAGGCACCAGGTTTCCTCGTCTTCATTCCTCTGCTTTTCAATACATCGCGGTGCAATAGCACTACCCTCAGCTTCAAGCACTGCTCAGATTCGTACACCGATAGCAATGGGGCCAGGGGCGGCCTGAGCGGTATAGCACGTGCACAGTACTATGTAAGCGCGTCAGGCCCGTCCTCAAAATTCACTGACCCCTGTCCTCACTGCAGTTGCGAACTCGGTTGGACGCGAGTCTTAAGCCTGCATCCGAGCCACTGGTGCGCCTCCTCTTCAAAAATGTTTATTGCACAACGACTCATTAATGGACGTAACGCAGACACTAGTACTACCGCCACAATGGTTAACGCCGGGGTGCAGCCCGGAGGTCACCATGGACTGAACGCGGACATCTGGTCCAACATCCTGTCCTTCGTCAGTCCCAGCGACGCACGGAGTTTATCCCTCGTCTCCCACACCATCCACCCCGCCGCTCGCCGCGTCGTCTTCTCCCGGGCGGAGATCTCTGAGCAAAACCAGCTCGAGCATGCCCACGCCTTCATGATAGGGGAGCCGCATCATCGCGCCTGCTGGCTGCGCGAGTTGCACATACACTACTACGCAGTGGCAAAGGTCGAGGACCGACCGGCTGGGTCAGCGCTCGCTGCGAAGCTCGCTGACCTCCTCGAGGCCGCGCGGAATATCAGCAGCCTCGCACTTCCCTGCATGGAGCCGCTCCTGGAGGCGGACCCTCGCGTCGGCACGGCTTTGGCTTCCCTCGCACGGCTCGAGGTCGTCAGGTTCGCCGATGTGCGCGCGCAGACGTTGAAACTGGCGAACACGATGGCTAGCAGGCCCACGCAAGTCACGCTTGTACTTGGCACGCCCTGCGACTCCGAGTACATTATCAGCGAGTACCTCGTGTCGCTGAGCCATCTCACCCTACTCCGCAATGCAAGCGCAGTAGAGATCGAGTTCTTCGAATTACAGCCGCGAGACAGATGCACGCAACCCGCGGATTTCGACTTTGAACTCGGACAGCTCGGACAGCATCCAACCGTGCGTGAGCTGCGCCTCCGATACAGCGGGCCCCTGCCCTTGTTCCACATCTTCCCGAACATGCAGGTTCTACGCATGCGGTGTTTGAAGGAGTGGTTCGCGGAGTTCGACTGGCGGGAGTGGGCATGGACGGAGTCCGTTCCGCTGGTCGACGTCACAGCCGACAATGACAAGCAACTCCTATGCCTGGCCGGGGAGCGTAGCCAGCCGACACTCCGGCAGCTGTGTCTGCACCAGCCTCCAGGCTCGGTCACCGTCGACCTCGACTACGACTACGACGACGAGTTCGAGTTCGACCACTTGCAGCCCGTCTGCTTGACGTTCCCCGTTGAAGAATGGCATGCGCCGGAGAACATGGACATTGTGTTGTGGCGCGGATACCTGGGAACACCGGCGGGTCCGGAAGGACGGCTGCGCTACCTGCAAGTGACCGCCCAGTGCGAGTCGGAGGAGGACATGTCCGTGCAGTGGGCGGTGCGTTGATTCTCATTCGCTTGTCCCGCCCGGCCTGACGAAGCGCCCCGGCAGAAATGGCTGCTTCCTGCTCTGCGAACGTCCCAGCTGGTGTGCCTGAGGCTCAACTTTGATGTCTCCACGCCATCTGGGAAGGTGGCGCGGCTCGGGGCGGCACGGCTCGTTCGATACGTGCCTTCGCTGCGCTACTTGTGTATTGCTGAAGGGCAATGCGTGGAGGATGACGTGGACTATGCGTACGAACAACGCTTTGTGGGTAAGTGCACTTGGTGGCGCGTGTACGATGCCGAGGGCGAGAGGCGCGTGGAGAGCATCTCGTGCGAGGCCGGCGAGCGCGTCGAGCAGTATCTGCGCTCGCAGGAATTCGAGAAGACACTGAGCTTGGACGCGTTTGTGTTGGACGATGCGTAGGTTCGGTAGTGTATGTCTGTCAAGTGGTAGGTGTTAGTTGATATCACAGCGGCGAGCTGTTGTCGCCTGCTTGCAGGGCTTGCTTGTTCCCAGTTGATACTGATTGATCCGCTGGCCCTAAAAGGAATGAACAGGGAAGGCGGACTCGAGTAAGGCTGTGCCGATGACACGTTGAACAACTGTGAAGCCATTGAACCAGTGCCCTTGAATGTACCTCCGTCTGCACCTTACAACGCTCGCCTCTTGCGGCCAGCGCAGTTGACTGACGACCCGGATCAGATTCTGCCAACGTCAGACTGCGAGAAGCACTCAGGGAATTGCCGACTAGGTCTGCGCCGATGGTTGGTCGTACCGGATGGGGCTGACACGAGCACGTCGATGCTCGATACGACCTTGAGGTACCGCCTTGATGATGGTGGAGTTGAAACAGAAGGATAGGTCGTCACTGCAGGCATACGGTCACTCATTCGAGTGAGGTAGTCACGGTGTTCTGCAAAAAACGTATCAAATGAGTCCTCCGCGAAGTACGAGAGCCTGATACGAACGCACGAAAGCAAGGAAACATCAAGCACAACACGACAGAGTGAGAGCGGGTGATGGTACATGAAGTGGTGCGAGATGTGGAAGGTATCGAGGCGAAGACGGAGGACGAAGAGACACAGCGACTGAAGCGGCCAGAGACTGAGGCAGGATGGGATGGCCGTCAGCTTTGATTGACGAGTACAATGTCAAGCTATATACTTGATGAGCGCACACTGCTCGTTGCCTACGGCGTTGCTGCCTGGAACTGGAAACAAGCTGAATGAAAGACGAGAAAAGACAGTCGTCGAAGGTGCTCACCGCGGCAAGTGCAAGTTCGTACATGCGCTTGAGCTCCCCGCCTTCCTCGCCGTTTCCTCCGCCTTCCTTCCTCCGTCGTCTGTATCCTGATGTCGGCTGCGCTACGGAGGCTTCGCAGTCTCTCCGAGTATTCACCCGCGAGACGGCGGCGGAGAGTGGAATGATAGTAGCTGGAATGTGAAAAGCAATCTCTCCGGGATACTTTGTGATCAGGGAATCAGGGAATCATGCCTCGTCGTGCAAAGCGTGGCATTGTTGCGGACGGGGACGCTGGGAGACGAGGAGTTGGACGTACTTGAGATGGACACTGCCAGGACAGGACGGAAGGACGGACGGACGGACGGACGGACGGACGGACGGACGGACGACTCGAGGCGAGCCTCTTCCGCTGACACGGTCACGCGACTTGCGCGAACAGACACGGGCGCGTCGGTCACTTTGTGACAAGCGTGACGTTGCGCGCTGTACGCAAATACATTCTCACAAACCCAATAGCGGGAAGGAGCCTCCACTGCTGCATAATACATACGTCAATTCCCTTGCATCGATACATCCTTTCTGACTGCGATATCACTTCACCGTACAAAGTCCCCCTCATGCCGCGGCCTGCACCGGCAGCGACACCGGATCGTACACCTTCTCATTCCACCCCGGCAGGATCTGCGCCGTCTGGTGCTTCGGGTCCCCGCGCACGGCGCCATAGGTGCGCTGCCACTTCTGCTTCGCGAACGTCCACTCCTCCATCGTCGGGACGTGGTTGCTGCTCTTCTCGAAGTCGTTCTGCGTGCTGTCCGCGCGCTGGAGAACGGGCGACTCCTTGACGGTCGAGAGGACGACGTCGTTGTTCGGGCTGAGGGTGTCATCTCATGTAAGCATCGGGATCGATGGGAAGGATGCAGTGTACATACCGCGAGAAGTACAGAAGGCCGAGACGGTCGACGTGCTCTTGATCCTTCGGGGGAGATGCCACCCTGTGATCGCATGCCTCAGTAGGTATTGAGACGTACACGGGCGAACCACGAACCTGTGTATCGTGCTCTTGACGTAGCCGCCAGTCAAGAACGAGAGCGCGTCGCATGCGTTGACGGTGATCGTAGCGTCCTGCGGCTTGACCCACTTCCACTCGCTGGTCGTGTGGTTCTTGATCTGGAGCGCAGCGACGGGCTGACGGAACAGCAGCGTCCACGAGCCGAGATCTGTGCATTGCAGTCAGTTTGAACCTCATCGTGTCGTCGCAGAGTGAGATTAGACCAACCAGTGTGGCCATTGACCCAGGTCCTGCCGATCTTGAGGTTCTCCTCGGGCGTGAACTTCGTGTACTTCATGTAACGGAGGTGATCCTAAGGACGATGTGAGTTCAGGTCTATGCGAGTACCAAGAGAACACTAGCATACTTCGCTCTTCTTCTCGTACTTGTGAAGGTTGAGGAAGTAGTCCTCGGGGAGCTCGAGCGCGACGGCGAGCAGGACATGGAGGTGGTCCAGAACCTCGGTGTGGAGAGACTGTTGCAGTCAGTGCAGTGAGCTATGGTTGTGATGCTCCCGTGCGATGGATAGAAACATACCTTGGAGAACTCCTCGATCTCAGGGAGGAAGTCCTGCACGATCTGGGGATGATTGTGCTTGAAGAAACCATCGAACTCTGTTGCAGACCAAGTCAGCGTGATACGACACGTTATGTCGAAGGATCACGTACTGGGGATGTTGTAGATCTCCGTGCGGTCCTTGATTCCGGAGACCGGGTCAAGACTGGGCACTATTAGGTCAACAGAGGTAACAATTGGCGTGCAGTCAGTTGGACTCACACGTAGCGTCCAAAAGGCACGTAGCCGTTGAACTTGCCCTGGTCTGATATGGATATGAATCGCCTCAATGAGTGGGTAGACTATGTCTATGTTGGTGCTGACCCAAGCCCTCCGGAACGTATTTGAGCTTCTCCTCTTGGGGGAGCTCGTAGAACCGCTTGCCGAGTGAGAACTGGCGGTTCACACGCTCCTGGGCGATGTTGAAGTTCTTCACATAGAAGAACCCGTCCTCTCGCACGGCCTTCAGGAGGGTCTGAGCAAGCTCCTTCTTGCCCTCGGGCGTAGCCAGGAGGCTGAAGTCAAGCGTGACAAGGTCCGCCCAGTCTAGGGTTTCCTGACATTATAGGATAAGACGGGTTCAAAGAGGTGACACCGCGAGGAAGCTCACCTTCGTCTCGGGAACGAAGTTGAAGGAGCCGAGTTCGGGTGTGGGGACGGGCATCGTGTATAAATTTGAGCGAGGTTAGGGCGACAGACAAGGCGGACGCTCTGCTAGATAGCGGTCAACTGTGTTCTTTTCAATCGTCCTCACCAGTGACCACATGATGAGCAGCGAGCCTGAGTGCAAAGTATGGTGCGTAGTCGCGGAGTCGTCGGGGCGGTTGGTCAGATGCATAGGTCACTTCATTCGATTCCCGGATGGTGCGATACACAGTTGACGAACGTTATGTAACGTTCGAACTTCGGGGGCGGGAGTAGAGATAACACCAAGCCGGCGGCTCCAAGGACGTTCGAGAACGGTCAGCATGAAATGTCAAGAGACAGACAAGTCGCTCGTTGCAGTCCGGAGGCCAGACTGGAGCGTCTTGGATGTGCCTGGCGGTGAGTGAGTCACACGGGAGATGGTGGTGGTACGAGTCAAGGAGCTGGGTCTCGCTGTTGCTGGCACTGAGTCAACAGTACCACGCGGCACCAACTTGTTAATGTTCACGCTACTCTTTGTCGGATGGTTGTACGCTACACTTACCACCAATTCAACTCGGCGTAAGCCTGTTCGTTGACTCGGAACTGAGGCGGCTCGACCGGTCGACGTTCCCCTTCAAGCTTGTCTTCGGTGAATGTTCTAGGTTCGTGTGGACGTCGGGTGGGTGTTATCTTGCATGTAGGTTATTGAAATAGTGATGCTGATGCAATTCTTGATGATATGTTGCAATACGTGCTTCTACGTGGCGTTAGAGCGTGACCTACTGTCGCAATCGCCCTCGTTCACAATTGCGCAACGTTTGCATGCCTGCTCATGAACGCGGTAATCGTTGCGCTGAACAAAGCTAAGAAGGCTGTTAGCTGTGGAATGCCAGGTCTGCAGGGCCGAGGGCCCCATCCGCGCTCTACGCCGTGTCCGCTGCGCGAAGACACGCCGCGCAGAACTCGGTGACCCGCAGGGAATCCTCGGACACTGCATGTGTGTGTGCACTCACAAGTTCATGCCGAACGCACCCTCTACCCAGCTCGAGTACACCTCATAGGAGGTCTTCTCGTCGAGCCCACTATCCTTGATCATCTCCTCCGCCGTCAGCCCCACGTCGACCCTGCCCATCAGCGGAGCTTCCCCACCTATGTGAACACGTTCTTGAGGCCGTCCTTGAGCTTGTCTGTGTCCAGCTCGCACGGCTGGCCCCTCGCCTCGGTGTACCCGAGCCACCTCCCGAGCACAATCCGGAGCGTCGGGCGCTCAGTGGTCTGCAGCGGGACGTTGAGGCGGCGCGCGAGGATGCGCGCGCCGACGAGCGTCGCAGCTTATAGCGCGTTCTCGCACCTATGGAGTCACATGAGCGTGAGGTCGGGAGACACACGCAGGAGAGACGTACCGACGGCCTTGTCGCTGACTACAAGCGAGTCGCACAAACGAAGACAGCGCGGGTTGGTGGGCAGGACGGGAGGAGGATCGGCTCTGCGTGCAGGAAGGGGAAGAACGTGGTGTACAGTGCTGACGATGACATGGAGATGATGGACGCGGCCTGGTCCATACCAGTCCATACCATCACTGTTCGATCTCAGGCTCAGTACATAGAATGGATGAGCGTGAGTGAGACACGGACATACCGACACGCTGTTCATTCTGCATTGCTGTCTGGACCAGCTGGCCTTTCGTCAATTCTCTGAGTTTTGTTGATCATGGCGAGGAATGAGAGAGTGGATGTAACGACCACGACTGCACTGCGGAGACGCGCGACAGTTGAATGGCAGGCAGATATAGACAGTCGTGGAAGGTGCTCACCGCGGCAAGTTGCGCTTGAACTCCCCACCACCACCACCACCTCCTCCTCCTCCTCCTCCTCCTCCTCCTCCTCCTCCTCCTCCTCCCCAGCCTTCTTCACCGCTTCCTCCGCCTCCTTGCTCGCTGCTTCCTCTGCCTCCTCCTCAAGCCTCCTCGACTCTTCGAGCTCGTCATTTTGTCCCCTTCCTTCCTCCGCTGCCTATAACCCCTTCTCAGCTGCGCTACGGAGGCTGCGCGGTCTCTCCGAGTACTCACCCGTCGGCACCATCGGTCATATCCGCGTCCCTCATGAGCTTAGACATCTACCATTTTCCCTCGCTCCGCTTGGCAGAAATGGATCACTGCATCTTGTTGCCGCTGCCGATGAGGAGACGATGATAAGACCCGCAAGCCAATATTGGTTCATGCGCAGGCGAAAGAGCGGCCCCTCCGTGTTGACCTCGGAGCAGGCGGCGACGACGGCGGCGGACGCAATGGTACTGAGGTGTGAAGTGAAGTGCAATCCTCGGTGGACCTTCTCCTGGCCGCAGCGCGAACACGGTCACGTGCCCACAGCGCCCGGCGCGCGTATCACTCTGTGAGACCCGTGCGGTTGTGCGGTGCATGCAACGTTGTCAGTCTACGGACTGGCAGCGACCACCTACAGAGTGAGTCTCTACTGGACACTGTGTGCTGCCCAACGCCGGTCAGTACTCGTCCGCTTTACTGGTGCGCCACTTTCCTAATAACAGTCTGGTACACAACGAGTCCCTGACGGATACAACCCAGATTACTACGACCAATCCGGAGGCGACATGCAGCCCGCAGGACACCATGGACTGAGCGACGACATCTGGTCCATCATTCTGACCTTGACTGACCCCAGCGACGCCCGGAGTGTATCTCTCGTCTCCCGAAACAGCCACCCCGCCGCTCGGCGCGTCGTCCTCTCCCGCGCGGACATCTCCGAGCAAGGCCAGCTCGAACATGCTCTCGCCTTCATGGTGAAGGAGCCGCATCATCGCGCCTGCTGGTTGCGCGAGCTCCACATCAACGAAAACGCCCTGGATGGGTTCGAGGACTCCTGGGATACTATCACGGAGGGGTCGTCGCTCGCTGCGAGGTTCGCAGACCTCCTCGGTGCGGCGCAAAACATCACCAGCATTGCACTTCCCTATGTGGAGTCGATGTTGGAAGCGGAACCGCGTGCTGGCACGGCATTGGCCTCCCTCACACGTTTACAGGTCGTCAAGCTCTCTGATGTGTTCACGCAGTCGCTGGATATGGCGAATACGATGGCTAGCAGTCCTACAGACGTCGCGCTTGCGCTCTACGTGCCCTGCGACTCCGAGTACAGCGCCAGCGAGTTCTCCGTCGTGCTGAGCCAGCTGGCCTTGTTCCGCAAAACAAGTGTGGTGGAGATACAGTTCTGTGAACTCTCAGGCGGCGGCTACGAGTACCCCTCGGAGTCCGGCGTCGAGCTTCGACGGCTCGGGCAGCATCCGACCGTGCGCGAGCTCCGCCTCCGGGGTAGCGGGGCCGTGCCATGGTTCCACATCTTCCCGAATATGGAGATGCTGCGTATGCGTTGGATGGACGACTCGCACGCAGAATTTGACTGGCAGGAGTGGGCGTGGACGGACTCGGTGCCGTTGGTAGACGTCACGGCCGACGACGAAAGCCAACTCGTATGTCTCGCAGGGACACACGGCAGGCCGAAACTTCGACAGCTCCACTTGCGTGTGGCTCCGTCGCTCTCCCCCGACCCCTACAGGGAGATCCCTACGTTCAAAGCCGACAGCTTGCGGCCCGTCTGCTTGACGTTCCCCCTCGCAGAGTGGCAAGCGCCGTGGAACACGGATCTGCCTCATTGGAACGGACGTCTGGAGGACCCTGCTGGTCCAGAGGGGCGACTGCGCTACCTGCAGGTGGCCGCCATGTGTAATTCGGACGAGGACATACCCGTCCGGTGGGTGGTGCGTCAGGAATTGAAGTGCACGCGTTCAGCTGAGCTAACGACTATTTTCCGCCAGGAATCGCTCCTCCCTGCTGTCCGAGTGCCCCAGCTAGTGTGCCTGCGGGTCAACTTCCACGTCGCCACGCCGTCCGGGAAGGTGACCAGGCTTGACGAAGCGCGACAGATGCTCGTCGAGCAACTCCCTTCGCTTCGCTACCTGTGCATTGCTGAAGGGCAATTTCCCCAGGAGGACCTTATTTCCGCATTCCACCCACGCTTCGTTGGCGAGTGCGCTTGGTGGCGCTTGCACGAGGTGGCAGGCGAGAGGCGATCGGAGAGCATCTTGTGTGCGGCCGGTGAGCGGGTCGAACGGTATCTACGCTCAGCAGAGTTCGAGGAGACGTTGTCCCTCGATGGCTTCGTGTTGAATGACAGATAGGATGTGCACCCTCGCGCGTGTACTACAGTATAACATATGTAGTACTTAGACTATCAACAAACTGTTTGGATAGCTTAGTTGGAAGTCGAGTTGTTCGGAACAGTAGTGTTTGCCTTACGAGCTCTTGCAAGTACTCCTGTGCCGCAACTACGCTGAGGCTACAACCTCGTATACACATACGTCTGAACGCCGACTCTACTGCTGAGACAGCCTCCCTCGAGATGCAATCCGTGCTTAACGAGGACGTATGGGCCACGCTCCTGGACTTCCCCTACACATAAGTACTACGGCGATGCCCTGACAATTGTCAAGTACTGTCGTCAAACTGCGGAGGCAGCCTCGCTGGCCACAAAGCTAGCCGGTCTTCTCGAGGCAGCGCGAAATATCCGCACTCTGTCGCTGCCCTAGTGACGTGGAATACTCGGTGGTAGCAGAGCCGCGCGTCGGTAGGGCCCTGATCTCCCTCATGCACGGCTCCAGGACATCGAGCTTTTCTCTTGTAGCACGTGTATAAAGCTACATGTATATTACACTACACGAGTACAATACAATACTTTCGTTCGTTCGTTCCCAGCAGAAGCAAAGGTCCTCAGACGGCCACGTCGAACGCACTGCTCTGCCACCCATCTCTGCTCCGTTCCTCCTCCGCCTTCCTCTCGACCGCCTCGCCAAAACTGCGCGCCTTCTGCACGCCCTCCTTCACACTCTCCTTCGCCTGCTCCGCAACGCCCCTGAGCTGCTCGCCCGTCTCCGCCGCAGCCTGCTTCTTACCCTCGACGTCATACCGCTCCGCGACCGAGTCGCTCAACGTGCCCTTGGGCCCACGCTTCTCGCCGCCGAGCACCTGCGGCTCCGCGCCCATCGCGAACTGCGTCGCGCCGTCCTTCCGGACCACGCCCGTCCCCGTCGCACGCCAGCCGCCCAGAAGGCCGCCGCTGCCGCTGCGCTTCTGGATGTGCCCGAGCTCGCTCCAGAAGCCCGCGACGAACGCCGCGCCGCGTCCGAGGCCCGCATCGTCGAACACGTCCGCGCGCTTGCCGACGTCCCAGAGGAGGGCGTCGACGGACTCGATGGCCACGCGGATCTGCTGCTCCAGGACGGCGCGAAGGGCGTCGCGGAAGCGGCTGACCATGATCGGGCGGAAGACACTGACGAGGACGGAGTGGTTGCTCTGGGTGATGCGGACGTCGACGTCCTCGCTGACGCGGGCCTCGACGCGCTGGACCTCGACGAAGCCGCCGCGGCGCTCGCGCTCCTTGAGGCCTTCGGGGGAGTTTGGTATGCTGCGGACGACGACGTCAACGTCGATGCCCTGGGGCGGGAGGGTGAACTCGAGGAGGCCGGTGAACTCGGCCGGGCCAACGGTGGCGGTCTTGTCCTTGTAGTAGAAGCTGACCTCGCGGAGGGCGAGGTGGAGGGCCTGGACGTAGATGCGGGTGAGGGAGCCGACGGCGGTGTTGGTCTGGCCGCTGGTGGGTGCCTGGATGTCGATGTCCGTGATGTTGCGGATGTATGCGTGGCCGGGGAGCAGGCCGAAGCTCGAGATGTCGAGGTCCTCGAGCACGAACTCGACGTCATCGTCCTTGTACTCCGTCCTGCACAAGTGTGAGCAGCAATCTAGACAATGTGCACGGATACTCACCTTGGAATGGGGATGTCCTTCAGCATACCGACAGCCTTGGGCAGGTAGAAGTTGAACAGGTCCTGCCAGAACCACGGTGCCTTCTCCATGATGGCCTGCAAGCCTGCACCGCCGGCGACGACGACACTCTGCTCGAGGTCGTCGCCGAGCTTCCTGTGCGCCGCCCTGACCTTCCTGAGGGCCTCGTCCCTCTCGATCGCGCGCTCAAACTCCGTCGCCTCAGCGCTGAGCTTCCCGACGTCCTCCTTCCACTTGCGCCCCTTGTCCGAGTCCTTGTCCAAGAGCTCGCGCCACTCGCGGCGGAGCTGTTCGCTCTTCTGGCTCGCCTCCTCGCTCCGCACGTATCCCGCCTCGTCGAGACACCTGCGCGCATGGTCGAGGGCAGCGTCGCACCACGCGCGGATCGCGTCGTCCTGCTGGACGTCGGCGCCGCACATGCGGAGGGCGGCGAAGAGGTCGTCCAGGGACTTGCCGCCGGCGAGACGCTCTAGGGCGGTGCGGAGGCCGCGGATGGCGTGGATGAGGTGGTGCTCGGGGGTGGGGTCGTTGATGAAGGCCTCGAGGGAGGTGTCCTTGTTGACGTCACCCGCGCTGTCGAGGGAGCGGTGGACCCACTTGTGTGCGACGTCGAAGAGGGTGGAGACGGCGGAGTGGTACTGCTCGTCGTCTTGCGCGCGGTCGCAGATCTAGAAACGCATCAGCTGCGTCGATATACACGACAGGGACGACACGCACCGTGTTGAACGCGTCCTGGAGGCGCGTACTCGTGCGGCTCGCGACGTCCTCGGCGGTCCCGACTGCGACCTGGCCTGCGCCTATCGCGTTCGAGCCGACACCCTTCGCCTGGTCCATGCCGCGCTCGAACTTGACCTTCGCGTCGGCATCTTCATCATCCACCTCGTCCGCCTTGCGCTTCCTGAGGCCGACCTCGGTGCGCTCGCCGGCGTCGACCTGGGTGTCGAGCTCGCGAAGGCCCTCGGCAGTGCGGTGCGCGCCCTGGGCGACGTACTCTGCGGCGTCGGCGAGGGCGAGGCGGGAGAAGCTGGCAAAGTCGTGGAAGACGCTGCGGCCCTCCTGGGCGAGGTTCTCGCTGATGACGGAGACGAGGGCGCGGAGGGCGCGGGCGAGCTTGCGGGCGTCGCGGTGGGCCTGGTCGGCGTCGACGTCGACGTTTGCGGTGGTCGCGGAGAGGTCGGCGGCGGAGAGGTGCCAGAGGGCGTCCTGGAGGACGTTGTCGCCTGCCGAAGGGTGTCAGTGCGGGCGGAGAGAGCGCGAAGAAGACTCACCATTCTTAGACTCGGCGAGCTCCTTCCAGGCGACGAGGATGCCGCGGAGGTCGGCCTGGAGGACCCTGCCCTGCTGGCTGAGGTCGCCGCCGTCGGGGTCGGGGTCTGCGCTGAGGATGGGCGAGCCGAGGGCGGCGTCGACCCAGGCTGCGAGCTGGTGGTTGGAGGGGAGCTTGCCGGCGTTGAGGGCGGCGAGGAGGTCAGAGGTCTTGTCCATGGTGTCGTGAGTGGTGTGCGTTGGGGTGCTGCTCACCGCGGAGTGCGCTCTTATGGGCGGCGGCGGCGGGCGGATGCGCCACGGTGACCCGGGGGTGACGTAGGGGCGCAGCGGGGCGGTCGACGAGACGGGCAGAGCCACCTCCACACTCCGCGCGCCCAGGGCTGCCGGCTGTTGCGCATGCTGTCCGGGCTGCGTTGGCCGGTGGCTGGTCGAGCAGGCCGTCGTCGAGGGCAGCAGCAGCGAGGGCAATGGCAAGAGCGATGGTGGGCACCGAGCGTGACACGGACACGTCTGTTGAACGCGTGACGTCACAGCATGACGCGTGCGGCGACCCCTAGGTGGCAACTGACGGACGCGCCCCATCGCAACATGCAGCCCGCAGCACGCGCTGCACTGAACGAGGACATCTGGTCCACCATCCTGTCCCTCGTCGACCCCGGCGACGCCCAGAGCCTCTCCCTCGTCTCCCGCTCCGTCCACCCCGCCGCCCGCCGCGCCGTCCTCTCCTGCGCGGACATCTCCTCGCAATCCCAGCTCGAGCATGCCTGCGCCTTCATGATCGCGGAGCCGCACCATCGCGCCTGCTGGCTGCGCGAGCTCTTCATCGACCAGCACGCCCTGGACGCGCTCGAGCACCGCTGGGACAGCGCCGAGGGGCTCTCGCTCGCTGCGCAGCTCGCGGACCTCCTCGCAGCCACCCAGAACATCACCAGCCTCGCCCTCCCCTCCGTGGAGTCCATCTTGGCGGCGGAACCGCGCGTCGGCACCGCCCTGGCCGCCCTCGCGCGCCTCGAGTTCCTCTCGCTCTCCGGCGTGCTCACCCGCGCACTCGCCGTCGCGAACACGATGGCCAGCCGTCCCTCGGAAGTCGCCCTCGTGCTCGGCGATCCCCCCAACGCCGAGCACGCCGCCAGCACATACCTCGTGCTGCTGAGCCACCTCGCGCTCCTCCGCAACGCGCGCGTGGTGGAGATCGAGTTCTTCGACATGACGCTCGATGTGTATGTCAAGCCCAAGCAGCCCTCAGACTTTGCCTTCCTGCTGCGGGAGCTCGGCCAGCATCCGTCCGTGCGCGAGCTCTGCCTCCGGAACGGCGGGCCCCTCCCGCTGTTCCACATCTTCCCGAACATCCAGACTCTCCACATGCGCTGCCTGCACGAGTCGTTCGCCGGATTCGACTGGCGCGCGTGGGCGTGGACGGCGTCCGTCCCGCTGGTCGACGTCTCCGCCGACGACGACGACGAGCTCGCGTGCCTCGTCGGGCCACACGGCACCCCGACGCTGCGGCAGCTCTACCTCCACCAGCCGCCCTCGCTCTTGCGCGCCCCCGATAGGGCCTTCAACGCGGACGACTTGCGCCCCGTCTGCCTGACGTTCCACCTCGAAGAGTGGCACGCGCCGTGGAACACGGACCTCCCCCTCTGGGACGGCTATCTGGAGGACCCCGCGGGTGCAGAGGGGCGGCTGCGCTACCTGCAGGTGACGGCGCAGTGCCATTCGGACGAGGACGTGCCTGTGCAGTGGGTGGTGCGTCAGTGCGAGTACACGCGTGCGGCTCAGCTAACGCCTCTCGCCGCTAGGAATGGCTCCTCCCTGCGCTCCAAGAGTCCGCGCTCGTGTGCGTGCGGCTCAACTTCGAGGCCATCACGCCGTCGGGGACGGTGGTCAAGCTGGACGAGGCGCGGCAGATGCTCGTCGAGCACGTCCCTTCGCTGCGCTACCTGTGCATCGCGCAAGGGCAGTGCCCGCTGGAGGATCTGGAGTATGCGCACCACCCCCGCCTCGTCGGCGAGTGCGCTTGGTGGCGCGTGCACGAGGGCGCGGGCGAGAGGCGCGTGGAGAGCATCTCGTGTGAGGCCGGTGAGCGCGTCGAGCGGTATCTGCGCTCGGCAGAGTTTGAGGCGACGTTGTCCCTCGACGGCTTTGTGCCGGATGAGGTGTAGACTTTGTATACGTACTGATAGCTACTTACGCTACGCAGCGCGAACACGGCCGCATCGGTCCTGTACGCTTGCCCGATGATCAGTGAGCGTCGATTTTGAAGACGAGCTCACGTGGCTATATGCGCCTCGCCCGGCGTGAAGCGTGGCACGGTGAGGTAGAGGCAGCGTAGCCGCGGGCTCTCTGAGCCAGACAAGCACCCAACATGGCTCAGCGTGTCCACGGGCGACGACCGTCGTTGTACGAGACCGCCGCGAGCAGCGACGCGTCTGTGGCGTGACCTCCAGGACGCGTCCGCCGTTGGCGCGCACCTTTGTCCTCCTCCCCTACCACTTAGCGCCCTCCCGCGTCCACCCACTATGAAGCGAGTCCTCGAACTCACCCGGGACGACCCACACAGCGCCCTCGTCTGCCCTCTCGCCGCCTTTCTTCTCTCTGCCCCTTTCCCGCTGCTCGCCCACCCTCGCCGCCACCACTAGTCGACACGCACGCCGGAGACGAGTCGACGGACACCCCAGAGTCGTGTATTTGGGGCATAAAGGGTCATGGTACGTCACATTACCTGTCTAAGACCTCTTCGCGCGCATTCATCGACAAACACGCTCGGTCAAAGTCTCTGCGCCGACCGACTCCCGCCCCTTTCCGCCCCCGTCTCGTCTCCAAGCGTCCTAGTAACGACATGGGACGATTCGCATGACGTGCGCGGACGTGCTCTGCGGTCCGAAGGCACTCCATGCGCGCGACGCGGCGCGGTGCGCTTTTGCCCAGCCACGAGCGCCCCAGGTCACCCTCCCACCTCGCCAACGTCGCGACACACCGTCGGTATCGCACTATGCGTGTGCTCAGGACATGCACACAGCTATACCAGACCGCTCGACAGCGGCTTGTGCACCGGACGTGGCGCGGCGCGACGTCCTGTGCCGCCCAGCCAAGCCGCCCGAAGGCAGCCATTTCCAACCTCGCCGACGTCGCGACGCGCCGCGGTTACGCACTGTGTGCGTACTCAGGACTCTGAGAACGCTATACCACACCGCCTGAGCCGATCCTGTGCACCAGACGTGGCACGGCGCACCGTTCTGTGCGGCCCAGCGAAGGGCGCCCGCAGCTTCTGAAGCTCGCGCCTGCCATCACCTACGACACCCTCGTGCCTCCCATTCACTCGAGCTACCGACGTTGACACCCCGTGTACGCCCGTGTACGTATGACGATGTACTCTCGTCTGCGCTCTGCCTAACTCGCCCTACACAGCCCCGTCGCCATGCCACCTCGAGCGAGCCATATCCCGCCTACTCAACACCGCGCAACATCGCCATCCTGGACTACACCAGTACTCAAGTCTGGCACCTTTCAGTAGCAGCCCGCTCGACATCGCTTCGTGCACGGGACGTGGCGCGGCGCGACACTCTGCGCAGCACGTTGTTGCGCGTCTCACGGCCGGCTCGTTCTGATTGCCAGCCTTCCAGCACCTCTCGTCAATCGCAGGACATCAGGCAGGGACCCAACCGTACGCTTCAAGGCACGCTTTGCTCTGGGCGACAGGCCAACACCATCGCAGTGCCGGAATGCGGCCAACTCTCGCGTCTCGCGCCCACCATCCGCGCACAACACTCTCATCCTCCACATTCTATGGGTCTGAGCGAGCTGGCCCATCTCATACGGGCTACATCGCACCAACTACTTCTCCGTATCGCGAGCCCGAGGTCGTAGAGGACAGGCCCGCACCCAGCCAGTCGAAGGAGGACTCCACACTCGCGGACTGGTCTGCGCAACAGGCGTCCTCGTCCGGATGGGAGACATTGTCACACAGTGGTCTTGTCATCTGTGGCCGGAAAACTCTGGGGCGCACAAGATGGCCATCGACGGTCGCGACGACTTCCCAGAACTCAACTGGTCTAACCCTGCAGTGCACGATTCCAAGCCCAGGCCAGGATCGGGTATGCTTCCTCCTTTACTCGTGGACTAACTACACGACCCAAACCATTCTCTCTACTCTGTCAATGTAACTACTCAGCTTCCGCCTACAAGGCCAAACGGCGCGCAGCTTGCGCCGTCGCAAGAGGAAACACGGACGGCCATACCCCATGCGCGGTCGTACTACTGCGCGGAGCACAACGGCTGGGTCCTCCTCTGGTCGGGCACGTCTACAATGTCACCGCCTCTCGCCCGTACCATTGACAACCTCCCGGACCCTACGCGGCAAAAATGGACCCAGTCGTGCGTAGGCGATGGCGAACAGCCGTTCGGGCAAGTGAACGCCACTGGCATCGCTACGAACGCGCCGTTGACTCGCAGTACCTGAGCACGCCGTTCGAGCGCGAAGAGGAAACCCTCCTCGACCTGCATCTCTGCTGCCAATGTACGAAGTATTGTATGGTCTCCGAAGTCCTTCCGGGCGTATTACAACTGCTTCCGGCAACCTTGGTGAGTCTATTTTAGATATCTTAGATACCCTCGGCCTGGCTGCTGTTGTATGTACACACACCGCGCGCCGGCTGCGATGACGTGGCCCTCGTGACGCTGATCGCCCGGACGGCCCAGCAGCACGGCATGTACGCGCGGTGGCTGGCAGTACGTACTCACGATCTGCAGGAGGACTGCACGCTTCGGTGAATAGTGCTTAGACTCGGCGGTATCGGTCTAGTAGGGCTCGCAGTTCGCATGCAGATGACACAGAACGAACATGTTCTGGAGATGACACTTATGATGACTTGAACAGGTCGTAACGGCTGTTCAACGCGGTGTTCTAAGCCAGTGGATGCGCCGCCATTCTCGCGACAGGGCCGGCCTTCAACACGCATGGCACTCCTGTTTCCTGCAGCTGTGCTCACCTCTGCAGGGCCTGCGCGGGACACGGCCACGCGAACACTACGCCTGCCTTGTATGGCTAGCCTGGTGGCCAGGTTGTTCCCGCGTGAATGTGTTTGCCCTCGATCGCGCGATCGATGACATCGAGGCGGATGACAAATGTCCGTGTCCGGTTCATCTTGTCTTCAAACAGCGTGTACAGACTCGTGAAGACGCTTCGGTGAGCTGTTTTTGATTCATGCGAAGCACAGTTCTGACCCAGACAGACATGACCAAATACGTGCTGACCGGGGCGACAGGCGGGCTCGGCTCACAGGCACTGCTCTTCCTGCTGCACCTCGTTCCCGGTACGTCCCATCGATGGTACGCACTGTCCGCCACCCTGACTCTCCCCAGCCTCCGACATCGTCGTCTCGCTGCACAACCCCGCCGGCGCGTCCCCGACAATCGTCTCGTCCGGCGTCGAGGTCCGCAAGGGCGACTATGCCGACCCTGCCTCGCTACGCACCGCCTTTGCAGGGGCCGACAAACTCTTCCTCGTCTCGTACCCGTCCATCGCGCATGAGCTCCGCGTGCGCATGCACAAGAACGCGATCGACGCCGCGCACGCCGCCGGGATCAAGCACATCTACTACACGAGCCTCGCGTTCGGGTTCGGGGCGCAGCGCGCGCTCGTGCCGCCCGGCGAGCAGGAGAGCGTCGCGGAGGTGATGCAGGCGCACCTCGACACCGAAGCGTACCTCAAGCAGAGCGGGCTGACGTACACCATCATCCGCGAGGGCATCTACAGCGAGAGCTACCCGCTGTACTTTGGGTACTGGAGCGCGAGCGAGGGCACGGACGAGGTCGTCGTCCCGCACGGAGACGGCGCGATCGCGTGGGTGAGCCGCCCGGACCTGGGAGACGGCACGGCGAGGATCATCGTGGCGGTGCGTATCCTCAGCCCTCTCTGTACTGCGACTGACGGCCCCACAGGAGAGCGGGTACGAGAACCGCACGCTGCTGCTGTCCGGCACGCGCGTCGTCACGCTGTCAGCGCTCGCGTCCACGGTCTCCGCCCTCCTCAACCGGCCCGTGCACCTGAAGGTCGTCTCGGAGGACGAGTACGTCGCGGCGCACACCGGGCGGCCGGGGCCGCGCGGCGAGGCGGGCTTTCTCCGCAAGTGGGCGACGACGTACCGCGCGCTGGGGCGCGGCGAGTGTGCGGTGGCGGACCCGACGCTGAGGGAGATCCTCGGGAGGGAGCCGACGCCGTTTGAGGAGACGGTGAGGGAGATGTTGGGCGTGGGCGCGGAGGGTGCGGTGGATCGGTATGCACGGTGACGGTCATGTATGTACGAGTATACAGAAGTAAAATTTCCAGCCATATCTTACAACGCCCGTCGACGACTACGAGGAGAACGCACAACATTTTGGTGAGAAGGATCCAGACATCGAATGTACAGACCGCTGCTTGTTGGGCCGCCGCGCTGCACGTGGCTGGCGGCGGCGCTTAGACACTGGGCGTGCACCGACAATCGCTCGTCCTCGACGTCGACCATGACGGTGGCCAGTACTTGTTGCTCACCTGCTGCTCTGTTCGCTCGTCTGGCCGATGTCTGCGCTCGTCTCCTCGTCTATGTGTGTTGCTTGCTGGCTGCCTGTGTCGACCTTGCCTGCGAGCTGCTTGCGACCAGTCAGGAGCACGCGTGTTCAAGGCCGAGTATGAGAACAGAGAGGAGCACGCGCGGTCACGGCACTTAGGTGAGGGTGCGATCGCAGCGCGCAAGGCCGTCAGGGAGACAGCTCCGACGCAGACCCATGCCAACCGCAGGTGCGCGGTGTGCAAGGTACGTTTATGTATACTGCAAAGTATGATCTACTCTCCTTGATTTGCCCTCCCACACAACCTCCCCGCACACTGCGTCGCTTCCTCTCCTTGTCCCTCGCAATGTCGCCCTGGCCCGCAGCGCTCGCGTCAGACTCCTCCGACAGGCTCGCGAGGCTGCCCAGGCTGGATCTGTGCCGCAGGACAGATGCCAGAATTGCCACGCGACGCCAACATAAGTGAGGCCATGGCAGGATGGGCGCAGACAACGCGCCTTTGAAGCTCCACCCTCCCTCACGCTCCTTTGACCATCCTCGACCCCGCTCGCACATTGATAGGCTCCGCTGGATTCGACGTCCAACTTGCACTCGCCCATCACGACCATCATCCGCATAACTTACCACCAGCGTCGAACGGGTCGCGTTCGCTCGCGCTCGTGCTCACGCGACAAGACATCGCTCCCACGTCCTGGCCTTCTGCCAGTCCAGTTCGGACGCGCTCGAAATTTGACGTTCTGACATTCTGACGCTCTGACGTTCTGAAGTTCTGACTCACCTCTTGCACAAGTGTTCCTCGCCCAGGGCCTCAGGCTCGGGCTCGGGCTCATGTTCCTCCCGTCGCTCTCCATCGTCGGCCACCATTTCGCGCACGCCGTGCCCTCGCCGTCGGCATCGCCATCAGCGACTCGAGTGCCAGCGGGGTTGTTTTCCCCATCATGCTCAACCGGTGCGTCTACCTTCTCGCCGCCGTCCGTCAACCCCTTACAATGGCTGCGATCCGTGTCCGCAGGTTGTTCCAAGATCCTACTGTTGGCTTCGCGAACGCGGTGCGCGCGAGCGGCGCGGTCGTCGGCGGGTGCCTCGTCGCGGCTAACTGCCTCATGCCCGCGCGGCTCCCGCTGAAGCGCGCGGTTCGTATCGCGGAGAAGGACGGCTCGAGGTGCGCAGCAAGGCTGGAAGGCGTGGCGCGGCATCGTCTGGGACGGAGTGTACTTGTGGACTATATGCGGGTGAGTGCCGGTGTGTATGCGGTGTCGGCTGCGTGTGCTGATCGACGTGCATGCATAGAGCATTTCTGACGAGCATAGGGGTGTATGTCCCGCGTGAGTGGTCTGGGCGGCGCGCGCTTGGCTCAATGCTAATTGCAACCTCGCCTTGCAGTTTTCTATCTCCAGCTGTTCGCGGTGGACCACAACGTCAACTCGTGTATCACGACCTACTCCGTGCGTCAATCTTCCACTTGGCTATGAGCTTTGCTGACGGGACAATGCTCCATCTACAACTAATAACCTGTCTCCAGCTTGTGATCCTCAACGCCGGAAGTACACTCGGGCGGCTCGTCCCCACCTTCCTCGCGGACAAACTCGGCGTGTACAACATGCTCGTGCCCGCGATGGCCGCGTGCGCCGGGCTCATCTTTGCCATCTTCGGCGCGACGAACGGGCCGGGCGTCATCCTCGTCGGGCTGATCTTCGGTTTCGTGTCGGGTGCGTGTGAGTGTTACTACGTATACCGCGTCGGGATCCAGCGAGGCGCTGACGGTGCTTGACTGCGATACAGACATCTCGTTGATCCCTAGCTTGCTCGTGCAGCTATGCAGAAATATGGGAAAACTAGGGTGCACTTCGAGTTTGCTTCGCCTGGCGCTCACGCGTGGCGCTGATGCACATCTGCGACTCGGACAGCGTGAAGATGGGGCTCGCATATACCGCGGTGGCTGCGGCGAATCTCATCGGGAACCCCATCGCGGGCGCGTTGCTGCGCACGAGTACGGGGGGGCCATTGACGTGGTGGCGCGCGATCGTGTTTACCGGCGTAAGCAGCTCTCCTCTCATCAGTCTGCCCCGCTTCATCATTCACTGTCACACGCGCGCTGACTTTGTGGCTTGGGTTGCAGTGCGTTGCGGCGGTCGGGGCGGCCGTGTATGGCGTTGTCGAGATCACTGTTCATCAAAGGGCGAGGGAGGGATGGGCGGAAGGTTTGAGGGGGCTGTAGTCATGTCGTGGGGATGCGATGTCGTGGCTCCAGTTCCCATTCTGCGCACAGTCGGCTATGGTTGAGGCGAGGTGAGAAGAGGTGCGTCTGGCGTGATTAGCCATGTGGGATGTAAACGGGATCATGCGCTGATGTTAGACGTTCCAGTGGGCGCGATTGGTTGTTCGTTGTTCGCAAAAGAACTCGGCGGTCGTCGTCTGACGTTCAATCAAGAATAGGATAGATGAAGACCACCCGGGCCGGGAACTCGTCGTTGCAAGCGCGTGCAGGATTTCCGTACATGTGGGTCCTTGTAGGTGACGTTCGCGTCTTCGATCACTCCGGGCGTCGGCGTTGAATGCGGGTTAGATTGCCGCACCCTGCCTTGCCTTGTTTTGTCGTGGGCGTCGAACACATGCTATCTCCGTATCATCTCATCTCCTTCGTTGATCACACACAGGACTCCGCGTCACGCCACATGCCCATAACGAAGCCTCGCACTCTGCCTCCTGCATGCACTGGAAACTCGCGCGTTCACACACTATTTTTTGCACAGTACAAGTCCGTTCGGATATATACCCGTCTTCATCTGCATCTGCACTCGCATCCTCTGTCGCATCTCTGTCACCATAGCATGTTCTCATATCTATGTCTCCTCGTGCATACATCCCAATCCCATTTACCCGTACATCATGGTTTCATTGCTCGTACTAGCAGTATGTGTTATCTGTCTTTGATCCTGGCCTGTCTGCATCATCATCATATTCTTGCACCTGGCTCTGCGGAACCCATACACCTTCTGGAGCCATGCTCTTTATAGGGTGTATGTTATCACCGTTTCCTATTGAGCCTATGCTCGTGTGACATGCAGGGCAGTAATAGTGAGACAAACAGTGGTTGACATGCAGAACCATGTTTGTTCATATTTATAATCCTACAAAAGCATGCCTATCTCACACCTTAGCTTCCATCCACATGCTCCCAGGGACAGAAGTGGTACATCATGTTTCCAGCTGATACTTCCAGGCCAGTGATGGTTGTACAAGGTTGATTACCCAATTTTTCCTTATGAAGCAACAGGAGCATGTGATACCAATTAAAGTTCAAACCCAGCTGCCCTGGGCTGAAATAGCCACATTCCACTGCATCGTGGCTGAACCACTCTTGAACTACAACCACTACCTTCCTCATTTGGACATTAACAAACTGCCAAGCACATCTAGGGAGAGCACTATGGATGTAAGCTGGAGTTGCCATTCCTCTAGATGGCAAATTGATGGAGGATGCCCAGAACCTTGCAGTCACTCTAGCCAAACAATTGGAGGCCAGCATGATACCACATCATGCCTCCACTAGTTGGAAGACCATAGTTGAGGCAGTCAGGCACCCAGCTGTGGGAGCCATCCCTGTGAAGATTGTCAGGGATGGCAAGGAGATCACTGAGTACTTCATCACTCCCAAAGTGGACAAGGCACTCAAAGAGCTGAAGCTAGTGAGTGCTAAAACTGTATCTATTTCTGCATTAATCCTCTCAATGAGAGGATTCAACATTCTGACAGTCACTTCAATAATTTGTCTAATCATTTTCCTCTTGCCAGGAAATTGTGAAGCATGCCCTCATGTACCAATCCAAGCTGACCTGCCCCAATGAAGATATCCCCCAAGGGTACTCTGAGGAGCAGCTTCTGCTGTATGCTGCCAGCTGGGGCATGGACACGTGGCCTGTGGCTAGTGGCCAGCAAATGAATGACTACATGGCAAAGGAGGAGGCTGAACACTCCATGGCTGATGGCAAATGGTAAGGGTCTTACATTGTACTGGCTGGTCTTGTCTTACTAACAAAATCTGCAGATTCATGGATTGGAGCTGGATAGTCCCAAGTTGAGGAGTGTGATGACTGAATATGTGTAGCTCCACTGATATGAATATTCTGTGATGAAGCCCAATTTTACAGTCTGAGATAATTGAGCACTGTCCAAGGATTTTTCTGGTGAACTCATATCATTGTGCTGAGTTCTCACAGTTGATTGAATCCTGTCATTGATCAGACCATGTACCACAACAATAGACATGTTATACTGATGCATCATGTATGTATTTGTGTTATATGAGATGGAACACTGTTGTGTGAATCCTGTCAGCAAACGGATTCATTCATATTAGTTATCTACTCACTGTAGGAATGGGGCAGTAGCAGCAGCTGCAGGGACCTGCAGACCCCAAAAGGGATGCTGCAGACACCTGCAGACACCTGCAGGTCCCAAAAGGGCAGGCACAGACAGCTGCAGACACCTGCAGCCCCCAGAAAGGAAGCTACAGACATGCAGCTATGCACACTTCACAGCCTGAGTAATGTTGCACAATGTCTTCAGTCAGCAGATCCGCTAACATGAAGCAAAGTCACAGAATCTGCACAAGTGATTCCTCTCGACGCACAGATTCACTGCCATGAGCACCCAATGCAATGATTGCACACATGTCCCATATGCTGAGATGAGCCATTGATCCCACTACAGTGTTAATCCTCTCGTCGCAAGGATTCATCATCTGGCAAACAATCTCAGGAAACAAGGCTAACTCAATCATGACAGTAGCTTGATCCCAGTGAATTGTCTCAATGAACACATTCACCACCAGTGCCATGAAATGCTCCACACACATGTCCAACAGGCTGAGGTGGCTGCAACAGTATTTGCATCCCAGTGTGAATCCTCTCGTCGCATAGATTCAATGTCAAGTGTGATAGCACATGGATTGGCCCTGAGACTTCAGTCTATCATATATAAGGACCACACACCAAGTGCCAGAGCAAGTGCTGTGAGAGGAACAGCTGCAGCTGTGGAGATCACAGAACCCAAAAAGGAAGCTGCAGACAGCTGCGGAGACCTGCAGCTCCTAAAAGGGATGCTGCAGAGACCTGCAGGACCCAGAAAGGAATCTGTAGACATGCAGCTGCAGCTATGCATATTCTAAGGGTATGACAGCCTGAGTGACATCTCAAAGCATGCACACCTTTGAATCCTCTCGACGAGCAGATTAAACACCATGACCACCAAATGCATTTGCAGACATGTCTCATAGGCTGAGGTTACTGAGACATTGTTTGCATAGCAGTTTGAATCCTCTCGTCGCAAGGATTCAAAGTCTGCTGCAACAGGCCATTCTCAGTAAGACTGGACTTGAACATGATTCACTTATAGTGGCAACATGAAGCATACAGACATCACAAGTGTTTGTATCAACTGAAGGACCCATGGACATGTGGATACAATGCTGCAAGGCCATGGATGGATGCCACAATGACAACAAATACAAATCAATACCAGCAAATAACAACAAAGAGAGCTGATATATATACAGGTACAGCACATTCATGAGCAGACCAAACACATTCTCAACAGTCCACCCGAGCTGCATATTCCCCGTTTTCAATGGAAACCCAACACCGGCCAGTGTAACGGGTTTTGACGACATCAGCCTCTTGGCCGACATCTAGCAGGATTTATTGGAAATGCACTGGCTGACGGAGACAACAATGTCGCAGACCCACACATAACCACAGCCAGTGTTGCCCCATATTTGTTCGTCAACGGGCCGGTGATGTGGCCCAATATTGTCAATGCACTGGCCAGTGAAGTGTCCCAATGTTGCTAATGCACCGGCCGGTCATGATGAATGTGTATACTGTTGAACTTCAACTGTTTTATGTGTTATCACACGGGATAGGACTTATCCTTACCCATTATGGACTTATGTTCTACTACGCTACATGTTATGTACATTCTTTTCGGATTTGATCCAGACCTGTAGCACATGATTAGATCTAGACCTTGATGGAACATTCCACCGCTTTCCAGCATGTTCCACCACATTCCTGATTGCATTGTATTGCATCATTGAGCACATCGCTGTTCCAGTCCTTTCCATGACATTCCATTCATGGTGCAATATCGCCTCATCCTTGTGTATTTGCTCATTGCACTGTAAGGGTGGCGCCGTAGGCGCCGGGATACATCGCACAAGCGCTCATCCTGCGTCCAAATAAACATATCTTTTCTTTTGTTTTTCTTTTCCACTCACTTTACTTACTCATCCACGACTCGGTCTAGACTCCTTCCGTATTTGTTTGTGGCTGCCCTCGGAGTGGCAGCTGTGCCAGCCCAAGTGGCGGTCTGTGCCACAGCTTGCCACTCGTCCTTTGTCCCTATGACTCATCTCGCTTATGTTACTCATATCTTCACTCGATTCAGTCCATTCTCGCTCATGTATAAATACCGTACGTACGACGGGCAGAGAGCCCAAGCAACGAGATGAGACTTCGCCCACTCATCCGCTACCCGCCCGCTAACGCCTACCGCGCTCAACGCCGACGTCAACGAACCCGGTTTCCTCACATTTTTTGAGTGTTCCTTTTTATCTCGTTTCCATGTAACCCCCCCACTCGTGACGGACTCATTAATAGGGGTCAGTTAGGAATTAATTACAAAAGAGGGTACCGGAATTTCGGGCTGAAAGTTGGTATGTAGGACGTCTATATCATGTAGATGATGGGTGCAAAGTTTCAGGGAAATCGACGGACCGGTTTTTGAGCAGTGGGCAATTCTTTTTGTTAATAGGCGCATTTTTGCTATGTGCAGAGCCACAACAACAGCACTTGGCAGGAAGCTTGTTTAAGACAAAAGGCTTCATTTGTATGTGTGAACATTGGTGCCAAGCCGCTTGGCAATTGGAGGTCTGATGCCGGTGCTATGGGTGAAAAATGTGTACCATGGGCAGGAGGGCATATTCTAGGAGACCAAGGAAGGGGATTTGGGGGTAGCTTCTTTATAGCTCATATGATCCATTGGTATGTAGGACCATGGGTACGAAGTTTGGGAGCCATAGCTGCAGCCGTTCCTTCTTGGCTGGCGGGCATCCCAGCCAAGGGGGGAGGCCACAACCACTAACATGTGAACCATTATGATTTCGGGGTAGGTTCTTTATAGTCAATATGATCCATTCATATGTGGGATTACAGGTACCAAATTTGGGAGCAATAGCTGCAGCTGTTCTTGTTTGGTTGGCGGGCATCCCAGCCAAGGGGGGAGGTAATGACCACTTGAACCACTACAATCTCGGGGTAGATTCCTTATCATCAATATGGTCCATTCCTATGTAGGAATACGGGTACCAAATCTGGGACCCATGTCTGCAGCCATTCTTAATCTGTTGGCGGCCTGTCAGCCAAGGGGGACGGCCATGGCCACCGGAGAACACTGAGTTTCATTTCCCTCGCCCATATTTGGCCATGGTCTGGCTCAAGACAAGTGCATTTCCCTTTTCGTCAAACACCACCGCCCATCAGTGGCCAATTCGTCGGTTATGATCATGTGCATGGCGATGAGGATGGTATATAAACCTGGCCGCTGTCTGACCGCCTCCCTCGTCTCTTTCCCTCCTTCCCCCACCATCCCTCGTCAACAGTAAGTAAATCTCATTGTTAAGCGTTACAAGCCGAGCTAACAGTCGATTAGACAACATTTCAATGTCTTCTAACAAGGCTGTGGTGCCCCAGAAGCAGACGTCCTTGAAGCGCAAGGCTGAGGACAACTTGCCCGTGTATGTATTCATTTGTTGTATCATTAGATCGGTCACTTATTTGCTTGTTACAGTCGTTACCAGAAGAAGGCAAAGGTGGTCTTGACGCCGGAGCAGCAAAGGCGGAAGTGGCGTAAAGCGCACCCTGCTGTACGCCCTGACATGATCATGTCTTCGGTTCCAATCCACGTGCTTGGGCGCCGCCGGAGATGGTGGGTACCTGGTGTCCCACGACTTCCCCCATTGGACTGGGTCCTGCATCAGGAAAAACACTCGGGAGCGCTGACAGGTTGGCGGTCATACCAACACTATTCAATCATGTTCAATATGTTGAGACCTAATTGCAATGTACACATGTTAACGTAACCAATTAGATTTAATCTACTGATCTTCAAACACGTTGGAATGGCTTGTGCATCACCATAACTCTTGCAAGAGGCACTACTGCTCCCTAGAGAGTGCAAGCTTGCTCTTGGCTATGTAGCTGCCGTTGTAGCTCAGAATTCTTAGTCAAGCCTATATGCTGTGGTGCGTATGTCCCTCCGCTAGTACGCACATATGCATGGTGCATGATGCTGCATTTGGAAATCTCCGACTCGTCGGGTATAGTAGTACCGTGAATGCACACATGGATGGTCATGAGCAAGTCACTGGCAGTTCATCATTGTCCATGACATGCGCGTTGGGTACTTACTACCTACTACATGTTATTGTTGCATATAATAAGGCAAGCTAGAGAGAGTGCGTTTGGGAGCTAGATACAACTTGAATGTTACAACGTATTATACATTTGAAGGTTCTGGTGCTAAAAGTCCAAGTCGGCCTCAGCCTCGTCATCACCGTCAGTGTCCACGCCCGCCGCATCCGAGTCCATATCGCTATCAAGATCCCGCTCCTTGCGCCCGCAACCCAACACTCGAAGGTCCTCCGGCACCGCAGGTACAACAATGGCTCCCGGCTCATGCAGAAGCGGTCAGACAGCGCACGTACCAAGGGGCGCCCCGAGGTTTCTGACCCTCCAGCTCGCTTGCATGACTTGGCGTTGGGCTCGCGACCCCACTGGCCAAGTCCAGGATGCGTCGATGAAGTCGAACTTCATCGAACACATGGGCGCCGCGAAAGCTCTCTGGCCCGTGGCGTAGGCATGCGCGAAGGAGGTTAGGGTCACCACGGACCGCTTGATGACGGGCACGGACTGCAGAGGCAGCGCGAGGTGAAGAGGGAACACGGGGCGGAGAGAGCGCGGTACGAACGTTTCGGCCGTAGGATCGTAGACGTCGAGGGTAAAGTGAGGATTTTCGGGTGATGGAGCATACCCAACGGCTCCGATGTACCTGTTGAGCGTGCGCACGGCCTGGTGGAGGAGCGGCTGCTCCGCCCCGTGGCCGTTGATGACAATGGCCTCGCCATTGGGATCGATCTCCCCCAGGAGGGGGATCGACACGGGGCCGTAGCCGTCCTAGGGCCAGAAAACAGCATTAGTCACCCAGATGAGCATCGAAAGTGATACAGTACTCACCTGTACGTACACCAAGCCTTCTACAATCGCGGTGCGTCCTTGCGCAGCCGGGCTATCCTCCAGGGACCTATTGAGGAGGGTTTTCAGAGATGGCGGCGGGCTCTTGTAGAAGGCCGGCACGGTGGACATGCAGATCCACCCGCCAAACTTCGCGGGTGGGTTGCGGAGCTTCGCCACCTGCGCACGCGCCTCCCCGAGGGTCTCCATCGAGGGTTGGATTCGACTGCGCTGCACCGGGCAGCCAGTCAAATCATAAGCTAGGCACTTCACACGATCTGAGCAATCAAACAATCCTTGACGGAGGGAGCAACTCACATATTCAAAGATCTCTCCATAACGGCCTCGCTCAAAGCAAACGACGGTGACATGGCGGAGCTCGCCGCACAGCTTGCATATCCTGGACAGCTTCGCAATGTCCTTGTAGCGGGCTGAGCTGACCACCGCCAAGATATCAATGAGACGCTTGTCTACGGCAGACATTGAGGCAGCAGCGGAGAGCAGAGGTGTGTTGTGGAGGGTTGAGGGACGCGTGGAGAGTTGAGGGACGCAGATGCTGGCTGTTAGGAGCCGTTTGGATGTGTTTGATCACTCTCCCACCCCAAGCGCCGAGTTGGTCCGGAACCTACGATTTGGGCGGAGCGCGCAAACACAAAGATATACAGTACTCTACCAAAGTGTTTGGTATGCATATAAGCCAGTCCAATTATTTACATGGAATCGACTGGCTGTCTCTAACACCGTATTGGAGGACCAGTCATCCGGTACAGTGCCCGATGGTCCATCCGGGAAGCACGGCGCAAGTTGGCACGATTGACGTATTTGAGTTAACGGTATGATTTTTCCTTGCGGAAGTCCCTTCGACGTCAAAGGGGGTTTACTGACGGTATACATCAAATGTGTAGGATCGGGGCTTGATGCAAAACGCGAGTACCACTCGACGTACGCGAGAGGACCGCTGGGCCACCACGACGGGGCAGTTTGGCCCCTAAATCGCTCGGACAGAGTCTTTGGGAGGGGAAAAATGATCTTGACCCTTGCAGCCCTGGTACCTATGCCGTAGGTTTAATGGCTCGTCCAATCGAATACAAATCCATCACTTACCTATCACGCCGGTGGACTCCGCGTCGCCCTTGTCAAGAACAATAACCGTGTCGAAACGAGCCTTCTGATGCTTTGTGGGACGTGCTGGGATTGCCTTTACGGCGTCCAGCTCTTCTCTTCCATCTGAAAGCTCGATTGGTTTGAATTTGAATTGGTGGTAAACGTCGACCCTTTCAGAAGGGAGGAACGTTTGCGCCAGATCCGCTTGACCGAGACGTAGTTCCGGAGGCTGGATGTCGTTGATCAACTGGACCAACGCAGCGGTGAATCCAGGGGCACCGTGTTTGTCCTGAATTCGACCGACATGCTGGTGAGGGCTGGGTGCGTATTTTGCTATCTTGACAGAGGTACCTGCGTCCGCGGCGGGCGAAATTCCACCCGGACATGGGTTCTCCGCGCTCGCCTCCTCCGAGTCTGCATCCGCCGTGTCAACCTCCACATCCTCCTCCTCCTCCAGCTCCTCCTCAACCTGACGTTCCTTCTGGAACACCTCGTACAACATCATCTTCTCCTGACGCGTAACCCAATGCATCATCTGCGGAAACTCGTCGCGATGATTTGTGGCGCGCCAGGCATCTTTAGCGAGGTCGATATGAAGTCTTTCGAACATCTCTGTGTTGTAGTTGTCGGTGGTTCCAAAGAGGCGAATGGATTCCACGTAGTGCAGGAGAGAATGAAACTTTGGTATGTTGAGGTGGTCGCGTATTGTTACGCGAAGCGTGACACCTAGAGCACTAGCTCTCAACCTAACCCTAAACGTAGGGACCTTAGGTTCTAATCGTCCTTGGATGGGGAGGATGGTCGAAGACGCTGCTAAGTCCGTCTAGCAGGTCGAGCGGGGAGTTTCTGATATCCAAGGAGCTGGTGAAGCTTCAATAGATAACCAGGTCGAACTGAGGTTCGACCGCTACTGTACACTGGTCTTATATACATGGGGAGTTCAGGGCAGGTCCTGGACGAGTCACAACTACCTAGCCAATAGGAGCGCGGGGGAGTGAGTCATGACGAGTCAGGGACCGAGTCATAAACGATGAGTCAGGTATGAGTAAGAGACGAGTCACGACGAGTCATACTGAGTCAGAGATCACGTGAACTGCCCCGGGTTGGACCGGAGCGAACAGCGAAGGAGTCCGAAGACTAGAAGCGTAGCGTCATGGGGTTGGGCCCATGCTAAGGTAGTACAACGGTCAAGCGCAAAATAAAGGAAAACAAACGTTGACGTAACATAAGCCCCTTCCTAGAGTCGACGTCCTCGTCGACTTTTCTAAGCTTGATCAGGGGGGGGCAAGAATGTCGTACTCCCATCACGATGCCTGCGCAGTTGAGCAACCGCGATCCCCGAGTCGGTAGAGACGAGGTCCAATACCGTGGACTCCGGCGAAGGTTGGAAGGATGACGTGGGCGAAGTGGTCAGTTGGCGGAGAGGAATGCGGTCCATTCCTTCGACCGGTTCGTAGGCGGGGAGCGGGAGTGGGTTGGCATCGTCGGGAGGCTCGTTCTCGTCAACCTCCGAGGGGTTCGGGGTCTCGAGGTTCGATCGAGTAGAGACGGGAGAGGTAGGTACCGTCCCCAGGACAGGGTGTGGATGCGGGGTATCAGGGCGCCGACTCTCGTTATTCTCCCGGCGTTCACTAGGTGGAGGGCGGGCCCCATAGAGCTGAGTCTGGTCAATGTAGGGTTCCTCCTCGTAGTGGAGCTCGGTGAGGGCGTTACGAGCTTCGAGGCGACTCTCGTAGACACGGACAAGGGCGGTGGATATGTGCGAGGTCATGTCATGGGCCCTTGCCGGGTCGGCAAAGGCGCCATTGATACGGCCGTGGAGGACGACATACCACTGATGCGCGTTCTCGAGGGTGATTCGTTTTGCTCGGAGGTACGGGGGAAGGAAGTCCGTTGGTCGGGATGCGATGAGGGATCGGTTTCCGGCGTAGAGTCTGTCCGCGCACATCGTCCACATGGCTGCCACCGGTTGTGTGAACACTCCCCCTCTCAGGAGGTCGGTCAGAGAGCGGAGGTCCGGCGGGAAGGTGGGGGCCTCGGCTTCGTTGGCCGAGCAGAGGGACTCGACGTGTCCCGGCTGACGACGATTGCAGCGGGGGCAACGGTAGTGGGGGCAGTCGACGGTGCGGTGGTAGGAGATGTTGGTTCCATGACAAACGGTGCAGGGGGAGTAGTTGGTTACGATACGGGCGAAGTCTCGGGCATTGATGTCGGTGAAGGTAGGGGAGACCACGAAGTCGCGTGTGTACTGGATGTCGTTGACAGGGACAAGCGACCTGGCGACGGACTTCATCGCAGGGTGGTCCTCGAGATCCTTGAACCTGCGCATCAACCTCCGCGCCGATGCATTCCTCCTCTCGGCATAGAGGTGGACGGCATCCTCCATGAGGTCCTGCTGGACCCAGACGTCTGCTGCGGCGTCGTAGAGGTCGGCAAGGGAGTCCAGTGCATCGAGAGCGACACTGGGGTCGTTGGAGAGTGAACCGTTACGCTCGAGTGCGGCGACGAAGGCGTTCGGCGCCGAGAGCACCTGTGAGGCGAGGGGCCAATTGAGGTGGCCTCCCGGGAGTGGGCGGCAGCGAAGGAGGGAGTCGAAGAGGGAGGCTGGTGCTGCGGGGGTTGTCTGGTCGAAGAGGCCGGCCTCGGTGGAGGCCGAGATGTAGGTTTGCACCGGCCTTCGTGGCCTTCGGTCCTGACTAGGAAGTGGCATCGGTGGCACTTGTGGTAACGGGGGTCGAGTGGGAGACGTTGCTTGCGGTTCAGGCCGAGATAGGGGAGCTGGTTGATGGTCCACGCGTCGTAGTAAGCCTGGAGGGAGAGGTCGTCGTAGGCAGCGGTGGAGGGCATAGAGCTCAACTCAGCAGTTGCAAGCGTTGTCGTCTTGGGGTCCGAGTCTCACCACTCCAAGACGGCTCTTCTCTTTATACTCGTAGAGGAGTCGGAGATGGTGCGCGCGCTTGTACTCATCAAGGGTCTCTTCCCCTGTGCCCAGGAAGACGTCTTCGGGTTCCCACGAGTTCTCACTGGGAGGGTACCCTTTCCACTTCACGAGGTACCGGCGTCGGCTTGCCGTGCCCTTGTGACCAAGGATAGCTTCGAATTCCCAGGAGTTTTCTCCGTCTACTTCGTCCGGGGGAGGTTCTGTATAGGTCGGGCCGTGTTCCTCGGTCTCATTGTACGGGGATAGGAGACCGGCGTGGAATACAGGGTGGATTCGCCATTGCGGAGGCAGTTGGAGGCGATACGTCGCTCTTCCCATGACCTCGGTGATCTTGAAAGGACCTTCCTTCTTAGGAGCTAGTTTCCTTGTGGCGTAGGGGAGGCGGAGGTGCCGCGTGTCGAGCCATACCTGCTGATCCTTCTTGAAAGCAGGTGTGCGGTCCTTGATTCTCTTCTCAATGACTCGTTGCGCAGCTTCTAGTGCGAATGCGGCTTCTTCTCGGGCTTTCTGTAGCCGCTTGAGTCGTTCTTCCGTGGTCGGGGAGTCAGCAACTTCGGTGATGTGGGGGATTCCTCGGGGTTCATATCCCATCATTGCGTAGAATGGCGACATCTTGATGGCGGAATGGGGTCGGGAGTTGTGTGCGAACTCGGCATCGGGGAGCATCTCGTCCCATGTTTCAGGGTTGTTCGCGCAGAAGATTCGGAGGAATATCTCTAGTTCCTGGTTGGCTCGTTCCGTCTGGCCATCAGTCTGAGGGTGGTACGCTGTGGAGAGTGCGCGTTCGATTCCGGTCAGGCGGCAGAGTTCTCCCATGACCTTGGATGCAAACTGAGGGCCGCGATCGGAGATGAACTTGCGTGCGAGTCCGAAGCGTCGGTACACGTGGTCGTGGTTCATCTTGGCGGTTGTTTCGGCATCCACCTGGTCCGTGCATGGGATGAAAATTACCCCCTTCGTAGAGTCGTGGTCCACCACGACATAAATAGCATTATGTCCGCGGGGAGTCTCGGGGAGTGCGGTGATGAAGTCCATTGTTTGGCATGAGAACGGTGTGGCGGGGTGTTGTGGCGGGATTGGGATGAGAGGAGTCACTGTGGGATGCGTGTTCGGTTTCATCTGCTGACAGATTCCACATCCCTTGACGTATCGTGCGATGAATTGTCCCATTCCAGGCCACCAGAAGTCGCGTTGCACGAGGGTGGTCGTCTTGTGGATGCCCGGATGTCCTGCGGAGGGGAGCTCGTGGTACAAGCGTACCACGTTCCGTCGGAGTCCCGCATCCGGAGGAACATACACTCGTGATTGATACCATACCAGGTCTCCGTCCGTCTGCCAATCCGTAAGCGAGGTCTTCGCAGGTGCAGGTCCTTTGCCAAGGAGAGCATCGAAGGCCTCCTTTACCATGGGTTCCTTTTCATGGCAGTCTCGTAGGCGATCGAGGAGGTCCGCGTTGATGGCTCGCACGAAGAGCTGGGGGGCTAACATTACGATGTCGTCGTTGTCATCAGCCCCGGTATCATGGTCACTGCGTCGGGATAGAAGGTCGGCGATGGTCATTTGCGTTCCAGGGACGTGTGCCAGTTCATAGTCGAATTCGCTGAGGAACAGCGACCATCGTGCTTGTCGTCGATTGAGCTTCTGCGCGGTGCGCCAGTAGGTCAAGTTACGGTGGTCCGAGCGGATTTGGAGCTTGTGCGGGCTACCTAGGAAATAGTGTTTCCAGGTCTCCAGACCGCGTATGATGCTGAGGAGTTCGCGGTCGTAGATCTCGTAGTTCCGCTCGGCGGGGTTCAAGGACTGGGAGATGAAGCCACAGGGGTGCAAGTCCCCGTTTGCATCACTCTGTAGCAGGACACCGCCGGTAGCAAACTTCGAGGCGTCGCATTCGAGAGCAAATGGCCTGGTTTCATCTGGCATGACCAAGGTGGGAGCACGGGTAAACTCGTGCTTCAGATCCTCAAAGGCGAGTTGTTGCTCCTCGTCCCAATGCCATCGTACGTCCTTCTTTGTGAGGTCCACTAGGGGTCGTGCACGCTCAGAAAAGTGGAGGATGAACCGTCGGTAGAAATTCGCAAATCCGACAAAGGAGCGGACTTGCTTGACTGATTCGGGTACGGGCCAGTCAGCGATTCCGCTCACTTTCACGGGGTCCATGGCAATGGTGTCCGGTCGGATTATCATTCCCAGGAATTCCACTTCAGTGACGTCGAAGTGGCATTTCTCGGGTTTGAGATAGAGGTCGTGGTCCTTGAGGCGCTGGAGGACTCGTCGAGTCCGTTCGTGGTGTGTCGTAGTGTCCGCGGAGTAGATCAGGATGTCGTCCATGTAGATGACTAGCCAGCCTTCAGCTAGCATATCTTCGAAGATGGAGTTCATCATCCGTTGGAACGTCGAGGGCGAGTTGCATAGACCGAAAAACATGACCGTGGGTTCGTATAGTCGTGGCGGACCCTGGTTGGATCCGGGAACCGCGAAAGCTGCCTTCCACTCATCGCCCTCCTTGATTCGGACATTGTTATAGCCGGCGCGCAGATCCATCTTGGTGAAGATCTTTGCACCTTTAAACTTGTCCATGAGGTCTGAGATCAGGGGGAGGGGGTAGCGGTCTTTGACCGTATTCTCGTTAAGCTTTCGGTAGTCCTGACAGGGTCTCCATGTTCCATCTTTCTTTCCAACGAAGAAGAAAGGACTGGCGATCGGAGAGTTGGAGGGTCGTATGTAACCTTTCGACTCGTTCTCTTTCAAGAACTTGTCAAGTTCCT